GGTAACTTGTTGGTGTCACAGAACCAAGATGTCTGGTTGGTGTGACAATATTTTACCACCTGTCACGTTGTAATCTAAACTATAGCAATAAATGTAAATGTAATGAATTGTTTTCTTGTACTTTCGCAGACCATCACGGGGCCTTAAAAATATTTGTGACAAGGGCAAATGTTACAATATATACATCTGATTGGTTAAGAAGCATGCCAAGTGAGGTTATGTTATAGCGCAGTGTCCGTCCGTCCTGCGTCCGCCAAATTTTCATTTGAACAAATTCTTCTGAAATTCCGAAAGGCGTAGATTTATCATATTTGGCTGAAAGATTTCTTTGATGAAGCCCAACAAAGTTTGCAAGAAGAAATGACCTTGACCCATATTCAAGGTCATAGAGGTCAAATGTGTTAAAACCTTTAAATGACTTCTTTCAAAATACTGGAAGGCCTAGAATCATTTTATTTGGCTGGAAGGTTCCTTTGATAAAGCCCAACAAAGTTTGCGAATAGAAATTACCTTGTCCCATATTCCAGGTCACAGAGGTCAAATATGGTAAAACATTTAAACAACTTCTTCCAAAATACTGGAAGAATCATTATAATTGGCTGGAAGGTTCCTTTGATGAAGCTTAACAAAGTTTGTGAAAAGAAAAGACAAACAACTCCTCCCCAAATACCAGAAGGCCTAGAATCATTATATTAGGCTACTATGTTCCTCTTATGGTGTCCTACAAGTTTGCTAAAAGAAATGACCTTGACCAATCTTCAAGGTCACAGGGGCCAAATGTGTTAAAACGTTTAAACAATTTCTTCTGAAATATCGAAAAGCCTAGAATCATTATGTTTGGCCAGTATGTTCCTTTTATGATGTCCAAGAAATTTTGCAAAAAGAAATAATCTTGACCAATAGTCAAGGTCACATTTGTCAAATGTGTTTAAACCTTTAAACAACTTTTTCTGACTAACCAAATATCTAGGATAGTGATATTATGCCAAATTAGGTCCTCAATGATGCCCAATAATATTTGAGAAAAGAAATGACCTTGACCCATATTCAAGGTCACAACGGTCAAATGCATTAAACCTTTGAACAACTTCTGCTTAACGGAAAGGCCTAAAATCATAATATTTAGTCAAAAGGTTCCCTTTATGGTGCCCACATAGTGTGTGAAAAAAAAGCTTGACCCATAAAAATATTTAAGGTCACTGGGGTTATATTTGGTAAAATCATTAACTTCTGATTGACCAGGCTATCATATTTGGTCAGTAAAAGTTTCACAAAGGCTTATATACAAATATGTAGAACCTTCCAATGACTTATTAAAGGAATATATTTGGCTGAGAATTTTCTTGGCATAATTTGGAATGAATTATAAAGACCTTTCACAGTGATGTCACACTGTTCCAAAAAATAGATTAGGCCAAGCCCCCTAGAGGTCCGAGAGGCTTGAGCTAAGTAATGTGAAAAACTTCATGTTAGCCAATAACTTGTGTTCTATTCACAGCATTGAAATACAGAAAACATGATCAGAAAGAGAGTTGCAAGAGCTTGATTTTGATTTAAGATTCTTCATAATTATTGCACAAACAAATAAGAAATTCTAAGTTGATCTCATTTGCTATGCAGTGTTTATAGGCCTACAGTAAACTGTTATCAGTATATCTCCAGTAACCGGGGCTTAACTGACCATGGTGACATCACAAATGATATGCATGAAACTTTTTATTATTGGTTTTGAGTTAGGATTATGGTTTATAATTACATGAACCTTAATTTTTCCTGTCTTTATATTTAATTGTTGCTATATATTGTTGACTTGTGCAAGTCTCAAATATGTTGTATCTGTGTTTGTAAACAATGATCTAAAGGGCAGGTAAGCTTCTGCTGTCCTGGGTCATCCATCCAGTTATAACTAAGAGTTTTTCTGAGTATATTGTTGGACCATTTTCTTTCCTTGATTTAAAAGAAAGCTATCAATTATATTTAACTGGAAACATCATAAGAAAGTCTCAATTCAACATTGCACAAAAGAGGGGGCTGACTACTAAGGGACAGAACCCATATGGAGTAATTTGTCATATTGCTTTAAGCATCTACTTTGGAACATATGCACAGATATAGCACTGTTGGTCATAAAGATAAGATGAACAATACAGGCCCTCTGGGCCTCTTGTTTTTGTGATTTGTACTTTGATTCTTATTTGGATCTCTGTCAATGTATTGCTTTGAAGATGATAAAATCATTTATTGCTTTTTATGGTTTGTAATGAATTATAACATTTCCACGTGTTTCAGAAACTTTTGGTTTTGCACATTAATTAGTGGTATTTCAATACAGGTCATACCATTACCACCCACTGATGTCATTTAGAAATTTCATCCTCCGAACAGCCTTTCCATTGTGGTAGAAACAGGTTATACAAACTCATAGTTGTTATTTATAATATTTATTCCACGTTAATTATTTTTCAAACGTTACAAAATAAAAACACTCACAAAAGTGATCGTTCTTTTGTAACTTTTGAAAAAATAAGTAAATTGAGTGGAAGAAATTAAGCATTCCTGCATTTCGTCATTATAGCGGGAATTATTTGTCTTTAATGACACTGCAATGACAATCGTGTTTGCACGCATCATGCGTGCGGGAACACGTGTATGTACCTTAGGTACACATTCTGTATGGTCACTTTCTAGCTGTCATCTCAATAGGCCAGACACAGCAAATGATTAGCTTACCTGGCCTGAAGGGGCAATTACGCTATATCGATACTGCTGTGTCCGCCATCCATCATCTGTCGTCCGTCATCCATCTGTCATATATACTATATATATACTCAAAGGATAAAGAAACGCAGTTTAACAGAGTAACAAGGGGAGGCTGGCGTCATCGAACCTGTCTATCCAGATGGTCCCACAAGTGGTCGATAGGGGATAGGTCGGGACTGTATGGTTGCCAGTTCAGTGGGTGGATATTGTTGTTAGTGAGAAAGTTGTAACAGATCCTACATGGGACCGAATATTATCCTGCTTGCATGTGAGGTTATTTTGCTGCAATAATGAGACACTATGAGGTCGAAGGATCTCATCTCTATACCTAGCGGCAGTTAAATTAGCCGCTACCATCACAAGTGGTGATTTAACTCCATGTAAGATTCCTCCCCACACCATAGTCGATCTACCCCAAACCCATCTGTCTCTTCTGTGCAGCCGTAGGCAAAACGTTCTCAACGACGTTGGTATACATGACGAACGTCTGCTCAAAACATGGTGAACTGGGACTCATCAGTAAACAATCGTTTCCTTAAAGTTTTTGTATATTTAGGACAGTTATGAATACCTATGGTAGGAAAGGCAGACTCAGTGGCAGTAAGGTGCAAATTGGACAAATGCATGACATGAATAAACCCGTCCTGATGTTGTGACGTTACATGCAGACGCCCAGACCTGGGTCTGTCAGCAACCTGCACAGTTTCCCTTAGATGTCTTACAAGACGTTCTAATGTGCAAATATGGACACCGAAATGTCTGGCAACCTATATGTGCCTTTGACCTGGCATAACCATCACAATCAATCAATTTCTTTAAAATATATTTTGTTCTTTAGGAATGGCAGGATATTGTCCAAATTTGGTCTGTAGCATGCGTGGGTGAAGAAAAATCAGTTTTGTTTAAATGGTGGGTCTTGGCCTCCTGGGGCCAGAGTGGCGGAGTCCAACAGAACAAATATATCGGTTTCTTTAAAATCTTGTTATGGATAGTGAATCTGACCTCTGTTTGACCACAAGGGCGGGACCCTTGTCATACTTGAATTTCTTTTTCAAATGGCCGAATAGCTGAATTAGCAGGTCAGCGATGCAGGCCCCTTTGACCTCTTGCTGATTTTCAACATTTATGATTCAAATTGGTTCTTTTATTTTTCAGTTTATTTATCGCACGCTGCAAAAGGAAGGTTTAAAAAAATAACGCATGTTCAACGTCACCCCTAGGTCCACCTGTTTGGATGTACAATATATGTAATGTATATTATGCAGATTCCAGGCACTATTGTTTTCTTTCTGGATGCCTGATGGGGAGAATGTTAGTTTGTATTAACTTTCACTTTTTAAAATTCTTGTACATTTATGTCAGTACCGTTTAATAACTGAGAAGCATGCTACTGAGTCTGTGACGTATCTTCTGTCCCTAACCAATTTAATAGCCATTACTAACTGGCAAAGCGAGGTTTTGACATGGATTGTGACATTTAGGATGTTTTATTTACATTAAACTCCGGCTGCTAATACAGTGGCACACCAGTACAGCAAATATATATCTGTTTGTTTGAGATATTCTATTTAACTAGTGCAGAGAAGACTACCGTATACAGCATCTGTCTTCCTACAGTTATATACTTCGTTATAGTGGTACTCAGATGGGAAAAGAGGCAAGAAATGTATCAAAATTTTCCTTTGGCTATACCCTAATACAGATTCTTCGGGAGCTATATTACTTCAACCATACCATCTAGCACTTAGATGTATGGAAAGCATGATTTTCTCTTTTCTGACAGAAATTTGTTCCCTAATCTCATTATGACGTCTATTACTAGATGAAATGTTGCTTAATCATAATTAATATCATTGATGTAAATACTCATTTATTAATCAAATTAAACATGCTTTTCTTTTCTTATCGTTTAACATCACAATTGAAATCTTTCAGGTTCTCCTTTTCTCGTAAGTTGATGTATTCACAAAATGGTTTACCGGTTTACGCTGGTTGCACGTGTATTCACTAGTAACTCTACAAAAATAAATAGATTTTGTGATTTAAGCTGTATTTGCATTGTTAACAAATATGCACCTATATAATTTGGATAATTGTAATATGAAGTATGAAGTAGCACATCCTTGTTGTAGATTATCGTGTCCAGATATGACGTGTGCTCCTAACAGCAAAATATTCACTGTTTTGTGAGCACTTCGAATAACCATGGGTCGAAATTAAAGTGTTTTTTATTTGGTACCCTACAGATAGGATGACATCTGCTGTAATGAACCACCAGTACAGGTTTGCTGTCGGTTATTTTTCATATTCCCATTGGTAATATTCCTGTCACTGTTTTTTAACCCATCACACGAGGTACAGATATGATGTGACTTTGTGTTATGTGTTATGTGATTTAAAGAATCGTATTTGTGCCCACAAGTTTGTAATATCATTTCAGAATTCGGTGTCTGCAACCTATTTCCAGTATCCGGTCCGTGACCTTGACCTCCGGTGGTTGACGACAATTCCTGTTCTGAGATCTGTGACACGAATGTAATTTTTGTATTAGATATTTTAGAATGTACTGCCTCTTTCGCTGTTGATTTCCTAGCATGGGTCATCATGTGTTTGAAGTAAGCTCTGAACTCGTAACAACAGACGTAATAAATAACGAAGTTTGAGACGAAAGTCGCAATGACGATGATGTACATGAGAGACAATGTCGTTTCAAGGTCATCACGACAGATGATGTCGACATGAAATACTAGTGATATTACAGACAGTGCCACCAAGATAGCTGCTGGCACTTCAAACACAAGAAAGACCCCTATCACCCAGCTAATCATGATCGTCAGTTTGACTTCTCTGTGATGCTCGTGCGCGCGTGCGTGTTTGACATGGTCGTCATTCCGAATAACGTGCAGTAGGTAGCATCTCATCCTAGCCGCCCTTCGTACCTGCCTGATCATTATGATACCGAAAACAATTAGTAGTATACATGGAATGACCTTGAACAACAACAATGACACAATGACGTGTGGAATGTAGATCATCGTGACGTCATCAGTCACCGGCTCCATGGAGCACGCAGAAAAAGTTGCATTACCTTCCAAGTATATATCTACTCTGTGATGCCCAAACCTGAATATGTCCACTATTTCTGGTACGATGCTGATTACGAAACAAGTTAACATTGCAGTGACTGTTCTCTGTGCGGTAAACCAACGGGAAACCTGCAACGGATACGTGACGCTGAGGCAACGCTGGAAGGCTAATAGGACGGTCAACAAGTTGACGGTGCTGTGACAAACAGTGGGAACTATGCTTGTTAGTAAGTACCACGTGCTACATAGATCGTATGGTAAATATGTCCTTATTCCCAGGAAATCAAACACATACACATATGCACATCCCGGGATAACTATGGTCAGCATATCAAAGAGACAGATGGTCCCGATTACAAGATGTGTTACATTTCTGGTCATCATTCGTTTCTTGGCGAGTATATAAAGAATGATACTGTTCAGTACTACAACGATGAGAGTTAAGAAAGGCCAGGCGTAGCCGTAGATGTAGATCTCAAAGTGATAACGGAAAGTCTCTTCAAAGTTAACAATAAAGAATTCCATGTCCATTCCCTCAAGTTTAACTCTGTGACTGGCGTGCCGGGAGGTGGCGCTGCTCTCCATACCAAACTTCATGCTGACGTTGGGCGGGAAACAATTCCTCATCGTTAGCTGGAGTAATCCGAGTGGTATTTTAACTCCTGAAAAGATGTAAATATGGATATTTATTGTCAAAAAAAAAATACATACAGAAAAATGAACTTTACAAAACATAGTTAACTATTTCCTTTTTTTAGAAGCAATATAGTATAGAAATGGACCAACCGGGTATTTACATAGCGATAGTTATGTAATTCCTCTGTTAGAATCTATTCACAGAAATGGACAAAGTTTGATATTCAGCAATGGTGTGCTATGACGTAATGTACGATTACACTATAGCAAACGAATAGTCTAACACCACCTTTTGGACGAGTTGACATGAGCTTATCTAAGGACTGCCAGCTCTTCATCTACATTCACAACACGTTTCCCGGTTGTAACATGGCAAAATAGATTTATTTTCAAAGAGCAGGTCATTTCAGTAAACGCGTCTCAATCCTCGACCCCAAGCTAACCCCAAGACAACCAAAAGGGCGGAGACCACATTTTAATAGCAAAGTTCAAACTTTCACCAACATTTCGTGCACATGCTTTCACGTTCCCGTCTGACCGGTCATCAATAGTACATGGAAACATTTTCACCAGCATGTCGTCTACCGACAAACAAATCTTTTCCCAAAAGGCCCATAAGGGCTCATCTTCCCTAATGAGATGCGATATCTTACACCGTGCGCAACGCTCAAAGACCATCCCGGAAGACGGCAACCCTAACGTCATGTTTCCGGTTGCTGGAACAGCAACATTTGATGTTCTCCTTCACAACGGGTTTCAGGAGAGAACATACTGCATGATCGACCGCCAGATGGCCACAACTCTTTAGCTTCATCTCTCTGACCTCAGATGAGTACTGGCAGTTATGTTTCTTTCCTATTTTCACGAACATCATACTTTACAGGTCAGTGTCACATTCGTCAGTCACCATCATCATCAAATGGCAGTTCTCAACAATGGAAATGTCGCACCAATCCCAAACACTCACGAACAGTGAGGTAATGTCTCACATAGTCATCATACTCTTAGCATTGGCGATTTCCGTTCCATGCTAAAGAAAAGACCACGATAGATCGAGCGATTGAACAATCGACCATCGTCCGATTTGGTGTGAAACAATCTGACATCTATCAAACCTGTATCCCCGACCATGGTAGTTGTTCCGCTGCCTTAACAGTAACCACCCTGTGTGGTTTACCATAAATGGCGACCCTTTCACACCAAAGTTTCGTCCAAACCCATGAAGTCGAGGACCTTCCCGAAATAATTGGTGCGTAACAGAGGTGATTTTGGACAAAATCTATAACAGAGAGAGAATCGGACCTTTGTTGGTTTGAGAAACTTTGTCACCCTACCGACATTTTTTTTTAATAGCAATAATATGCGGACGTGTTCGTTATTATATTCTCAACAATCTCCCAAAAAAGTATCTTTTTCGGGACTTGTCAACTGTGTGTATTTCATCGATGATGTAAGAAAAAACACTAAAACAAGACCTGGCGAGGAAGAACAATGCTCTGAAAGCAGTAAGAACCGTACACAAGACAAAAAAGTGTCTCTGCCTCTTCATAATTATCGTTCACTGTAATGTTATAAGCCTATTGGAATATCATGAAATAAACATGTGTACCCTCGTCTCCAATATTGTACTGTACATCACTTAATTTCGCGTGGGATTTATATTTGAGTTAATACTCGAAAAGAACCCATTGCTAATTCAAATCCCTCACAACTATTTGAACGAAAATAACTCAGGACGGCATCCATTTTGACTCAGTAACCGATACCCGAGTCCATGTCTCTAACAGTTCGTCATTTGCAAATTGAAAGCCATTTCTAGATTAACATTAGCGAAATCATGTATTCGTGAATATGTTTGAAGAGGTTAGCCCACGAAATAAAATATTTGCGAAATTTAAGTGATTTACAGTATTTAGTTCAAACGGATAATTACATTCGATGGAGAGCATTATCAGTGGTACTGTCATGGGCACCAAGATGGCACTTTTATATGTAAATATATCTATGGGCCACCTTGAGTCTAGGCTACTTGCAGCAGCCCCTTTGAATCCGCTCAGCTGGTTTAGATTCACTGATGACATTGCGATGAAGAGGACATCCGCTTGAGAATATCTTGAGAAATTCATTTGTTTTACCAACGAATTCCACATGACCATTAAGTTTACTGCTGACATCTCTGGCGGGAAAAAAAAACTTTCTTGGACACTTGTTCAACACTCGCCAACGGAGAAGTAAGCACGGATATATACAGTTAACCCACTAACACTCACCAATACCTTCGCCCATCTAGTTGTCACCCACCTCGTATCACAAGCGTTGAGAATCAGACATATTGTTTCTGACAACGACGTCTTTAGACGGCGTTGCTTAGAACTGAAGTCCCATCTACTCAACAGGAGGTATAAGGCAGGTCTGATCGACTGCGAAATCGACAGCGTTAAAGAACTAGATAGGGCTAGTACACTTGAATACCAAGTGTGACCAAAACCTGGGAGGGTACCTTGTGTGGTAACCTTTCATCCCAGTATGCCACCATTGTCAACGATCTTCCAGAAACACTTGCAAGTCCTGCTGTCGTCCAGTAAACTTCATAACATTTTCCCAGAACCACCAATACTAGCTTATCGCAGACCGAAAAAACATCAAAGACCTGGTAGTGAGTGGTAACCTACCAACAACTTCCAACACTGCTGTAACTGGCTGCTTCAAAACATGTAACAGTAAGAGGTGCAAGCTTTGTCCGTATACTCACAGCACCAGTTCATTCAAATGTGATCAACGGCCAGAAATACCACATCCTCCAGCGGAGACAAAAACACAGGATCAACAATCATCGATCTGCTACCAAACAGAAACGCCCGGACCTGCCTGTAGCAAGATATTTCAACAAGCCAAGCCATACGTGGCAAAACAAGCAGGTGGTAACCACTGACCACTGAATTTGGTTGACCAACAACGCCTCAGTAAGGAACGACACTGGATCAACCAACTCCAAACCTGCTTCTCACTTGGCCAGAACGAGAGATGATCTTGCTGCTTCAAACGCGCCTGGTCATACATACCTGGCAATCGGTACATTTTACGCCATATTGTATCATCAACAAAGTAATAACGACAGCATGGACAAGTGAATTGTCAAACATTCGAGGCAATCTGTCCCTTTATCAAGATACAAAAATCACACTAACTACATCACAAACATAAAACATAGTGTAAATTTAGGTGTCTTAATAATCCGTTTGGCCGATGGATGCCGAATGACTTAATAAGGTACATAAGAACCACCGTAAGTTTTTAACAGATAAAAAGTTATAGATTTAAGTGTCTCGATAATCCTTTTGGCCGATGGACGCCGAATGCCCTTTATAAGGGACAAAAAAATCTGAAGTTGTGGGATGAAAGATGGTAATTTAAATATCAAAAAGGTTTAATATATATGTCGGTAAGTTGTGCACTGTCTACTCCGAGGAAGGGAGTTTACGGGTACAGCTCGGCCCCAATCTTAAAAAAACTATTGTTTGATTACAAATAAGAAAATTAATTGTAATAAAGTGAATGTATAGTTTCAAGAAATTAAGTCTTTTCGATAAAAATCACCAGTTATTTTTTTAAAATAATATTTTGAATATGGTCGTATAGACCCTGGATTATATATACCGACCAGGTTTACGGTGGATAAGACACACAAGTCTGTATCTTTCAAAACAGCGTCATATAATATAGCAAAACAGTAAATGAAACTGTATCATACAATTTTTGTCCTTCTATAGGACTTGTCAGTTATGTTAAGTGTTGAGATCTAGAAGGCGATGAACAGACGGCTAAAAATGCGTCCGACAAGAACGGGTTATATAAGGCTTGAACTTTACATGTCTCTCTGCAAGTGACATCATGCAAATTTAAAAACTTAGCAATATCCAAGATTTTCAATAAGATATCCTCCTTTTCACCAGATACCGGATCGTAATCCTCGGTAAGCGAAGCGTATTCACGCATGAGAAAAGAATCAACAGCGATCCTATTCTCCGTCACCATTACTTCGATAAAAGTGATGCGAAATATAAATGGATAAGGTTATAAAAAATGTTAAAAACTGACCGGAAAGTGACCTCTAATACTTATTTTAACGATAAAAATTGTGGGTTACAAAATTTACTTCTATATATTTAATTCTATCTTAAAATAAAATCATACCAAATGAGCAATACAAATTAACAGATAACAGGACAGTAAGGACAGTAAGAAGCAAATAACAGTCCACCAAAAAGACCAACTGAAGGGGCAGTATTCTCTCTTATATTTCCATAGGAAACACAGTGGTCATATATTCAAGTTTAAAGCCGAGAATAAAGCTCAAAAGAAGCCAGAGATGGTACCGTTGGAATCAGTAAATATCCGACCCTCTAGTAAATCTGTGGTTCTGATTAGGAGTAATGGAAAAATAGGGGCTAGAGCAAATAACGAAAATTGTCCAGATACGCCGAGTCTGGCGTGAATCAGGATGAACGGGCTCATATTAAGAATAGTAGAATCCAATCCTTTTTTTTTTTTGACAGATCTCGTATTATGTAAATCTGTACGGTTCATACAACATGCACTCAATTGATAAATCTTAGAAAGTCAAAATTTGTGAACAACAAGAATATACATTAAATAAATGTTTAAGCAACTGATTGTGCATCGTCAGATTGGAAAGACCTCAATGTATTTTCGGGATACGTGTATACAAACTATGGGAGGTCGGGTGGCGCAGTGGTAACACACCACCCTTTCACCTAGCCGTCCGGGGTTCGATTCCCGGAATAGACGTGAAAATCTAAGGGGTCACCGGCCCGACCATGTGGGTTTTCCGCAGGTACTCCGGTTTCCTCCAACAACAAGACATCTCGCGCGCTTACACCCGGGCCAGCAAGAGTGATTAGTATAAGTTGAAATAACTTGTTCGCAATTGTTGTAAAATAAGTAAAGTTTATATATATTATATATATATATATAATGTATCTACTTACATTATAATCGTTGGAATTAGTTGTAATTTTTCGAATTTTCTGTAATACATACCTCTGAATCAACTGTACTCCTGAAACATGAAGATAACCTGCGGTCCATACATTCACCGTTTGTCGTCCAACCCCAAACATGTAATCCCGCTGTCCACTCCTCCACCATCTGGCTACCGAATACACAAATAGCACGTCACCACTGAAACGTAGCCAACCTGTCATTCGTGTTAATACTCTGGTGGTCAGTTTGGCATCATTTATCATAAGATATATTTTCTCCGTGGTATAAATCGGTCAAGTGCTGGGTTATCACTTGTAAAATATATAGATATATTTATTGACTCACTGAAAGAGAGACGTTATTCGTTTAACAATAATACCTCAATAATACCTCTATATACCATGGAGATGTTATATCGAATATCGCGGCAATTAACCTTTCGGACAAGCACCTGTCATATGAGTTAGTGCGATGTAAACATTGATCAACTACACCGCTAGCAGCTATAGTTATGTTCAACTTACACTGTTATATACACAATGTAGCAGCCGTTTGTACGCTTCACAAACTTCATCCCGATAACCTTCTGTCGGAGATATTTGTTGGTCAGACCAAGCCTTTCACTAAACACAGACAAAGCAAGTTCCTCTTCGTTATCAAGCGTAGAGGGTGAAGAGCAATAATGTCCTTCCTTGTGATTGAGATAGGAGATAACCTCGCCATTTTTCGCCTCTTGGAGTTAAACCAAGTTTAGAATCCCTTATCTAAACTTCAATGGTTGATTTTTTTTTTTCATCCTTTTGGGCTTCTATACAATGTAATGCTACTATCACAACGTTGGCATTGTTGACGTCCCGTTATTGGATTGGCTTTTGACGGGACGTCAATGAATTGTTGCTGTGACGTCAGACCATTGTCCTGATAGGAGATTTACTTTGTTCCACCTTATGGTATGACAAGGAAATTCCATCCCTATGAAAGCAGGGATTCGACTGTGTCCGGGTATGGTTTGAGCCGAGTGTTTCCGAATGAGTATCCTCGGTGAATCTCACCCCAAGAGTTGAATCATTATTTGTATCTACTTTTAGGGGTTTGATACATAAATGTTATCTGTTATCTCAATGCACGGCATCGTTGACATGTCATTGCTCTGTCGACGTGGCGTTAATGAATTGTTGATATGGGCGCATTGAATTGTTGTGACGTCATATCATTGTTCTGTCTCATCATAATTTCTTCCATTATTGATAGTCGTTATCAATATTGTCATTGTCATTAACAACGTCAAACCTTTATCATAAATAGTTCATATTCACCGACTCATCAAATTTAGTTATTATAACTAGTAATAATTTATGGATATACAAACAATAAAACCACAATACTATCTTACACTTAGCCTACATAAAGCAGAAAGTGTCATTTAATGTTAAATGTAATTAACCTTCTTTCATGAGGTATAGCGAACGATTTTTCGGAAATGCAGCTTTACAGCAAATTTGATCTCTGTTACATTGAAATGCAAAGGATTTTTGCTAATGAGCCCTGCTAAAAATATATTACTTGCAATTATTATAATACTGGAAAAATGGCATGTATGTCATATGTTGTTTAATACATCAGGGGGTTAGTAACATGTTTCGCAATCGTATTCTAGTCCATGTACCTAATACCCCTTTGATGGTTTCTAAGAGAGTTAAATTAAGTAGGATAAGAGCAATATCAAACTAGAGATTTTACTGCAGATCAATGGCTGAATTTAGGTTTAAACATATTTCATACATTATAATAATAAAGCATGATATTTGATCGGAATGATTCGTGCGTATATCTTGAATAATGTCTAATCATTGTTTAGATTACGGTCTGTTAAGATACTAAGCTGGCTGGTGTGCGACATCAATCACTCCTTATATGTACAAAAGTGGGCGGCGCTTACTCCAAATCTCGTGCCTACGAGAGTGACCTTAGCTAAGATGGCGGGTGCTTGAATTGCCCGGGATAAGAAAATAATGGGACAACAAACAACAAGTTTTCGTTGTTGATGACGTGCAGGCAGATCTCCTTATCATGCGACTTCTGAAGCCAAGTTGGGTCAACCATGGTGGTAGGCAGTGATTTATTTCGTTTGCAAATAAATTCTAAATCGTTAATATCAAGTGCAGAAGATGCAAATTGCTGCGCATGCACTGGTCACACTGCAGTTTTTATTTTTCGCTGAATGTATTACGTTAGACATTTTGTATGCTTAGCCCTATTTTCATAATTACATTGGTGCTTTATTAAATGCTGTTTCACCGACTTTTCGTGAATTGCAAGTTTATTCCAGATTTGTTTTCGGTAAAAAATCTTATCAAATCTAAATTATTTCCAGCTGACCAAAGACATTTTTCGTCGCATCTAGACTCCATGAATCCATTGTCATATCTCTGATGCTTGTACAATTGGAGATCTGGATTGGAGAAAGCGTACAACAGGTGTCATCGCCTGTTTTTATTATAGCGACTTAGGAAATAGAGGGACATATTGTCCATTCCATTCTCCCAGAGATATACATTATATATTTAATCAAGTATAGAATGCATAAGTGTAACCCTGGTAAAATACTAGCCGCAATATACCTTTCGACTAGACCGTACTTCTATAAAGTGGATCCGCTTGAACATCACACAAATATATAAAAGGTCCCAGGTCGAATTCTAGCAGAGGGATTGAAATGAAAAAATAACCTTCAGTTCATTGATGTCGATATAAGAATTTGGAAATGATATGTTGCGTTACTTTCACAAACATCACTAACCCATGGAAACTTGAGGACAAGTAATTTCTGGAGGGTAAGGATATAATATAGGTAAAATATACAGGCACAATATATTGCTCGACAAGACAAGTCTTTTCTTAAGCTCAGTCAGTTGACCAGTAGCCAAACTGTAGTCATCAGTTCAAATCAGACATGACATGAACTAAATAATGGCTTTTAGTTTCACGAACAATGCTTATACAGTTGAAAGATTGTCAAGATACAGCAGTGTGATAAAGCTGTGAAAACCCCATTCCTGATGAGTGCCCAACTCAGGTTTCTCAGTGTGATAGAACACGAATATAAAATATAGACCCAGCTCGTGAGTGTCTTCAGGGTTGGAAAAAATTGAAAGAGAAAGTAGTATAGAAGGAGAGAATTGAGGTCATCTAGGTAGCAGCACTTAATGGAATATCCCCTTTAGTCAAGCTTAGTGTCCAGCTCGAGACCAAAGGTTCACACTTTGTTTTAATGTCCATGGGTACAGGGTGTTTCATTAGTCATTCCTGTTACATAGCGACCATGACCTTTTCCATTTCCAGACCTTAATACCAAGACTTGCTTGATAAGCCATCAAGTTGATAAGTTAAGCCAACCATATGAAATTGAGTTCAGTGCTGGTATGAAATAACAGGGAAAAAATCTGGTATCTGGTATGATTATCATCTTCTTTGGAAATGAAGTAAGAATGATAAATGCTAGTTGAATGAAAAAGACCATTTTCAAACTATTATAGAAGTTGCTATGGTACTCCATTTACATTACAATGACACAACCCAGCAAAATTTTACATTTGTCGAAAGAGTATAAGCTTCAAGACAAGAATTGATTCAGACACTCAATTTAACCTTAATGCTTATCACACTGAACTAGTTTAAATACTGGCCAGACTGTAGTTTGAATGCTATTTCATTGTTCTTCAGTCAGTTCATCACAGTAGCTCAATCAGTAGAGTGTCCGACTTTGTGTCCTTAGGAAAGACACTTTTCCCCCACTGCACTGGATGACATACAATACGTCCTCTGAAGTTTGTTTATTCAGTTAGCCACAAAATCCTATGTACAAGGAGACCCCACATTAAAATGACTTGATGAAGCGTTCTGATCCATAATCTGTATGTTAGCTCCTTGGTGTTTATTTTAGAATAACTAGTATGTATAAATGGCTAAACTGAAAGATAATTTGAAAGTGTTATCTGCAAAATTTGCAGTAGGTAAAACAAGATATTGCACTAATAAGTGTTTTATGTTTTCATTTATACTTTATACACTATAATTTGATATATATCTTTCTGTTTTGTTTGTTTATTGTTATTTATTCATCTTTCAATGAATTTTCGCTTTTTTTTTTAAATGGAAAAAATCTTATTAAATTGGATTGATTACTAAATACTAGTTTGTTTCTTTCATTTTCTGTTGCAGGAAAACCAATATTTTCAGTGGACATTCACCCAGATGGATCTCGTCTGGCTACTGGTGGTCAAGGTAGTTAAAATATAGACATTGTTTGCTGTCTTTAACAGCATTGCAGTTGTGAAAGACAAAGTTTTAACAGTCTAAATTTGTAAGTGAAATCAGAACCAGGGTTTAATATAGACATAAAAAGAGTAAATTCTGTTGAGGTTTATGTGAAGTGAGTACAACATTGCAACAGTGTTTGCTTGCTATCAGAAACATTGATGATCAATTATTGTCAGTTCAGGTGATAGTTTTCATTTTGTTCTCAACAGGAGAAGATTCTGGGAAGGTTGCCATTTGGAATATGGGACCTATCAAAGATGAAAGGGAAGAAAAAGACGACAGCATTCCTAAACTCCTCTGTCAGATGGACAACCACCTAGGTAAAATTATACTGTGAAAGTTTCATTTCATGTGGAAGACAACTGATTCAATATGCAATGGCCTGATCCCAATATTACAATTTCATTCAAGATGTTGTCAACTGACGGACAAACTCGTGACGTAGGGTTTCATAAGATACAGGTTGATGAAAATTATGGAGAAAGTTTTACGGTCATCATAATGATTTCATTGAGAAATATTGTGTTTCATTGATGATATGAAACTGGATGTGTTTGATGCTCATGGTTTGTGTGGTGTTTCAGTTGTTGTTTTATGTGTTCTCATTTGGAAAGGTGATATAACGTACTTTGATTGACCAAGATGTCGTGTTGTTGATGAAGCAGAAGATGCTTACTTCTTGTACTTTTTCATGAGTTTCTGTGTAAATCATTCTTGTGTTTGTATTTTGCCCTAGTTTTATTGAATTTGTGTATGTATTTTGCCCTAGTTTTATTAAATTTGTGTTTGTATTTTGCCCTAGTTTTATTAAATTTGTGTTTGTATTTTGCCCTAGTTTTATTAAATTTGTGTATGTATTTTGCCCTAGTTTTATTAAATTTGTGTTTGTATTTTGCCCTAGTTTTATTAAATTTGTGTTTGTATTTTGCCCTAGTTTTATTAAATTTGTGTTTGTATTTTGCCCTAGTTTTATTGAATTTGTGTTTGTATTTTGCCCTAGTTTTGTTAAATTTGTGTTTGTATTTTGCCCTAGTTTTATTAAATTTGTGTTTGTATTTTGCCCTAGTTTTATTGAATTTGTGTTTGTATTTTGCCCTAGTTTTATTAAATTTGTGTTTGTATTTTGCCCTAGTTTTATTAAATTTGTGTTTGTATTTTGCCCTAGTTTTATTAAATTTGTGTTTGTATTTTGCCCTAGTTTTATTGAATTTTTGTTTGTATTTTCTTGTTTTCTTAATGATTTGTTTCTTTGTAAGACATATTTTCAAAAGTCTTACAATTCCATTGCCCCAGTCATTATTGAGGATTTCAGGAAAACTTTCTATCATTTGTAAGTTTAACATATAGCAAATTTGTAACTATAATCATCATTATCATTGAAGTTCTTAAAAAGTTACTACCACTGTGCAATGTGTCATTTTTTTGCATTTATGCATGTTTATTTTTTAACATGTAATCAATATAGGCTCAGAATGATACATGTTTCTTCTGAAGACGCTTCGAAAAAACAAAAGCCAAAACTGGTTGGTTAGTTTCAAGTCGTCTAAACATCTGATTGCGTCAAGGAAATCTGGATTTTTCGGGAAAATTCGGAATCTGGATTTCTCATGTATTGAACTTGCAGATTGGGTATTGTACCTTAGATGTTCTATCTTTATATAGCTTGTGTGAATTGTGTCCGTTGGTCCAGCAGTGGAAAGTACCTGGCCTCTGCAGGAGATGACAAGCTGGTGATGGTCTGGCAGATATCGAAGTAAGTATTGCTTTGTAGATTATTTTGGTTTGGCTTTCTTGTTATAATGCAATGTTTAGTACTTTATGGAATATCACCTGGATGTAAATAACTGTAACATTTTGTTAAATCTCTTTAATAGGTGTAAAACGAGAAACTTTTGCACACTGGTACTGTGTTCAGAAATTTTCAAGTTTTGAAATCATGAAATCAAAACTAGAGATTTGTATGTTTGTGATAAAAGTGAAACCAACTTTCTGAGAAAGATTTTATTTTAGTAAAAAATTCAATGTATTTGTAAATTTTTGTTGATAAAAAAAGTTATAAAATGTATGATCAACACATTTACCAGGTGTTATGATGTGAACAAGGCATCTGCATAATCCTTTCTTAACCTTCAATACAAACTCTATTCATTAGGAAAACTTGTGTTAAAACAGTAAGTGCTTTTAAAAGTAACATCATATATGTTTCTCTGATTGCAGTTATGCTGGTGGTACAAGTGTATTTGGTTCTGGTAAACAAAATGTTGAGCAGTGGAGACCAGCCAGTACACTCAGGGGTCACACTGGAGGTAAGCCATAGATCTTCCATTCCCAACATTACAAAGCCAATTCTTTTTTCTGAAACACATATATATGTAATGTTTTTACCGTAAATATTCGCATATAGTGCACACTTTTTTAAGCTGAAACTGTCGTGTCAAAAAGGGGGTGCGCACTATACGCAGGTACATGCCATTCCTGGGGTTATCATTCCCGAGTTTTGCATCCGCCATATTGGATTACCTCCCTTCACATAGTTATATGTAAAAGTCATCGGTCTTATATGATAGTTTGGAGATAAAAACAACAAAAAAATAAAATGTTTTAATCATCTGCCATTCACGCTAGCATTACGGTGAATCTGATTTTTTTCGTTTCCTGTCGGTCTTACTATTGGTCGGGGCTATAGTAGTGTCTGAATTTCTGCCTCATTTTGATGATGTATCTGTGGAATTCAATGAATCCAGAAGTTTTTAGGCGATTGTCGTTCTGTTCATAAATCGGACAGCCCATCCCACCGATGCCCAAAGTTGGTGACCCCATGACCTCTCTTGATCTGCATGGCCTGCACGCGCCGTTCTGTTGTACTGGCAGCGATGCCGGGATATCGGCGATCGCATACAAAGTTGAACAGCTCTCTCTCTCCATCTCTGGGTGTTTCGCTGTCGCACCTATGTCAGCCCTTCTGGTCAGTGGTTGGGACATTAGACGGTCTTTTCTTTCTTCCGTGCCTTGATATTTCACTCTGGAATGTCGAAATGGCGACCGGCGGCACGAAACTCCAGTCTCTTGGCATAGTCAAATAGCGTTCACAGTTTCCCCATGTCGAAGTCGGTGTAAACAATCTATCATTAAATACCTTCGGATACCGCGGTGGGTACAGATACCATGAAAGATCATGCCTATACTGAACAAACCACCTGCTTTTATGGGGACAAGGTAGGATTGAAAATGTTCAGACAGTTAAAACAACATCGTTTTCTGACCAATAGTACGCGTTCAGCCCAAGCCGGGTGTCATCAGTCTCCTCATACTCAACGTGTTAACTGTCATTAACCGTTAATTATACAATTAGCCAAGCCTTTCATGCTTGTTAGGTCACCTGGGTAAATTTGTTTACTTAAGGTAATTACATGTGTTAGGGTCACGCTCATTGTGGTTTCCTAATTATCAATGGATCAGACCACATCACATGTTTCGTCGCAGTGACCAGTCAATTAATTTTTCTGTAGATTTTTTTTTTTAAATCTGATCTCCAAAAAGTACCTGCGCACTATACGCGAGTGCGCACTATACGCGAATATTTACGGTAATTATTATCAAAACAGTAGATTACTAGGTCACCTGAGACAGATTCATCTTTGTACATTCTTGTGTGTTGTGAGAGCATTCATTATTTGTCAGTAAACAAATGTTATTTTATGCAAGTTTCGTAAAAACCTCCAAATCAGTTTTATAAAGTTTAGCAAGAAATTTCCATGGCAAAAGATGAAGCAAAATTAGGAATTGTTTTTGTTTATGTATGGCTCATGGTTCCCAAGGGCCCAGAATGGCAGTACCAAAACAAGCCTGATTGTCTGAAATTTCATAATTTACTACCTAGATCCAGTTAATGTAGAAGCAAGTTCTGGCTATGGTTAGGAGGATCTAAAGACACTTTATGCAGATAGTGATTAGCATTAACTTCAGGTCTCCTTTACCCTTGGCAAGAGTTATCTATCCTGGAGTTATTATAGGAAAATCATTCTTCCAAGAAGATTGGTGTTTATTTTTGGTTGTACATGTGTGCATAAGTCTTAGATTTACTGTTTTCAGGTTACTTGATTTGTCATTGTGGGAAGGTAAATCAAGGTTTTTTTCATCCTTGATTTGTTGTGGGGTAATAATAGCCTTTTTTGTTACTGATATCCAGGATTTGACTTTGGATAATGATGGTTGTTTTTGTTACATATAACCTGGATTTGTTGTCGGATAATGATGGATGTTTTTGTTACATATAACCTGGATTTGATGTTGGATAATGATGGTTGTGTTTGTTACATATAACCTGGATCTGATGTCGGATAATGATGGTTGTTTTTGTTACATATAACCTGGATTTGATGTTGGATAATGATGGTTGTGTTTGTTACATATAACCTGGATCTGATGTTGGATAATGATGGTTGTTTTTGTTACATATAACCTGGATTTGATGTTGGATAATGATGGTTGTGTTTGTTACATATAACCTGGATTTGGTGTTGGATAATGATGGTTGTTTTTGTTACATATAACCTGGATTTGGTGTTGGATAATGATGGTTGTTTTTGTTACATATAACCTGGATTTGATGTCGGATAATGATGATTGTTCTTGTTACATATAACCTGGATTTGATGTCGGATAATGATGATTGTTTTTGTTACATATAACCTGGATATGATGTCGGATAATGATGGTTGTTTTTGTTACATATAACCTGGATTTGTTGTCGGATAATGATACATATAACCTGGATTTGTTGTCGGATAATGATGGTTGTTTTTGTTACATATAACCTGGATTTGTTGTCGGATAATGATGGTTGTTTTTGTTACATATAACCTGGATTTGTTGTCGGATAATGATGGTTGTTTTTGTTACATATAACCTGGATCTGATGTCGGATAATGATGGTTGTTTTTGTTACATATAACCTGGATCTGATGTCGGATAATGATGATTGTTTTTGTTACATATAACCTGGATCTGATGTCGGATAATGATGGTTGTTTTTGTTAGATATCCTGGATTTGACTTTGGATAATGATGGTTGTTTTTTGTTACAGATATCCTGGATTTGTCATGGTCTGGTAATGATGCATGGCTGGCCACCTGTAGTGTGGACAACACAGTCATTGTGTGGAATGCAGAGAAGTTTCCAGGTATGATGCCAAGGATTAGTTCAAGGAATGGAGAAGTTAAGAAAAACATCTAATAATCATAGTGATAAGATACTTACTTGATAAACGTATTGCTGAAAAAGATATCACTAAATATGTCCTCCACTTTACTATAATTTATAAGATATTGAAGCTCAGTGCACTTTTGGTCTCAAAGTAGTATGCTCTAGCATTGCTGTTATGTCTGAGAGTTTTTATGAAGTATTTTTAATGATAACAGAACAAATTGTGATGCTGAAAGGACACAAAGGTCTAGTGAAGGGGGTGACGTGGGATCCTGTCGGCAAATACCTTGCCTCTCAGGTAACTCATCTTACTTTCAATGACTGAAATGGAATCTGGAAACCCAGATAGCTGTAAATAAATCCATAGTTGAAAATTTTGAAACTCAAACTTTTATATTAATGTCAGATTGTTTATTTGTTTAGAAACAAAAACAACTTAGAAACTAAGTAGAAGAAAAGAAATTAGAAAGAAAGCTCCATCTGAGGCACATGCAAATTTCGAATTACATGAGTATTGGGAGACGGATATAAATTCTACTATTAAAAGATTTTGAATTGTTAATCAGTATATCTCTTTCTAGTCTGATGACAGAAGTGTGAGGATTTGGAGAACCAAAGACTGGCAGGAAGAGTCAGTTATAACAGAACCGTTCCAGGAGGTGAGTGAATTCTCTAATGAAAGTAAGTTGGAGCTAATCTCACAAATTTAAGTTTCACTTATCTGTTAAACCCCTCTGTGTTATGATTTTTTTATTGTAAACATCAAAGATTTTATAAAGAATGTATCATCTTGTTCTGTAATTTTCAGGGAAAGAATGTGCCACAATTGCAGATAACTTTCTTTTTAGGGAGATTTTATGTTTAATTCCTCAATTTTTTACTTCATTTCCTCTAACCCGGAGTATGTAAGTAAACAGATAGACATGATGCCCATATTCACATACACCTGCCTTAGTACACATTGTCATGTAAGGGGAATGTAATGTTATCACATCCCCATATGGTATCTCAGAATCTGCATGGTGTTTCAGCAGTGGGACCTGTGCAGGTTCAATATAAATCACAAAATAATGTTGCCTTTTTTTGCTACAGTGTGGAGGTACGACCCATGTGCTAAGACTAAACTGGTCACCAGATGGTCACTACATTGTATCTGCTCATGCCATGAACAACTCTGGACCGGTAGCCCAGATCATTGAACGAGATGGCTGGAAGTGTACTCTGGATTTTGTGGGACATCGCAAAGCCATCACATCTGTGGTAAAAATATGCTAGATGTGTTTTTAAAGTCGTTGTATAACATTTATGGTACAAGCACTCTAAATATATTTACCTATGTGTAAGAAATCCCTAGACATTCAATATGAAAAAATAATTCAATGAATTCATCTGTTCATATCAACAGACTAGTTGCCCAACAAGACATACAGCTAGACAATGAAACTGGTGTTAAAAAAACGGTCTGGCTGAAAACACTGGTAGTAAAAATCAGGGATTAATGTAGACAAATTTCACTACCAGAAAAGTTTAGTGTTCCCAAAGTGGTATGGTTTTTCAGAGGAACTATCCAAAATTCCTCATTTTTCCACAATAGGTAGTATTCCTCCTTCTTCCAGAGTAACCCTTGACAGTAACCTTATTATAAAGCAGGGCCACAATATCTTATTCATGACTCCATCTACTGGCATATACTCATCCTCTTACTGGCATAATAAATATGTAACAATTATTGGCTTCATATTAGGTTCATACTAGAATTTATTTATCCAAGGAAATTAGGTTAACCTGTTGTAAAGTTGTCTTTCATTTGATTTTACAATAATCGTAATATGTCTACTGTATTAGAATAAGATGGTGTCAACTTCAATCTAAACAGAAGATCACAATATGGATGCTTGTTTTAGCCTATATGTATCACAGTTACAGTTTCAGCCTATTGCCAAAGCCTTTGGAACCAGCTTTCTGATTAGTGGAAATGTTCCAACAGATTATCTGATGGTAGATGCATGCTGTAAACCATGACACGATCTTTCAAAACAGTGTCATGCATGTATACTGTTGTGTGAGACAATCCAAGTATTATACTGAAATCTTGATAGACTGGTTGTTCAGGAAAATATTTAGATTAAGATTTGCATTTGTCTCAAACTAGCATTGCTCTGGTTTGCAGATTCTGCTAATTTATGTCTGGATGAACAGACTGGTGATAGGTGAACAGATTTATTGAACAGCCAGAGAAGTTAAAACGATCAGTCATACAATGATATGAATTGGTGTATGATTGAATAGACCCTATTTTGATATTTATCAGGTTATTGGGAGAAACATTCCTTTCAAGACATCAGTCATGTAGGAGTTGTAGATTATTTCTGGTACATTCAGGTTACATTACACTGTGAAGCAGGTATAGACATTGTCTGTTGAAATTTTTCTTTTCCCTTTTCCAACATTGTTTTGAGTCATTTATGTTACATCTGTAAACCTTGTATATTCTGTGAAATATGAGAGACGTAAAGTGTCATAATTTCCAGGTATAAAACTTATGTTATTTTGTTTTTCACTGCAGAGATTCAATCCAAACATTTTTTCCAAAAAATCAAAGAAGTCGTCAGAAAAGGTAAGACTTTCAGAGTTTACAGACATACTACAGAAAACTGAGACGCAATCAAGGCCTCTGAGTGGTTATTTGTCGAAAATCTGATCTATTTTGCTAATGTTGTCCAAATTCATGGGCAAATTTCTAAGTCTTACTGAACAACAGTTTTAAATTTTTTTAGATAATCTGTTATGTCTGCCATGATTTCTGAATGGCTGATATATTATTAGCTGTAACAAATACTGTTTTCTATAACACTGATTACTTCCAAAATGGCAGAGATTAAAGTATTGATAAAAAATGTATCATTACTTTATGATCAATTTATTGTATTATTTGAAGAGATGCCAGCACTAATATCAACACAACATGTCCATGTTTGTAGGTGCAGAATTACACTTGTTGTGCAATTGGAAGTCGGGACAAGTCATTGTCAGTTTGGGTAAGTTCAGAATTATGATCATAATAATCCATACACTTTTTGTTTCCAACAAAAGCCCTTTGATGCTGGGGACAATTTTAGAAACAATTGCAGATCTGTCCCATAAAAGTACAAGATTGGTTGTAACAGGATTAATGTAACTTGGCTGTAATTAGTAATAAAAGTTTTAGATAAGCCATAATGTAACAAATTTCTTCCATGGTACCAAATCATGGTTTCTAGAAAATGACTGAAGATGACCTAAAATGTCTGTTCAAATTCCTGAAATAAATGTTGATTTCTCTCCTTTCAGCTGACTTCCCTGAAAAGGCCACTGGTTGTTCTTCATGATTTGTTTACCAATTCCATTTTGGATATTTCATGGTAAGTGTGAGGACAGATGTTGATTAAGTTTTAGGAATTTTTCAATTCATGGCCGGGGTAATATAGTGTTGCTCTTGATCCTCAGTCCATTCATAATCTTGTTTCCATTTTGTCACTCTATAACAGATACAGACCGAGAACTGAAATTTATAATGTAGTTGTATCATGTTCATATGCAGGTCAGGTTAGTCAATATGTCCTTTCTTTCACATTTTTTTTTTTTTTTTTTCTTTCTGAACTTTCAGAATTTTATTTAAATATTCACAAAAGCAAAGGCCATAATTGGAGAACCATGCATAACTCCCTTGGAAGTTTTTAAATACCTTTTAACAAAGTCAATAAAACAAAAACCTTCCAAACTTCTTGTGGTTGCCATTTGGGGCATTCTTGTGGCTCTGACACATCTAGTTTACATTCAATTCTGTTACATCATATATTTCAGTCAAACAATCTAATCCCAGTTGATCATCTGCTAATTAAAATCCTTACTGTCTCTTAGATTTCCTCTCTGGTTACCAGCATGTTTTGTCTTCTCAAATTTAATTCTATGGATTATCTCAAGCACAGCAGTAAATTGTAAATTATTGGCATTGTTCTCTCTGATGAAGGGAATATATGTAAAAGAAGGATGATATTGAAACAAAGGAAAATATCACATTAGGTTTGATCTTTTGACTTTAGGGGACAGAATGGAATGGAGTTAGTGGCAGGGTCGTGTGACGGCAGCATTGCATATGTGGACTTCAGTCCCGAAGAGATTGGTGTGGCCCTGTCACAAAAGGAGATGGTGAGTTCAGTACTTACCAAGTATTAAATGTTTGGCTTTTTACTCCTCCTCTGATGAATTCATTCAGTACTAGTGTGTCTATGGATTTGATAAATGATTAGCATTTAACAATTTTGGCAAGTTTAAAGGTGATAAAGTAATCATCACATTTCTTGATTCCTGTTTGTGAATTGTTTGTAAAATTATCCAGATTTTGAACACTTATATAAATCTGATTATCTAAATCATTTATCTTTTGTTAATATTTTCTGATAGTAATAGATTTTTAATGGAAAACACAGATAAAATAATATCAAGCTAAAAATGGGAAATTATAGATATTTACAACCAATTGAAAAATCATGTTGATTGTTTATCATTTCTTTCATAGAACATGTTCCTGGAGAAAATTTATGGGAGATGCTTGACGGCAAAAACTCAAGGTAACTCTGCCAATCAGATCATAGAATCAACCGCTCTACTGAAACTACAGCAGCAACAGAGACAGAAACAAGAGGAGGAGAAAAAACAACAGCTGTTATCAAAACAGGAGACGCCAGAGAAAATGGACACCTCTGGCAGTCGTTCATCCTTAATGAATGGATTAGACGGGCCATTTAAGGTACACAAATGTGATATAAAGAGATTGTTCCTAAAACTCAAATAGGATTTATTTTTTAACATGATTTCATGACTTGTCTTCAAACAGAACATTCAATCGGTATACCAAGTCTTGATCCTTATAGAACAGAAATTTGATAATTGTGCTGGCATATTGTTCGCAGTTAAAAGAATTTAAAAAATTTCTAAAATATGTAGCAAAAAGTTACATTCAAAATTTCCATTAGATTGATTTTTGTTAAAGTATTTGTTTATGTGGTTGGAGGTAATTTTGTGATGATATGTGCAAAGCAAACTTATTCAGAACTCTCATAATAGGATTGCTAGATTGTGTTAGTCAGTGTTTCTGTAACTGATAAATAGGGGAAATGTTGAAGTGTTTCATTAGAACTGTTTTTAAATCACCAGTAAAATCACAAAGCCATTAGGTTACATTCAGGGAGTTTTTCATTATCTTCAAAAAAGGCATTTTTATTTCATTTGAATAAGGAAATTGATCAGGTGGGAAGGAAATCTTAAGAAGTAAGCTGATGTATTTTAGAAATTGGGCTATAAAATGTAATAAATCCAATTGGGAATGAGGCCCATATTCAGTGTTTTAAAATATAATGACCCTAGGATGTTTAAATCTAAGACTTTTTATTCATAAGTGTAAACTAACAAAAAAAAAGTCTGTACTGATTTTTTTTTCTGTTTATATATAATTTATGTTTGTAATATTTATAAAATAAATAATGCTATGATTTGATTTGCTAGCCAAGAGACAAGCAGATAGAAACAAAGACACCTGATGGCCGCAGGAGAATCACTCCAATTTTTCTATGTCCACAACCTGATGTCAGTGGCAGGTAGGTGCTCCTGATTGAAGTCATGTTATGTTTTGTGAAAATCTGAATTCTTATAAAAAGAGGTTGATATGGTGTGTGTGTGTGTGAACAACATATAATTATTTAAGACCCTAATGTATAGAATCAAAAGGAATATCTGGCTTCAGGTTAGGAACCAATGAAGACTTACTTGAGCTTAGTTTTTTCACACCATTTAGTCCTACATTTATTAGTTATTCTCCACTGACTCATTTTCACTGTTTATTTTAGTGTCATCCCTGCACCATACAGTGCAATAAGTAGCAGTATTAAGTTTACCACCTCTAAAGACACCAGTAAGATTCGTGTGGAGAAACAAAATATTGTAACACGACCAGGTCTTGCCTCACCATCACCCAAGTCAAACCAGACAGCCAGTATGTCTTCACCCCCAGCAGGCTCCACTCCAAAGTCTAGCAGTGAGGCCACACCAAAATCTAGCATCAGGGCTGAATCTCCAAAACCCATCAATGCCTCTATACAGGTAAGAAAGCCAGAGGTTTACTAATTTAATTGAGAGGGAATGTGTTTTGATGCTCCTTGAAAATTTTCGGGGAACATATAGTCATGGCTTTGTCCATCCATCTGTCTTTCTATTTTTCCGACAGTTAGACAAGGATCATGAAACTTGGTGTATATATTGGTCATACAATAGGGATGTTCAGTGTACAAAATTCAGGGCCCTTAACCCCTCAGTTACAGAATCACTGCCTTTTCTGGGTTATAATCTGCACAAGTATATAAACCTCAGAGCCATTTTTAGCTTGTCTGTACTGTAAAATAATAATGAAGGCCATTGCATATTGATACAGTTCCTATAATCCTGTAATATATTTTTTGTAAGCTGCATCAAAGCCGCCAACATCGTAAGCAAACATTGATGCCATTCATGAATTCGACCTCATCACCTCTTTCAATCCCAGGGTGCAATAGTCTACTGTAAACATCCACTACTCTTTCTTGCATATACTGCTGTAAAGAAACCAAGAAAATCAAGAATGTATCTATGGTGTTACATATTAACTGGTATGATTAATTAAATCCATGAGATGGTTATTCAATTGCAATCTTCAAGTCATTTAGTATAGGACTGCAAATGGTTCTGCGTGACTTGTTTCAGTCTCAAACAGGTGGTTCCTGTTTAAACCAGTTTATGACCTCTCATACTCGTATGTTAGGCCAACATTTTCCCCCTCTATTCTGCCAATTTTTTTTTTCGTCCACATATAGACTGCACACTTGACTATCGAGGGCCTATAATCTGGAAAATACAGTATTCCTTTTTGTTAAAATTTATGTGCGGAGAAAAAAAGAAGGTGCAGTGTAGCAAAGTTTGGGCCCTTGACCCCTTAGTACAGACATTTTCTGATAAAGAAGGATTTGCAGGCTTTTTGTTTTGTTGACAAATATCAAACTTCTGTGTTACAAGAAATAAAACAGTTTTTGGATTAGTCTGAGAAAGTTTGCGAAAAGAAATGACCTTGGCCTATATTCAAGATCACAGGATTCATATTTGTTAAAAACCATCAAACGGCTTCTTCTCATGAACTGAAATGCCTAGAGGCAAGATATTTGGTTGATATGTTCCTAGGATGCAGCCTGACATAGTTTGTGAAAAGAAATGACCTTGACTTATATTCAAGGTCACAGTGGTCAAACTTCTTTGTACATGTATACCCGGTGAGTGCTGCCGACCCATTGGACCTGTTGTATAATTTTTGTTTTTGGCCCACATGAGACTGCCTTTGGTTCCCTTCTTCAACAGGTACAGTTGTAGATTACTGAATGTTATCTTGAGTTGTCAGCGGCATGAACATGGTGACAGTACATCGGTAACATTGAGGTGAAAGACTGATCAATGTTTAATTGGATTCAGTTTTACCTTGAAAACAGAAATTGAGCAAAAGAACACAATTTTTTGAAAACTAAACCCAAGTAACAGAAATAGACTTAGATGAAAGAAAACATGTCATGTTTTGAGTCAGATAATGGTGGTTATAAATTAGGAAGATTTAAAAAGGATATTGAAACCTTTAAGATATGTCGTGTTACTAAATGTTACTGAAATAATGTAAATAAGCCAGACTTTGTAAGGTATAAATCAATCTGGGAGAGCATTTCATACACATTTTACATGAACATTGATGGACATACCTTTATTCTCCATCCTTTAGCCGATGGCTGCTCTTACACCTGTGAAAGAAAGTGCAGATAAGCCAGAGAAGGTGAAATCCAAAACTCTAGTTAGCACCCCAGAGAGGTGAGAATGCTCAGCCTACAGTCAGCTGGATAATCTCAATCTTCAGTTTCCAATGTCTTTCAACTTCTTATGGACTTTAAAATGTTTGATGAATGTCTACAATAGTATAAATAACTTTATACTTTTCATATTTTCCTTTTTGCCCTTTTCACCCCTTCTTTAAAAGTTGGCGGTATATATTTAAAAAAAGGAAATATTATTGCCATGATGAAGAATTCAGTTTCATTTTGTCTAGAATCCTATAAACAGCTATGTCTTTTTAAGGATGACCGACTGTAAATGATAACAGTTATGGTAGGTTTGTAACTGTAAGATGAACATGTTTGTTTAGAGGATGCTTTATGTAGTATATCCTTGATAATGATTCCAAGTTTCACAAACTTTCACTACACATAATGGTCTCAAATTTATCACACACAGACCTGAAAAAGACAGAGTTAAGGACAAGATGAAGGGAGTGAAGCGTAAACATGATGGGGTTCATGGGGAGCGCTTGGAGAGAAGGGGCCGACCTCGTAAAGTAGATAAGGAAAGAGCTCTGGCTGCGACTATGTCCTCGACACCCTCCACACCAGTAAGTGGAAGATCACTATTGTTTATAAGTTTGTAAGTGAAATTTAAAGGAAGTGAAAACGGTTTGAAAACCTGTTAAGGAAAACATTTTCTCTTTTGTCAACTTAACATTTCAATAACAGTATGTTTTACTTTCAGCAAACCCATGTAGAGAAAGAAACCATACGATATGTAGCAACAAGTTCTGATCTCAAACTTCCAACACCATCGGTGGAAAAATCTTTCACCAAATATGTAAGTTCATTTTCTGGCATGGCGACCATCTTTGTATGACCTTGGATGTTGCTAGGACAGAATACCTCATACAATCAAAAATTGCCTTAATAGGGATCATTTGTTGTTACACAGAAGTAATTTGTCAATGTAAGGATACAAGTTGATATTTGGGGATTCAAACTGCTGACTTTACCATGTAGTCATTGTCATGATGCAGAATTTTGACTTAAAACAAATTATGGCTGTTGTAACAAAATATTTGACTGACTGTGTGTACTAGTTTATTATGAATAGCAGAAGTTCGTTGAATAGCAGAATTTTCTTGTTTCTAACTATCAAAACAAGGGAAATTTTAATTCATGATATCCTACTTAGATCCAAGGGCGTGCAGCTGATGACAAGTCTTCAATGTTGGAGGTGACAAATGACATTCCTTTAGGAACACACAAGGTACATCGGATCCAGCATGTGCGAGAAGGTGTACGAGAATGGGAGCAGGTTCATACTGCTAGGATCCTGGCTGTGGAAGGGTCTAGGTAAGAAATTATACTCATTTCCTTCAAGTTTTTTAAATGTCTAAGAATGAACTCTTGAGAGAAAAAAGACTTACGTGAGTTTTGATGTAAATCAGAAGATGACATAAAGTGGAAATAATAATGGATGTTTTTATAATGTTTTCTTCTAAATCAAAATTTAATCTTTCTCCTTTTTAAATTAGACCATTTAATTGTTTCCAGGGAGGTAATTTGTGTCGGATGTGAAGATGGATCTGTACATGTTTACTCAGCCTGTGGGCGTCGCTTAGTGCCCCAGCTTGTCCTCAATTCTAGGGTGGCAAGACTGGCAGTCAATAATTATTATGTAATGGCTCTCTCTCAAAAAGGCAGCTTATATGTGTGGTAAGTCTTGTTGGTTATACTCAGGAAGTACTGTAGGTATCAGGTGTGGCTTACTATTGACTTAAGTAAATGGAAAGAGAAAACACATGGAAAACAGGGGAAATATTAAAAACAACACAGATGTATGTATTGTCTCCGAGTGTAATGCTAAAATCTTGTCTCAGGGCTAATGAATTTATGGGGTTATAAGATTAAAGTGCAATACAGCTCCATTGATCCTTGGAAAAATTAACTAATTGAACTTGTGGTAGTAATACTCTATTTTCATGGAAATCCATTGATAGAAGGGGGAAAACATAGTAAAATATGCAGATAACATTTTTCTAGAATGAAAACAGGTCTATGTTGATAATAAGTGGATTGTATATTGATGATATTTTCATTTTAGGAATATGCAAACCAAATCTGCTGTGATAAAAGATGTTAACCTTTCTACTATCATGTCAGGTATGTAAAGGTTCTCTGTTCCATTATAGAGAAAAGGTCAACACTTCACTTGAAGATATTTCATTTCTTATTTAGACTTTACAAAAATTGGTATATGAAAAAATCAATTCAGTGATAGTAGGTCTCAATATATATATGGTGAACATGACTCAGAGTGTGCTTTGATATTGTCTATCATTCAACAAGGAAAATTACCCATGAGAAATTACTTGAGGCAATTCACAGGGGAGGTCACTCTTGGTAAATACTTAATATACTCTTTACAGGAGAGGATAACATCACGCGAGCATCCATGACCAAGGATGGTGTACCCATGGTAACACTATCTACACACAAATCTTATACATTCTCACCCGATCTGGCATGCTGGTAAGTGATATTTACTTGCTCTGATGTGTCCTAGATATTGGACAATAATGTATAATAAATTTCTGTTAAGATCATTTAAGAAAGTATGGCCTATCATACATAAAGGTATATTAGTATCACTACAGATGTAATAATGATGTGAATATTGAAGAATTATATCACAAGACCATTCAGTATAAACTTGAATCACCAATGTGTTTGTAACATATCTCTGTGATGTTCTGTCTAAGACAAATGAAGGAGAATCAAACTACCATCTCAATTTGTTAATTGGTTATTAGTTGAGACTGCCATGTTATGTTTAGAGGTGTTCGGAAACAAATAAACTGATAAAAAGATTTATAGATTCAATAATTCTTAGCTGGTTAAGAATGACATTCAGGATACTAATAAATGTTATCATTATTCTTTTATTGCAGGACGTTATTATATAGCAAAGATGATCCACTACAGCACTGCTCGGATCACCATAGCTACACACCAGCCACCTCCATACTCAGGACACCAGGGCCACTGGCCTCACTGCAGCCTCTACAAGATAGGTAAGTTACTACACACCAGCTACCCCTATACTCAGGACACCAGGGCCACTGGCCTCACTGCAGCCTTTACAGATAGGTAAGTTACTACACACCATCCACCCCCACCCCCCATATTCCCCACACCCTATATTCAGCACTCAAGACAGGTAAGTCACTGCACACCAGCCACCTCCATACTTGGCACTCGAGGGCTGCTGGCGTCATTACAGCCTCTTTTGGTTTAATTGGGTGAAGGGAAATCAATTTTGTCATGACATTGGGTCTAGACTCCCTGGGGTAGGAGGGGGCATGGCTCATAAGGGGAAATGGAGTAAATTCTCCGAAATCCTACTTCTCCTGTAGGAATGATTGGATTTTGCTCAGATTTTGTTTGAAGTATTCTTGGATGAATGGGAATCAGTTTTGTATAAATGGTGGATCCTGGCCATTGGGAGGGATGGGGCCCAAATGGGGGGGTGGGGGGGATGAAAGTTCTTAAAAATCCTTCTGTAAAAGAATATTGTCCAAGTTTGGTCTGAATCAATTTTTAAGAATAGTGAATCAGACTTTTGTTTGACCACAAGGCCGAGACCCTAAAAGGGAAGTTATTTCAGAAATTATTTTCCATATTTGAAATTCTTTGTTAAATGGAAGAATTTCTGAAAGGTCCTGTTTAGCCCCTAGGGCTTATCATTTTGTCAGACTGAAGTGATGATCTAGATAGTGAATGTAACAATATACTGTATATTCCCGTGGCACCAGAGAAGGACAATATTCAAATATTAATCTTTTCTCCCTAAAATGATTTCAGTTAAAAATTACCGTCAATTTTACATGTTGTAATGATAGACTTGGATCCCTGGCTGGTCGAGTACTGAGTTCAGGACACCACCTCCAGCAGACAGCCACCATTAGTCACCTCGAGTCCCAGCTTACAGCCTGTGTGTCCCTCCAGTCTGGGGCGGAGTACAAGTTCTGGCTGCACACATATGTCCGCTACATAGTCAAGGAAGGTCTGTATCAAATATATATGTTATACATACTTATTGTAGACATTTGTAGGGAAAAGACAATATATTGTTTTTTGTTATAGTTCAGGTTATAGAAGACAAGTTTGATAGTAAAAGCGAAGTATTTTTCACACAAATCATTAAAAGGACTATTGCTATCTTTCTGTTTAATAAATCTTTGATGTATGAAGTGTGAGGACAGTTTATTATCTCACTGTGCTATTCCATCTGCTGCTGGACTTAACACTCAGTCATCTTTTCCTTTTGAAAAATTCTACTAGTCATGAACAACTGATTTGTACAAGGATTGTGTATAAATTGGGAAATATGGTCAATCTAACCTTTTCTGATGTAAGGGTGAGGAGGGGATTGTTTTTAATGATCACTTTGTGCATCCATGCAAGTGTCTGTGATAACCTAGTGTACATTATATCTAATGAACCCATGGAGAGATTAACTTCAAATCAACACTATTGCATCACACTATCAAGGTCTAGAATTTGGTTTTCATCTGTCAAGGTCAAAGGTCCTGCCCACTCTATTTTGAAAATAAAATAACCTGGATTTTGTCATGGAGAAAGGCATGTGGCTTGTCCCTCAGTGAGACATCAGAAATACTAGTAATGTGCTGGCCACAAAGGCTTATTACAGGATATTAGTTACAAGCATTTTTGTAATTATGGTCCATCTTGTTTGTGGTTTACTGTAGACTTACACATGGGGGGAATTCCCACTAAATATTAGGAAGTCGTTCAGCCTCATGTGATTATCACATGCATATTAAGGTAAGCATTTAATAGGACAGGGTATAGTGATGGCAAAAATAACCCCTTGTGCATACAGTTTGTTTGAAATCATGAAAGTAATATCTTAACACCCCCATGTTTACAGTATATGATAGAGCAGGACATATTTGCTGTTGTCACAACATATTCCTCATCCTCGTTGTAATTTGTTACAGGTAGCTAAGATGTTGTTTTACAAACTTCTGTTCCAGGTTTAGAAACAAAGCTCCGAGAAGTTTGTGATGAATTACTAGGTCCTATATACAAAAACAAACGGAAATCCTCCTGGAACACATGTGTTCTGGTAAGCATATAACATTAGTATCTCAATAACATTTTAAAGTTGGAATATAGCCACTTTCAAATAGTTAATTTCAAAAATTAAAGCTTTGAAACAGCATAAATTAAGGTTTTCTTAACATCAAGATGACATCTCCTTAGTAATTAATATATACTGTAAAGTTGTTAAGTTTCATGGGGGATATATTTTCATTGAGTTCTTATTTTCTCTTCATCCCTGAATTCATTTATCCAGGAAGTGTTATAATTACTGTCGTGATTAGTATATTTACAACTGTAGCGCTATATTAATTAATTCTAACTTCCATGAAGTAGTAGTGTTTTGAAAAACCACGAAAATTTAGCCCCAGAAAAATAAATTATTTTGCAGTACTATGGAATTTGGATACTGATATTCATTCTTTGGATTTCTATTTGTTGACTGTCAGAGATGAATATATTTCAGAGCAATTTCTTTATGATAATTAATGTTCACCACTGATAGACATTTTGCTAGTAACTATTTCTCAGTTTTATTTATTTTTCTTTGACAGGGTATGGATAAGAGAGATATTTTGCAAGAGATTTTACCATTAATTGGGAAAAATCTAAACCTACAGAGACTGTTTACTGAATATCAGGAACAGTTGGATACTATAGACAGGTGAAAATTCTTCATGTAGATAGACAGGTAAAAATATCTAGAGTAAGTCCCTGTACAGCCAAAGAGCTCACTTACATCGGACACCATACATGTGAACACTATAGGATGTGCAAACTTCTCCTTGAAGCATCACATTTTCTTTCAAATAGTGTTGGATTACTTTAAGGATTCCAAGAAGACATCAGCTCACTTGTAAGGATCTTCAGAAGTTGTGTCAGAAATGATTTGTTAAACAAATGTCTTTCGGAAGCATTTGTAACTCTCATCACCATACTGCTTACATAACCACTGGGATGTTAGTGAAACAGAATCCAAGGCTAAGCACTCCATGTATAAGTTGAGTATAAGTACTCGCCATTGTCAAAGTGTTTATGACAAGAGTCTCATTAAATGTGAACGATTTGAGGTAGGACAGGACAAAGTAATGCTCCATCCTAATGTGATGTTACATATAGGGCTTATTTTGCAGGATTTCCTGACACAGAACACACCTTAATTCCATACTAAGGGAGATCTTGTTCCAAACAAAGGGCAGATCTTAATTCCAGACATAGGGCAAGTCTTAACAAAGATTCAGTATATCAGAACAGTTACCAAATGAGGTCATAGGTTATGGTTATAAGGATTCTGATGCATGATAGATATATATGAATTCCAAACTAGGAATACAGTTCCATTAATTCCGAGTTGAATTGAGTTTCTAACATGATAAACATATTACAGGTAGTTGTGTATATTTAAATCTGTGTCACTAACAAACCATTTGAAAAGTTTGTTGCACCATTGTATGAGTACATTTATTAAGGCCCCGAGAAACCAAGGCTGTAACAGTATGTAATATGATCTGAAAAGGTTACTGATCAAATAAATGAGTAGTGACACTCCCCAAGAGTGGACAGATGGAAAAGATCTTAGCCCGGCTAATATATAGTGTGTATAATGTTTGAATTGAATTAAATGAATCATTTCAAATGATAAATGTGATTTTAGACACAGCTGATATGTAAAATCAGTGTGTATATAAAACTATCCAAGAACTTAATATCACACCTGTTTACAAATCTGCCCCTTAAAAGACCTCCATATCACACCTGTTTACAAATCTGCCCCTCAAAAGACCTCCATATCACACCTGTTTACAAATCTGCCCCTCTAAGACCTCCATATCACACCTGTTTACAAATCTGCCCCTCTAAGACCTTCATGTCACACCTGTTTACAAATCTGCCCCTCTAAGACCACCATATCACACCTGTTTACAAATCTGCCCCTCTGAGACCTCCATATCACACCTGTTTACAAATCTGCCCCTCTGAGACCTCCATATCACACCTGTTTACAAATCTGTCCTTCTAAGACCTCCATATCACACCTGTTTACAAATTTGTCCCTCTAAGACCTTCATGTCACACCTGTTTACAAATCTGCCCCTCTAAGACCACCATGTCACACCTGTTTACAAATCTGCCCCTCTGAGACCTCCATATCACACCTGTTTACAATTCTGCCCCTCTAAGACCTCCATATCACACCTGTTTACAAATTTGTCCCTCTGAGACCTCCATATCACACCTGTTTACAAATCTGTCCTTCTAAGACCTCCATATCACACCTGTTTACAAATTTGTCCCTCTAAGACCTTTAAGACCATTATATCACACCTGTTTACAAATCTGCCCCACTTAGACCATTTATGTTCTTACAAAACAAATCTCTTTAAAATCTGCTTTAAGTTGCCAGGATAGTTCAGTTCTCTAGAGCTATGTCCTACACAACCTCAGGTGAAGACCCTATGTGTATGGTTTGACAATCTCTACCTGTAGGGTTTTATGTTTCTCAGGAAGCTGAGAAATGGGTGTGATAAACCCATTTAACAAATAGATCTGCTTTAAAAGTGTAATCATGTACAATACAATTAGTAGGTAATATTATAACTGCTGGTCAAACTGTCAGATAAATGAGCTGAAGTTTGCTGTTAGATAATGAGTTTTAGATGATCACTGGTGCTGATCCAAGTTTCACTTGTTATTCTCTCACTTTCTATAGCTTTAATATTGCTAGTGTGTTAGTTATTAATAGTGTTTATGTTAGATATAACCTGTGAATAATGAATGACACTAAGACAATTTGTACTCCAGCTCTCCTGTTGTTTTGTTATGAAAGTAATAACAGATGTATGCGGGTGTCCTTACAAGGTCACTGTTATGGTGAGGTCATGGATCTGTCTTGCATATTCAATCCTTTTTAATGCTGAGTTATCTGCTCTTGTGATCATTTAATGACTGTTACATTGTTAGTTTGCGTAATTAAAGTCAGTCATTTTCTCATGGTGTTACTCTTACAAATGATTGACTTACCTGGTAACAATTAATATACAAGAGCAGATAACTCTGCATTACAAAAAGGCGGACTAGACAGTCTAATAACTGGTTTATTACTGTAGCAATATAGTTCCAGTCTTGTACACTAACCATACTGATATCACAGCAATATTGCCAGTCATGTTACACATTTAGAGACATAGCATCAGGCATTTTTATTGTTATAATTCTTGGTAAAATGGTTTTAAATGAAGACTTGTTAAATAGGATATCATGTCAAGGCCTATTATAATCATTGTGAAATATTGGTATATTTAAATACACTTGAATGCATGTTGAATTACATTGTATCCCAGTACTTCTACATCAGGGCTAGTAGCCTACAATTTTCCTTATCTCTGTAAGGAAAGATTCACCAGTATTTTAAGAAATACTGAATGGTTTACCAGGAGGAAGTGCTTTGAGCGGTACCTCTTTCTTTCTCTGGATGTTAGTAAGAGTAGTGTTCTAGCCACTCCATTCCAACATGGTTGTGACACAGAAGTGTTGAGTTCCTATAAGGTTTTATGTTTATTAGTGCCACTGAAAGGTCATTACAGGGATTTTGCATGGTATTTTGGGAGGGGAAAGTTTGTCAACTTTGACCACAGATTTGGAATATGCTGTCAGTGATATCATATGTCTGTTTGATTGAAACGGGAAAATGTGAACATTTAAGCAATATGTCTAGTTTTAATGGCTTAATTCATCATTGAAGGGGTGTATTTTCACATTCAACTAGCACAGAACTAGAAGACAGTTAAATTCCCTTAATTAAATGCCCATAGTTCCCCTAGTATTTTGTGTTATCAGACAATTAAAAATCAAATTATTTGTTTAGAAATTCTTCAAACTTTCAGTACAAAGAATACTGATTGTGGAATGTTGGTTTGGAAAAGTAGGATCGCATTTAGGAGGGTGGGGGGGAATATAGGAAAATTTGTGGTAGAGAATAAGGCAAATTAAAGGACCATACAAACACCTTGCAAAATCTATATTTAATGCCCGGGATGGATATGTGTGCGTACGTAATGGAATCGTAAATTTAATGATGCGAGATTATTTGTGTGTGGTGAGGGTCATCTGTTATGCCATATCAAGGACAGGGATTATAAAACTATTATGATTTCCTGGAGACTGCTGACTTACAATTCTGACATCTCATTATTTATAGTGTTCTGATTATAGTAAATGCAGTAAATAGTGCTGACATTTTAAATCTAGTTCTATTCTCTACAGCTGTTTAAATCTTCCTTTCATCCCTACCTCGAATTCTCTCCTTTTTCTTACCCAGACTGGACTAAGACAATCATCAGCCCTATCCATGGCTTGTATGTGTCCAGGTTAATGTTTATTATCAATACCTTCCTTGTTAGTGTACAGATGTTACCATTGTAAGACAAATTAGGTATGCCCATGAGTTTCCAATGTATGTGGCGATTTGTGAATAAACACTTATTTCACTTGAACTACAACAATGAATAAAAGTAGCTAAATATCACCAGCTGTCTTGTGTAATCATTGCTTCCAAAGAAATCAATAATGATCATTTTCTTATTTCAGCCTAATTCTTAAGTAACAAGTTGAACTGTATTATACAGCTGTTTCATCCACCTAGAACAGGTCAGTGATGCTAAGAGTCTAGATTGTAGAAACCTAAGAGGCATCTGAGGCAGATTTAAGTAGAACTTACAACATAACCGACATGATTTGTCAACTGCAGTCCTGAACCCCACTGTTAAACCGTCACAAGTGATTGTGCTTGTCAGTTTCAGCTCCACAGAGTAGATAAGGATGTATGCTGTCTAACTGCAGTTTGTATCTTATTTCAAAAGACATAAATGTTTTGAAATGGAAATATTTTGTAATTAGTATTCAAAACACCTGTTACCACACAGATTATACATATTATTTACGTAAGGCAGAGAAATGCTTTCCACTGTACATGTTTAACATACAATACCACTCGTGCCTATATAGAGATAGCACAGGTTGATAGTGCTTTCTATTAACATAGATACTATTACATATATTAATTTGAAGTACCTAGTATCTCTTAGTCCACTGTCATGTCAAGCTCTCTCTCCTTCACCATTTGTCACAGGAATTTCATATTTGGGGTATGAGTTCACATTGGTGAGATAGTGTGTCGTGTTTCAAAATTTGGCCATGTTGACGTATTTTGACCTTTGACCTACATCAAAGTAATCTTTCTTTCAGGCTTTATTTTCTACACCTCTAGACTCTGGAACTTTTTAGTTGGGACATATCTTTACTAGCAGAGGTATGTGATTTTACATTCAGTGGCAGACTAATTTACCAAATATCTTGTCTCTTATTACTTTCCTTACAGGCGTGTTTGCACAAAATACATCGTAAAGTATGAAATTACATGTAGATTATGTTTAGGTAGATGATATTAACACAATTCCGGAGTAAGAATACCCACAGAACTCAATATAAACATCCTACATTTGTGGAATAAACGACTTTTAAAAACATCACATACAACAAAATTGTTCGGCAGTGTCAGAGACGTATATACGTCTCTGGCAGTGTTTAATGAAAACGTTAAGAAAACTACGTAATTGAAAGGAATATCACAAGGATAGAACAGTTATATTTGGATACAATAAAATATAAAATTATTGCAGAATCAGACCGATAAATTCTAGATTTTACTTAAAAATCAACCAAGAGACTAGACTACAAAGCTCCTAGACAACTAGTAAGTGGCGCATGCGTAAACAAAGTGTATGGAGAATGTGGTATTAATTGCCAAATGATCATTGTAATAACCACTCGCCAATCTCAATATTGCAAAAATAGAACACATTCTCTCCACGGTATACCACAAAACATTATTTCTATTGCCTGATAAACGTGTACAATACGATACATCCTCTCCACGGTAAACAACAAAACCTTATTTCTTCTGTCCGATAAACATCTACAATACGATACATCCTCTCCACGGTATACAACAAAACATTATTTCTATTGCCTGATAAACATGTACAATACGATACATCCTCTCCACGGTAAACAACAAAACCTTATTTCTTCTGTCCGATAAACATCTACAATACGATACATCCTCTCCACGGTATACAACAAATCATTATTTCTATTGCCTGATAAACATCTACAATACGATACATCCTCTCCACGGTATACCACAAAACATTATTTCTATTGCCTGATAAACATGTACAATACGATACATCCTCTCCACGGTATACCACAAAACATTATTTCTTCTGTCCGATAAACATCTACAATACGATAAAATTTCTCCACGGACATGATCTATTATACCATAGCATTGCATGATTCCTACAACAGGACACGATCTCAACATTAGCATCCCAACAATATGACGTCATCTAAACATGACACGATCCCTACAATATGACGTCATCTCAACATGACACGATCTCTACAATATGACGTCATCTCAACATGACACGAACCCTACAATATGACGTCATATCAACATGGCACGATTCCTACAATATGACGTCTCTACAACAAAGATATATGTACAACTTTGAAATCTCTAAAGCACAGCGATATCTTCAACACGACAGCAATATACATTATTTATCATTATAGTAGCTACACAGTATGTCTATACATGATACAATGACATCACGTTACGTATTTTTATAACTACCTATGCTCAGAAATGTATAAAGGTGGTAACTGTTCACGATATATGCATTTCATGTCTATTTAGTCTTTGACTATTATATATCTGTATACAAAGTTTCAAATTTCATTGGTAAAGGCTAAATGACGTCATCCAGCGTTTGACCATTATGGCGTCGGTATTGTGGACATATAAAAAACGGCATTGCCTTATCGTCAACATGTAAGCGTTGAACTGCATTGTAATGACATTCATGGCTGCTGTAAATGACGGAATTTTGTAGACAAAGGTACCACAGGACAGAAATGTGCAATATGATGTGACCTTCACACATCTCTGTCATTTATAACCACTATAAATGCTACAACAATATAAATTAGTATTTAGGTGACCGTATGAATATGACGTTACAAATATCGCCAACAAGGAATTGCCTCTACACCCCACTGTCTTCGTTAGATTCGTTTAGAAAAATCCTAATCATTATACATTATGCTGTGTGCGTCTTCTTGGGAGTGTTGTTACAGATGAATCGACCATACTGACATCGTCGGTATAACAAAACTAGGACATAGACATGAAATATTAAAGTACTTAATTTAAGGACACCGGTAAAGAAACTATATACGAAGTCCGCGCTACAAAAAGTAGTAAAATTGAAACGAAAATACATCAAATACACCGAAAAATCTATAGTTACATATACTAGGTAGACATATTTCACAACGGTGGCGGGACAGACATTTATAAAACAGGGCAGTAAATATATAGTTACATATACTAGGTAGACATATTTCACAACGGTGGCAGGACAGACATTTATAAAACAGGAGTAAATCTATAGTTACATATACTAGGTAGACATATTTCACAACGGTGGCAGGACGAGACATTTATAAAACAGGGCAGTAAATATATAGTTACATATACTAGGTAGACATATTTCACAACGGTGGCAGAACGAGACATTTATAAAACAGGGCAGTAAATCTATAGTTACATATACTAGGTAGACATATTTCACAACGGTGGCAGGACAGACATTTATAAACAGGGCAGTAAATATATAGTTACATATACTAGGTAGACATATTTCACAACGGTGGCAGGACAGACATTTATAAACAGGGCAGTAAATATATAGTTACATATACTAGGTAGACATATTTCACAACGGTGGCAGAACGAGACATTTATAAAACAGGGCAGTAAATCTATAGTTACATATACTAGGTAGACATATTTCACAACGGTGGCAGGACAGACATTTATAAAACAGGGCAGTAAATCTATAGTTACATATACTAGGTAGACATTTCACAAGGGTGGCAGGACAGACATTTATAAAACGGGAGTAAAACTATAGTTACATATACTAGGTAGACATATTTCACAACGGTGGCAGGACAGACATTTATAAAACAGGGCAGTAAATCTATAGTTACATATACTAGGTAGACATATTTCACAACGGTGGCAGGACAGACATTTATAAACAGGGCAGTAAATATATAGTTACATATACTAGGTAGACATATTTCACAACGGTGGCGGGACAGACATTTATAAAACAGGGCAGTAAATATATAGTTACATATACTAGGTAGACATATTTCACAACGGTGGCAGAACGAGACATTTATAAAACAGGGCAGTAAATCTATAGTTACATATACTAGGTAGACATATTTCACAACGGTGGCAGGACAGACATTTATAAAACAGGGCAGTAAATATATAGTTACATATACTAGGTAGACATATTTCACAACGGTGGCAGGACGAGACATTTATAAAACAGGTCAGTAAATCTATAGTTACATATACTAGGTAGACATATTTCACAACGGTGGCGGGACAGACATTTATAAAACAGGGCAGTAAATATATAGTTACATATACTAGGTAGACATATTTCACAACGGTGGCAGGACGAGACATTTATAAAACAGGTCAGTAAATCTATAGTTACATACACTTGGTAGACATATTTCACAACGGTGGCGGGACAGACATTTATAAAACAGGGCAGTAAATATATAGTTACATATACTAGGTAGACATATTTCACAACGGTGGCAGAATTTATAAAACATATTTCACAACGGGCAGTTTATAAAACAGGGCAGTCTATAGTTACATTTATAAAACAGGGCAGTAAATTTATCTATAGTTACATATACTAGGTAGACATATTTCACAACGGTGGCAGGACAGACATTTATAAAACAGGGCAGTAAATATATAGTTACATACACTAGGTAGACATATTTCACAACGGTGGCAGGACGAGACATTTATAAAACAGGTCAGTAAATCTATAGTTACATATACTAGGTAGACATATTTCACAACGGTGGCGGGACAGACATTTATAAAACGGGAGTAAAACTATAGTTACATACACTAGGTAGACGTATTTCATAACGGTGACAGGACAGACATTTATAAAACAGGTCAGTAAAACTATAGTTACATACACTAGGTAGACATGTTTCACAACGGTGGCAGGACAGACATTTATAAAACAGGTCAGTAAAACTATAGTTACATACACTAGGTAGACGTATTTCACAACGGTGGCAGGACAGACATTTATAAAACAGGTCAGTAATTCTATAGTTACATAAACTTGGTAGACATATTTGACAACGGTGGCAGGACAGACATTTATAACACAGGTCAGTAAAACTATAGTTACATATACTAGGTAGACATATTTCACAACGGTGGCAGGACGAGACATTTATAAAACAGGTCAGTAGATCTATAGTTACATATACTAGGTAGACATATTTCACAACGGTGGCAGGACAGACATTTATAAAACAGGGCAGTAAATCTATAGTTACATATACTAGGTAGACGTATTTCACAACGGTGGCAGGACAGACATTTATAAAACAGGGCAGTAGTCATACACCCTTTTTTATCACAGAACATTTATTGGTATCAAGAGTGTGTAACAAAACAGAAGCACTACCATTGAAATGTATCGTAGTCCTTGTACCACGGACCTGTGTTCAGAAATATAACGGCGCAGCTGCAGTTTTTAAAATTTAGTCAATACTTAAATATAATGACGGAGCAGCATTTCAGATTCAATATCATACTGTAAAACAGGTATACATGTTCTAGTACTGACAACAATACGTTAAATCCAAGCAAATGAAAATAGAATAAAACTAGCATATTAAAACAAGGATGATAAGGTTACATAGAACACATATTTATAAAACAAATGAAGACATGAATAATTATAGATTAAAACTACTTAAATCAATCAGTATAGTGTCCTTGACTAGCATATCAACAGCGATCATCACAAAGCTCCATTATATAAATAAATGACTCGCCAGTTATCAATTGATATCTCTAAAAGAATTAATTTTCAAAAATTGCTTTTAGAGAAAGGATATAATTTTAAATGACAGGCACATCGATGGCGACCTTCGTGATTCTGTATTACAAACGCGTTTACAAATAAATAACTTCACCAGCATTGATTTTTTAAGGATGAAAATATCATAAATGAGGATGTAATACAAAATGTGTGCTGGTATTCAACTGTGGCGAATTTGTAACAAAGACTGGAGTCGACTGTGATGGTCACCATACATCTCTCTTAAACCATAGTAACCTTGGTTTCTATCTACAAAAAAAAATACCAGGACACGCCCCCAATTAATTCTGTAATGGACTTCGATCCTGATATTTTCTTTTATGTTCTAATTCTACTATCTAATATATTCTATTTACCTCTAGAAACCTAAGCTACTGCGTCTTAAGCAATGTCACCCATGTTAGCATTTTTACGTCAATCAACAACTGTATTTAATTGGATTTTTCCACATTTGTGAGTGTGAGGGACACGTTGGTCAGGATCAGTAGTCCCTATATAACCAGCCAAAAATATCCTTATTCCCCTCTTCATCAACATGGCGCCGTCGTCCACGGACAGATCTCCTTGGTTTGTTTATAACGTCTAAATGTTTTGGGAACCTGAAATCACATGCCATGTTTTCTGATGGTTGGAAGGAGACATTGTCTTTGTGTGTATGGTATCTGTCGGCCTCCCGCCAATACCATTCATCATTCACTTCCTCTCCGTGGAAGTAGGGTTTAGAAGGGGGAAACATGTCCAGGTAGTCGGGGTGTGACAGGAGTCGGGGAAGTCGAGGGTTGTAGGCAGGGACAGTGTTCCAATTGTTTGGGGGATCAACGTAGAACTTAGTGACAGGAGCGTCAAATGAAGATTTACCAGCATTGTATGGGAATTTGAGCGTGCCCGTGGTGATGGTGCGGACGATACCTGTAGGTTTCTTCAGCGTCCGTAGATACTTGTTGGTGAAAGAGGCTTCGATTTCTCTCCATTTTGTACCCCCCGGGTCCCTCCGAACCAAAATATCCTCTCCACCGTTGGAAGTGGTGATTTTTGACCAATTGACACATTCAAAGTCTCTTTCGAGGCACGTGATACTGAAACGTGTGTTCTTAGAATTATCAAAAACATTTTGCAATTTCTTGAATACCCACAACCTTCGGTTGTCTAAAGAAAACCACGTGTTCCTTAGACAAAATACGCCGATTTTCGGAATAGCTTCAATGTTGATGTCACCTCCAAGCACTTTGTCAACAACTTCACCCAGTGGCATTTTCATCACATTTCCCTCGGAGTTCGTCACGTGCATGGTGTTAGCGATCGTGTCCTGTGTATATCTAATGTTTCCGGGGCGAAGGGTTATATAAACATTCCCTCTCTTTCTTTTTGTGCTCGTCATTATAGCTAGGATACGTTTATAAAATGACAATGTCAGATCAGGCCTTCGTTCTGCAGGCGGTGTTTATGAACACATCTCAATTAAGCCTTGGTAATGTCACGTGACCGTGTTATTTAATGCATGCAACCGAGGGCAGGTTAGTTCTGCTATACAAACTTGTCTCGATAACAACCAATTAGAATCTGACATCATTGGGCTGAAAATCCCGAAATGCATGTGCAGGTCTTGGATTGAGTTCCGATATGTTTGTGTCTATGTGTCTACTGCCAATATTTTCTTTATTTCTCACGATTATCAAGAAGAAAAAAGACAGAAAAATGTCACAACCCCATGTTTCAATCACGAAAACATTACATGCGGATATATGATGCGCATGCAGTTGTCAGTTTACAATCATCGTTTGATGTGCTATATGTGTGTAATAGTTTTTCTTGCGAAACCCAATTCCTGGTCGCATTGCTTGACACCCAACAAAGGAATAAAGTGTCTTATGCAGAATTTTCTTTGTCGGAGAGAGATTTATCAATACCAAAGTTATCATTTAAGAGGAATACCTATTGAGTGTTTATAGATGGTAAAATGTGTATAGTTGTTATAATGTGTGTTCCAAAAACAAGGAACATTATCTGACAAGGATAACCCGTTTCTACGGATGTATCCCGTTTCGACGAACCTTTTGTAAAAATGTACGCAATGTATATACGATGTGAATTGTTGTATCAAATTATAATGTATGTTTATATCTTACGACAAGAATGGTCAGACATAAGACATTTCTCAGCATAAAGAGTTGTCAAAACTGAAAAATAGGGATAGTCGCAACCAGATTGACTGTCGTGCTCAAAAACTTCTTACGTTAAACAAGCGCCATTTAACCGAGATGTAGATGTTTGAGGTTATTTTTCAGTCTAATCAGAGGTTTGGTATACCTAGTTAATTACCAGCACTATTCAGCCGATATCTTGATGTTTGAGGAAATAATCCTGACAAAGTGTTGGCATTTTTCAGTCTAATTAGAGGTTTGGTATACTAGTTAATTACCAGCACTATTCAGCCGATGTCTAGATGTTTGAGGAAGGGATCCTGGCAAAGAGTATTTTTTCAGTCTAATCAGAGGTTCGGTATACCTAGTTAATTACCAGCACTATTCAGCCGATATCTAGATGTTTGAGGAAGAGATCCTGACAAAGTGTTAGTATTTTTCAGTCTAACCATGCAGGGGTTTGATATACGAGGTCTGTTTGATTATTATTTGCGCTTTCTACTTACTTATTACAAATGTCGTTTTTAATTGTTCACTGATATACTCTAACAGAAAAAAAGATATATTCAGAATCATATAAAAAAGACTAAGACTATTTATTCTAGCAACCAAATATCGTATTTCTAATAGATTTCGTATAAATGACTTACTGGAAATGACAGCCTGGTCCATGTATTATTCAGCATAATACGTTAGAATGTTTTACTTAAAGATACTATAGACCTATAGTGACGTAAGGCGAACCAGTTCTGTATTATTGATATGGAGTGTATTTTGTTTTTTTTTTTTTTTTGTTAATTTGAAAAATTCTGAAATTCATTATGAGGAAAAATGGAATCTTGTCTTGTTTTATGTTAAGCATTTTTATTTAATGTTAATTGCGATGGTTTAATTTGTACATACGACAATTTCACCGGTAATGATCAACAATTACAGGGAAAAATAAATAATCGCTTGTCTATAGGGTCACAACCTCTTGATGGCATTATGGGATGTCATGTCTTCTGGGAAACATGGGTATGGGCGTTTTATTTTTCAGTCTTGCTACCAAATAAGATATTCTGTTCGTCGGCTTTGTAAAGGTTAAAGATCATATCAATTTGAAAGTGTAATCAGTAAATGTTGTCAGTACTGCACACCAGGCTCGGACAAGACTGCTGTTCCAGACACGAACAATCAGTGATTAGGAATATCTTTTCTGATTTTAACATTCCATTCTGAAAGTGATGAGTGAACGCGTTGTCGAGACACTGGTAATCCGCGATGGTAACAACTCGGAGTTTGATGACGGAATGCGTACTCGTCATGATGGAGCTTGGGAGACTACAGATACCTTTAGCACGTTGTTTAACTCCGTTTCAAATTCAGTAATTAATTGTAGAAAGTGGACACGACGCTGGCTCATCGACTTCCTCATTTTGTCAGCTATTGTTGCTTACGTTGTATTTATCATCTACACTATCCTCTACGACAAATCGGTGGCGTACTGGACCGTCATTGACGCCGCTATTATTCTACTGTTTAGCTTCCGTCGCTTCACAGGTCTACAGGACTTCGTCAAATCTATCATCGCTCCCACAAGATTCCGAATATTTCTCAGGAGAAGCTTTAGAACAAAAGCAAAGACGCGGAGGATTTTAAGACGGTAAATAGTACGGGGAGTAGCTTGTTATCATCACTCTTATTTTAACTTATTTTGGTAATTTTATCATGAGACCAGCTGCAAAGCTACATATATAAGTGATATGTATTCTGGCAATTCATTTTCGTGAGGTTCAGGCTAACAGATTTACACCTCAAATCACGTCACGAACGTGACCTCGCATATCATCACATCGTGTTTATGTCTCTGATATCAATACAAGTACTCAAACTGTATATGAAGAGTGACCAGGAATTATTTATTTTATATTCTAAATGTTACTCTCAACTCCATGTTTGATTATCTGGCTCCTGCAGGCTATACAGTGATAGATTTAAGATCTCGTTTTAATGAGCGGTCCTACTAACGTTCGACATGTAGTCTGATAATGTATATTGATGTACTCAAACAATCGGTCCATACAGCGATAAACAGTAGTTTTCTGGTTTAGCTCATGATGACTCTAAAACCATTACACGGTTTGCAAATATCTAAAACAAAAAAAAAGAATGCAGCTTTGCGGAGAGTAATGTTCCCAGTGTCTAACTGTCGTTGTTTTTTATGTTTGATTGTCATTATCTGCTATTGTTGTCATGGTTTCCAAGGTAGGTCTTTCTTCTTTGCACTCATATTTTCACGCCATTTATGTTACCATTATCATTGTTATTTTCATATTACTGACATTCCTCTGTTTCAGACTCTGAATACCTGTTTCAGGTGTTTGACTATTGTTTATTTCAAAAATCTCAATACCTCTGTGTCAGACTCTGAATACTTCTGTTTCAGATTATAAGTACCCCTGTTTCAGACTCTGGAAACCTCTGTTTCAGATTATAAGTACCCTTGTTTCAGACTCTGAATACTTCTGTTTCAGATTATAAGTACCCCTGTTTCAGACTCTGGAAACCTCTGTTTCAGATTATAAGTACCCTTGTTTCAGACTCTGGAAACCTCTGTTTCAGGAGTTTGACTATTGTTTATTTAAAAAATCTCAATACCTCTCTTTCAGACCCTGAATACCTCTGTTTCAGACTTAAGTACCCTTGTTTCAGACTCTGAATATCTCTGTTTCAGACTATAAGTACCCCTGTGTCAGACTCTGGAAACCTCTGTTTCAGATTATAAGTACCCCTGTTTCAGACTCTGGGAACCTCTGTTTCAGGTGTTTGACTATTGTGGTTTTCCTATTAATACTAATATTCCTTGCTGTCGATCTCCGAGCAGATACAGAGAGACTGGTATCTCTGGGCGGCCTGTGTCTCTTGATATTCCTTGTCTTTATTACATCCAAGTCTCCCACTAAGGTAAGTACAACATAAGCCTGGATAACCAAGCACGTGGCACAGACAAATATATTACTTTGATGATAACACATTATCAAGGGTTAAGCCACAGTGTAGACAGATAAGGAATCAAATACGGACAGCTTTGGACAACGACAAACACGATATACATGTAAAAACAGTGGTGAAATTGCCTTGATAACGCTTGGTCTTCTGCCCATTTTTCCGAAATCGTTTTATTGGGAGCATTTAAGTGCTGCCAATGTACAATGGTACAATGGATGTCTTCCCGTCCGTCCTGTCTTGAAACAATGCCATATCTTTAGGACCCCTGACACAGATTAATAGGTCAATGGTCACATAAAACAGCTTCTGCATATTCATCAAACAATGATATTTATATGTATGGGAGTAAGGTCATTCACAATTAGACATTTTAACCCACCATCAACACACGTGAGCTATTCATATCTCCCTACATTAACCAACCATCAACACACCTGAATTATTCATATCTCCCTACATTAACCCACCATCAACACACGTGAGCTAGTCATATCTCCCTATATTACCCCACCATCAACACACGTGAGCTATTCATATCACCCTATATTACCCCACCACCAACACACGTGAGCTATTCATATCTCCCTACATTAACCCACCATCAACACACGTGAGCTATTCATATCTCCCTACATTACCCTACCATCAACACACGTCAGCTATTCATATCTCCCTACATTAACCCACCATCAACACACGTGAGCTATTCATATCTCCCTACATTAACCCACCATCAACACACGTGAGCTAGTCATATCTCCCTACATTAACCCACCATCAACACACGTGAGCTAGTCATATCTCCCTATAATACTCCACCATCAACACACGTGAATTATTCACATCACCCTACATTACCCTACCATCAACACACGTGAGCTAGTCATATCTCCCTATATTACCCCACCATCAACACACGTGAGCTATTCATATCACCCTATATTACCCCACCACCAACACACGTGAATTATTCATATCTCCCTACATAAACCCATCATCAACACACGCGAGCTATTCATATTACCCTATATTACCCCACCATCAACACACGTGAGCAATTCATATCTCCCTACATTAACCCACCATCAACACACGTGAGCTATTCATATCTCCCTATATTACCCCACCATCAACACACGTGAGCTATTCATATCACCCTATATTACCCCACCATCAACACACGTGAATTATTCATATCTCCATACATAAACCCACCATCAACACACGTGAGCTATTCATATCTCCCTACATTAACCAACCATCAACACACCTGAATTATTCATATCTCCCTACAGTAACCCACCACCAACACACGTGAGCTAGTCATATCTCCCTATATTACCCCACCATCAACACACGTGAGCTATTCATATCTCCCTACATTAACCCACCATCAACACATGTGAGCTATTCATATCTCCCTACATTAACCCACCATCAACACACGTGAGCTATTCATATCTCCCTATATTACCCCACCATCAACACACGTGAATTATTCATATCTCCCTACATAAACCCATCATCAACACACGTGAGCTATTCATATCACCCTATATTACCCCACCATCAACACACGTGAATTATTCATATCTCCCTACATAAACCCATCATCAACACATGTGAGCTATTCATATCACCCTATATTACCCCACCATCAACACACGTGAGCTATTCATATCACCCTATATTACCCCACCATCAACACACGTGAGCTATTCATATCACCCTATATTACCCCACCATCAACACACGTGAGCTATTCATATCTCCCTACATTAACCCACCGTCAACACACGTGAGCTATTCATATCACCCTACATTAACCCACCATCAACACACGTGAGCTATTCATATCATCCTACATTAACCCACCATTAACACACGTGAGCTATTCATATCACCCTACATTAATCCACCATCAACACACGTGAGCTATTCATATCTCCCTACATTAACCCACCATCAACACACGTGAATTTTTCATATCTCCCTACATTACCCTACCATCAGCACACGTGAGCTATTCATATCTCCCTACATTAACCAACCATCAACACACCTGAATTATTCATATCTCCCTACATCAACCCACCACCAACCAACGTGAGCTAGTCATATCTCCCTATATTACCCCACCATCAACACACGTGAGCTATTCATATCACCCTACATTAACCCACCATCAACACACGTGAGCTATTCATATAATCCTACATTAACCCACCATCAACACAAGTGAGCTATTCATATCACCCTACATTAACCCACCATCAACACACGTGAATTATTCATATCACCCTACATTACCCTACCATCAACACACGTGAGCTATTCATATCTCCCTACATTAACCAACCATCAACACAGGTGAATTATTCATATCTCCATACATTAACCCACCATCAACACACGTGAGCTAGTCATATCTCCCTATATTACCCCACCATCCACACACGTGAGCTAGTCATATCATCCTACATTAACCCACCATCAACACACGTGAGCTAGTCATATCACCCTACATTAACCCACCATCAACACACGTGAGCTATTCATATCACCCTACATTAACCCACCATCAACACACGTGAGCTAGTCATATCACCCTATATTACCCCACCATCAACACACGTGAGCTATTCATATCATCCTACATTTACCCACCATCAACACACGTGAATTATTCATATCACCCTACGTCCGTCGTCCGAAGGATCCGTATTCCGTAAGCAAACAATTGTTATCAATCGTTTACATATTCCAAAGGTAAGCTTACCTTTGTCCCTAGTTGTACATTTCTTGTTTTGTCTTGTTTTTTGTTAAAGAGTAAGGACCAACGAATGGTGGGCACCAAGAGCTCACTGGAATCTGTTGTTTAGATACGATGTATCATCATTTAACGTTGTTTTGTATAATCCAGGTTTGCTGGACCCCTGTGTTATGGGGACTAATACTACAGTTCACTTGGGGTGTCTTGATACTCAGGTGGCAACCAGGGTTTGAGATATGTAAATTTATTGGTGATGGTGTAAGTGGCTTTCTCGGATTCGCAGACGAAGGATCCAAGTTTGTATTCGACGAAAAGAACTATACGATGCACGTCGTTGCATTTAAGGTAATAAGTTTTCGATGTGATAGCCCAACAAGTTGATAATACTAAGTTCCAATATAACATAACATATAATATATGGTGAATAATGGACGCAAGTATGTGGCCTTAATATTCGTGTCAAATATTTTACTATATCTAGTTGTTAATGATACTTTCACTTTTGATCAATTTGGATTTTCCTCAGTTGTCTCACTGGCTTCAAACTTTAGGCCCTTAGCATCACTGACAAGTTTCAGAGGGACGAAACAGCTGTATGATGTAGCACCACTGACAAGTTTCAGAGGGACGAAACAGCTGTATGATGTAACATCACTGACGAGTCCTAAAAGGACGAAACAGCTGTATGATGTAGCATCACTGACAAGTTTCAGAGGGACGAAACAGCTGTATGATGTAGCATCACTGACAAGTTTTAGAAGGACGAAACAGCTGTATGATGTAGCATCACTGACAAGTTTAAGAGGGACAAAACAGCTGTATGATGTAGCATCACTGACAAGTTTCAGAGGGACGAAACAGCTGTATGATGTAGCATCACTGACAAGTTTCAGAGGGACGAAACAGCTGTATGATGTAGCATCACTGACAAGTTTTAGAAGGACGAAACAGCTGTATGATGTAGCATCGCTGACAAGTTTAAGAGGGACGAAACAGCTGTATGATGTAGCATCACTGACAAGTTTTAGAGGGACGAAACAGCTGTGTGATGAAACATCACTGACGAGTCCTAGAAGGACGAAACAGCTGTATGATGTAGCATTACTGACGAGTCCTAGTAGGACGAAACAGCTGTATGATGCAACATCACTGACGAGTCGTAGAAGGACGAAACAGCTGTATGATGAAACATCACTGACGAGTCCTAGAAGGACGAAACAGCTGTATGATGTAGCATTACTGACGAGTCCTAGTAAGACGAAACAGCTGTATGATGCAACATCACTGACGAGTCGTAGAAGGACGAAACAGCTGTATGATGAAACATCACTGACGAGTCCTAGAAGGACGAAACAGCTGTATGATGTAGCATCACTGACAAGTTTCAGAGGGACGAAACAGCTGTATGATGTAGCATCACTGACAAGTTTAAGAGGGACGAAACAGCTGTATGATGTAGCATCACTGACAAGTTTAAGAGGGACGAAACAGCTGTATGATGTAGCATCACTGACAAGTTTCAGAGGGACGAAACAGCTGTATGATGTAGCATCACTGACAAGTTTTAGAGGGACGAAACAGCTGTATGATGTAGCACCACTGACAAGTTTCAGAGGGACGAAACAGCTGTATGATGTAGCATCACTGACAAGTTTTAGAAGGACGAAACAGCTGTATGATGTAGCACCACTGACAAGTTTAAGAGGGACGAAACAGCTGTATGATGTAACATCACTGACGAGTCCTAAAAGGACGAAACAGCTGTATGATGTAGCATTACTGACAAGTTTCAGAGGGACGAAACAGCTGTATGATGTAGCATCACTGACAAGTTTAAGAGGGACAAAACAGCTGTATGATGTAGCATCACTGACAAGTTACAGAGGGACGAAACAGCTGTATGATGTAGCATCACTGACAAGTTTCAGAGGGACGAAACAGCTGTATGATGTAGCATCACTGACAAGTTTAAGAGGGACGAAACAGCTGTATGATGTAGCATCACTGACAAGTTTAAGAGGGACGAAACAGCTGTATGATGTAGCATCACTGACAAATTTTAGAGGGACGAAACAGCTGTGTGATGAAACATCACTGACGAGTCCTAGAAGGACGAAACAGCTGTATGATGTAGCATCACTGACGAGTCCTAGAAGGACAAAACAGCTGTATGATGTAGCATCACTGACGAGTCCTAGAAGGACGAAACAGCTGTATGACGCAGTTTATACATTGTTTGGCTCTACTGTATTAAACTCTCAATTTTTAAAAGGTGCTATCCACTTGTGTCTTTTGTACAATCTTTCAACATAAACTGCTCTGCTATTTATCTATGTTATCTACATAATTATTTATGTTCTGTTTCCGTAATCACTACCGAGATTAACCACTCCTGATCATTTCTATATTATTCTTTGGTTTTGCCTCTTTTCACTGGTCGTTTTTTATCAAATGATATACGATAAAAATTAAATTAAGATGTTGGCAAAATCACATATACTTTGAAACAGGTCGTTTAAAAATATACTGGTCCCAGTACCAAGACATTTCGTACAATGGTAATTGTAATAGTTATAGAAACTGTCCTCTATGTCAATCTTTCATCGGAGACTCCCGAAACTGTCCTCTATGTCAATGTATATTCGGAGACTCCCGAAACTGGCCTCTATGTCAATGTTTCATCGGAGACTGCTGAAACTGGCCTCTATGTCAATGTTTCATCGGAGACTGCTGAAACTGTCCTCTATGTCAATGTTTCATCGGAGACTGCTGAAACTGTCCTCTATGTCAATGTTTCATCGGAGACTGCTGAAACTTTCCTCTATGTCAATGTTTCATCGGAGACTGCTGAAACTGTCCTCTATGTCAATGTTTCATCGGAGACTCCCGAAACTGTCCTCTATGTCAATGTTTCATCGGAGACTGCTGAAACTGGCCTCTATGTCAATGTTTCATCGGAGACTGCTGAAACTGGCCTCTATGTCAATCTTTCATCGGAGACTGCTGAAACTGGCGTCTATGTCAATCTTTCATCGGAGACTGCTGAAACTGTCCTGTTTGTCAATCTTTCATTGGAGACTGCTGAAACTGGCGTCTATGTCAATCTTTCATCGGAGACTGCTGAAACTGTCCTGTTTGTCAATCTTTCATTGGAGACTGCTGAAACTGGCGTCTATGTCAATCTTTCATCGGAAACTGCTGAAACTGGCGTCTATGTCAATCTTTCATCGGAGACTGCTGAAACTGGCCTCTATGTGAATCTTTCATCGGAGACTGCTGAAACTGGCCTCTATGTGAATCTTTCATTGGAGACTGCTGAAACTGGCGTCTATGTCAATCTTTCATCGGAGACTGCTGAAACTGGCCTCTATGTCAATCTTTCATTGGAGACTGCTGAAACTGGCGTCTATGTCAATCTTTCATCGGAGACTGCTGAAACTGTCTTTCATCGGAGACTGCTGTTTTTGTCAATCTTTCATTGGAGACTGCTGAAACTGGCGTCTATGTCAATCTTTCATCGGAGACTGCTGAAACTGGCCTCTATGTCAATCTTTCATCGGAGACTGCTGAAACTGGCCTCTATGTCAATCTTTCATCGGAGACTGCTGAAACTGTCCTGTTTGTCAATCTTTCATTGGAGACTGCTGAAACTGGCGTCTATGTCAATCTTTCATCGGAGACTGCCGAAACTGTCCTCTATGTCAATCTTTCATCGGAGACTGCTGAAACTGTCCTGTTTGTCAATCTTTCATTGGAGACTGCTGAAACTGGCGTCTATGTCAATCTTTCACCGGAGACTGCTGAAACTGGCGTCTATGTCAATCTTTCATTGGAGACTGCTGAAACTGGCGTCTATGTCAATCTTTCATCGGAGACTGCTGAAACTGACATCTATGTCAATGTTTCATCGGAGACTCCCGAAACTGGCGTCTATGTCAATCTTTCATCGGAGACTGCTGAAACTGGCCTCTATGTCAATGTTTCATCGGAGACTGCTGAAACTGACATCTATATCAATCTTTCATCGGAAATTGCTGAAAATGTCCTGTTTGTCAATCTTTCAACGGAGACTGCTGAATCTGTTTGTTATGTCAAAATTCTATCTGACTCTTCTAACTGTTCTAGACAGCAGTTTCTGTCTATATAAATCATGGCGGGTGGTATTTAGAACGTATCCTACATTATACTTTATGAAATCTGCGTGTGCCACATTCTATTTCACTAGACCTAGTAGTACAAATGATTATGTCCTATACTCCCAGATTCTACCTGTAGTGGTGTACTTCAGCGCCGTGGTGTCTATCCTGTATTACTTGGGAGTGATGCAGTTCATCATTAATGGACTAGCCAAGTTGTTCCAGTATACTATGAAGACCACAGCCATCGAGTCCTTTGCTACTGCGGCTCATATCTTCATTGGACAGGTGAGAATAAAAATCATCTAGCGAAGTGATGTTAGGGAACCTGGGAGAGATGTAAATATCAGCCGTAGCCTTGTACCTAGTTACCTAAACTTCATTGAATTCATTCAAAAAGAACAAGACAATCTCAATGTTGAAACAGTGCGCAATTCTGCTGTAACAAGAACTAAACACAGTGACGAAAAACCAATCTTTAGCATCCATCACATTTCTGGCATCGAATACCAATGCCAGTTTATCTAACGAAAGTCTCCTGTTATCGTCTCAGTTTTCGGCAGGCAATCGTAAGATAATATCGTTTTGATCTAAACATATGCTTATGAGGGGATTAAGGAAACTCCTGTCTTCAGAATAGTTTGACTTATTCTGATTCTATAAATCGTGCTAGCAAAGGCTAGAAGCCTTTTTGAAAAGATCACACAATACTAAACACACGACGATTTCCCTCGCTGTACACTGGTGCCAGTATTCAATGTTGCTACACAGACGAACACAAAGTCATCTATTCAGCTTTGTTTTATTGCTGTAGATCTCATTGACTATCCCGTATTATATAAACGTCTTTCCTGTCAGGTGGAGTCTTCGATAGCCTTAAAGCCATTCTTTAGTGATCTTACATTATCCGAACTGAATGCCGTGATGACGTCAGGATTTGCTACAGTGGCTGGAACAGTCATCGCTGCCTACATCGAGTTTGGGGTTCGTATATGGAATAAAGGTAGTGTACCACGGTTCAGTGATGCATGTCTTGCGTCGTTTAATCTACCATCGAAAATAAAGATAGTCCGTAGTCCATCCATAAGGAAAGGCTATTATCTTATAACACAAGTAATTAGTTCGGATATTTTCAACGAATGGTGTTAGAGAGGATTTTTAAAATAGTTTTATTGTCTCCCTTGTAAGATAAAGCTACACCAATTTTCAGTAGTATTGTTTATATTTACACTCTTTGTCAGTGTCAAGGCTATGATGTAGGTTGCGTATACTTTCTTTACTATTTTAGGAAGATCATAACAGCATCCTCTGTCAGTATTAATGCTGTGATGTATAAAAAAAAATAAATAAAAAGTCAAAATACCTTTTCCACTTCATGTATATTAATTTGTACACGCATCTCGTATGTTCAACTTACTAACTGGTACTTACTAACTGGTAGTGCGTACTACTTACTAACTGGTACTTACGACTTACTAACTGGTACTTACGACTTACCTACTGGTACTTACGACTTACTAACTGATAATATTGACTTACTAACTGATACTTACGACTTACTACTTACTAACTGGTACTCACAACTTACTAACTGGTACTCACAACTTACTAACTGATACTTACGACTTACTAACTGGTACCTACTGCTTACTAACTGGTACTTACGACTTACCTACTGGTACTTACGACTTACTAACCGATACTTACGACTTACTAACTGGTATTTACAACTTACTTACTGGTACTTACAACTTACTAACTGATACTTACAACTTACTAACTGGTACTCACGACTTACTAACTGCTACTTACGACTTACTAACTGGTACTTACTACTTACTAACTGGTATTTACAACTTACTAACTGGTACTCACGACTTACTAACTGATACTTACGACTTACTAACTGGTATTTACAACTTACTAACTGGTACTTACTACTTGCTAACTGGTACTTACGACTTACTAACTGGTATTTACAACTTACTAACTGATACTTACAGCTTACTAACTGGTACTCACGACTTACTAACTGGTACTAACTACTTACTAACTGGTACTCACGACTTACTAACTGGTACTTACTACTTACTAACTGGTATTTACGACTTATTAACTGGTACTGCGACTTACTAGCTGGATTTTACGACAACTGATGACCAGGGTGACCTGTTCCGTGATATTGTGTTTTCAAGGTTCCCCCTGAACACGTCATCTCAGCTTCGTTTATGTCCGCTCCTGCCGCTCTCGCCGTAGCTAAGCTAGGATGGCCCGAGACCAAACTGACTACTGACAAGGAGAGAGAGGTTGTTCTCACAGAAGTTGGGTAGGTATACTTTACTACTTATGTTTGTGTGCTGTAATATACCCCGCTTTTGTTATATTACAACTGATATCGAAGAACCTGCATCCCCATCCACATTTAAAACCACGACCTTTGGTGAATGTGCGATACTGAAGAATTTCACAGTATGGTCGTCGTGTTCTTCTGTGAGTGACCTCGATTTTATTCTCGCTGTTTTATTTAAAATTTATGTATTAATTGACACAGACAGGAGTTGAATATTATGGAAGCAGCTTCGGCAGGAGCAGTTGGATCTATTAAACTAATCTCGTATGTCATCGTAAATCTCATCGCCTTCATTGCCCTCCTGGCCTTCGTCAATTACTTCTTCTCTTTCATGGGAGCACGTGTCGGTCATCCCGAGTTTACATTCGAGGTATGTATGGGAGAGAAATTGTATAAAAAAAACTTAAACTTGACGTATCCGTCCCTGAAAACTTTTCTAGTCCTTAAACCTTCAACAAAGGAAACAATCAAATGTCATGTGGATTTCGGTCTGGTGGACAGAGTAGAGGGTCAATCAGTACTACTTTCTCTTGCTAACGTCTGCAATAGATTATTTTTGTGAGGTGAAGCATTGTCACCGTGTCATTATGACCTTATATACTTTTCATTGTTCTGTTCGTTTTATGCACTTTATCTCTATAAAACTTTACATTGACAAATTTTCTATTTTAAATGGTATCTGAAATACTGGTCCACTAGATTGAAAAAAGGAAACAAAACATGTGTTTGGTATCTTTATACATTAGACAGTTACTGACCTTTGTTGGTGTACGACAACCACTGCTTGTTGTATATGCGAATTTAGGGTTCAACGTATTGCACCCAAGTTTCGTCTTTCGTCTCTTAACTAAAAAAATCTTCTTCAGTGACCATACTTTCTGTTAGAGGAAGTTAATACTTGTCCTATTGTTCAATCATTAGCAAATGAGGGACCCTCCGAACACAGCGCTTTTTAAATTTCAAACACGTGACGAGTTTGTCCTGCCTCTGAAGTCTCAGAAACAGTGTAACGACCAACTTTCTCAGCTTATGATTCTACAGCAGCAAAGTTCTTATTTGAAACAGAAACAACTCGCTCGTCTGACTATATTTTCACTTTCATATAAATTTTGTCACTTTTTTTATTTACTGACCTACCTGGTTCTAAGAGACGACAGATGTGCTATTTGTACTGCAAAACATGCATGTGTTCTTGATGTACTTGTAAAAAACAGTCCCTATCAGTTTCAAATACAGTCTTAACCTTAAACATTCAAAACTATGCCGCTGGTCAAAAATGCACACCATTCATAAATGATTAATTTGCTCAGTTCTGAGGGAATTGTGTTAAAAGTTTACACGTGAATGTAGTCCTGTATTCGAAAGTTGTGAAGTGACAATTCAACGTGGATTTAAATACATACGTTTAATGTTTTAGAGAGAAATCGGGGAAAAATTCTTAAGCTTGGCTGATATAGACCATACTCTCTGTAATAGAGATCAGGTTCTAGAATTTTCTCCTGATTTAACCTATAAATATAAAGCTTAAAACGACTGAGCCTTAAACAAAAATTTCTACATGAAAAATAATGTATTTGTCTAGTTAAAGTGCCTTCCATTTTTTAGAAATAAAAATCAATTCTAAATACAGTATCAGATACTGGTGTTCGTTATAAATGTAACTAATGTACTATCTATGTACTATCTATCTACTATCTATGTACTATCTATCTATATCTATGTACTATCTATCTATACTATCTATGTACTATCTATGTACTATCTATCTACTATCTATGTACTATCTATGTACTATCTATCTACTATCTATCTACTATCTATGTACTATCTATGTACTATCTATCTACTATCTATGTACTATCTATGTACTATCTATCTACTATCTATGTACTATCTATGTACTATCTATGTACTACTATGTACTATCTATCTACTATCTATGTACTATCTATCTACTATCTATCTACTATCTATCTATCTACTATCTATGTACTATCTATCTATCTACTATCTATGTACTATCTATCTACTATCTATGTACTATCTATCTACTATCTATCTATCTATATATATGTACTATCTACTATCTATGTACTATATCTATCTATCTATCTACTATCTATGTACTATCTATGTACTATCTATCTACTATCTATCTACTATCTATGTACTATCTATCTACTATCTATGTACTATCTATGTACTATCTATCTACTATCTATGTACTATCTATCTACTATCTGTGTACTATCTATCTACTATCTACTACTATCTATGTACTATCTATCTACTATCTATGTACTATCTATCTACTATCTATGTACTATCTATCTACTATCTATCTACTATCTATGTACTATCTATCTACTATCTATCTACTATCTATGTACTATCTATGTACTATCTATCTACTATCTATGTACTATCTATGTACTATCTATGTACTATCTATGTACTATCTATCTACTATCTATGTACTATCTATGTACTATCTATGTACTATCTATCTACTATCTATCCACTATCTATCTATCTATGTACTATCTATCTATCTATCTACTATCTATCTACTATCTATCTACTATCTGTACTATCTATCTACTATCTATGTACTATCTATCTACTATCTATCTACTATCTATCTACTATCTATGTACTATCTATGTACTATCTATCTACTATCTATCTACTATCTGTCTACTATCTATCTACTATCTATGTACTATCTATCTACTATCTATCTACTATCTATCTACTATCTATCTACTATCTATGTACTATCTATCTACTATCTATGTACTATCTATCTACTATCTATGTACTATCTATGTACTATCTATCTACTATCTATCTATCTACTATCTATGTACTATCTATGTACTATCTATGTACTATCTATCTATCTATCTACTATCTATGTACTATCTATGTACTATCTATCTATCTATCTATCTATCTATGTACTATCTATGTACTATCTATCTACTATCTATGTACTATCTATGTACTATCTATGTACTATCTATCTATCTATCTATATCTACTATCTATGTACTATCTATCTACTATCTATGTACTATCTATGTACTATCTATCTACTATCTATACTATCTATGTACTATCTATCTACTATCTATGTACTATCTATGTACTATCTATCTACTATCTATGTACTATCTATGTACTATCTATCTACTATCTATCTACTATCTATGTACTATCTATCTACTATCTATGTAGTATCTATGTATCTGTAGTATCTGTGTTCGTACGTGTTCATGCCACTGGCCTTGGTGATGGGAGTTCGATGGCAGGACTGTGACAAGGTAGCGAGGCTTATCGGCAAGAAAATATTCATCAACGAGTTTCTGTCCTATGCTGACCTCGGACACATGATTGAGAACAATGAGTTGGATGTATGTATTTAAATAACTATATATCCGAATTGGATCAATTAATATGAGCGAATGTGCAAAAGGACTTTTGTCCTTAACAGACCCCAGGAATATGACCAAAAACAATGACCCAGATGTATCTACAGCAATATTCATGTCGCACAGTTTGAACCCAATTCTCTAATTAAATATTTATATCAATATCTATACTTATTGATACTTCCTTATTTTGATCTTGATCATAAACTTCAAATATCAACGTGTCTCAGTTCATCATCTTTTGTCAGTGTGATAGAACTCCAGTATGTTTTGGTTCAATATCTGTAGTAAGGTTTATGTCGTCAGTGTTTGGAACTCCAGTACGTTTTAGTTCAATATCTGTAGTAAGGTTTATGTTATCAGTGTAATAGAACTCCAGTACGTTTTAGTTCAATATCTGTAGTAAGGTTTATGTTATCAGTGTAATAGAACTCCAGTACGTTTTAGTTGAATATCTGTAGTAAGGTTGATGTCGTCAGTGTTATAGAACTCCAGTACGTTTTAGTTGAATATCTGTAGTAAGGTTGATGTCGTCAGTGTTATAGAACTCCAGTACGTTTTAGTCCAGTATCTAGTAAGGCTAATGTCCTGCTATGTGTCCCTATCTTATTTCCGTGTTCGTTATCTTCAGTCCATGAATGTGTCCTTGTGTTCATATTTACTACACTCTGATGTAAATATGGAAAAGATTTGTCGTGACTAGATAGTTTCCTTGCACAAGGTATTACTGTATGGGACAGAAGACAGAATAGTCCAGCTCATTCTCAACGACGGTAATAAAAGATAGGCATATACTTTATAACGAATCAGACTTCTCGGAATCTACAGTGAGTCTACAGTGATGATAAATACAATTGAAGTTGACTGAACACTGTGTTCTGTGTGGTTCTTTGGACTTCTACCACGACACATAATTTCAGTCTTTAGAGTAAATATAACGTAAATCACAACATGCCTGATTTTTATATCATACGTTGTGTAAAGCTGAGCTGGTGTTTTTCTGTCTGTATATATGTTTCTGTGTCGGTGACTGTGGTACATTGGACGGTTAAGACGTCTGGTAAGGAAATTCGCCGTGTTAAAAGTACCGAACAAATGTAGGAAGTCAGATTTCAAGTTTTAAATTTGGTTCTTACGCGAAGAAAACATGTTTCCTCTAAAGTGTAGGGCACTGAATGGATTACTGAAATACGACAACGTGCACTGAAGTATGCCCTATTCTGGTAAATCTTTGGTATATTAGCTGCTGACATCATCAGTTACGGAATTCGAGATATTTTGTGACGTACCGTTTTTTAAATCATCGAAAGAATGGCACCCGCTGTTTGCCTCTTCTTTTTATCTGGTAAAAAAAAAATGATATTTCAGAAAAAATGACCCTATTTGTTTCCTTACTTAATTTTTTTTCTAGATGCATATGAATGTTCATATTAGAATAGCCTAAAAAAGATGGTTTTACTTGTATGATTTTGTCATGTAAGTGCACACTCCCATGAAAATACGTTTGAAACAGTTGACAACTAAACCGACCTACAATAAGTCTGGACACCAAGTATCCCATTTGGATCATCTGATTTGGGATGTCCAAGTCTGCTAGAAACCGGAAGAGACATAGTTCATATGAACTTTGACCTTTTGTTTTATAGAACCGTTCTGCAGTGATAACTACCTACATCCTGTGTGGGTTTGGAAGTATTGCTGCCATGGGAATCAACCTTGGAGCCTTAACAGCAGCCGCTCCCAGCAGACGAAAAGACTATGCTAACGGTATGCTCAGAGCCATGATTGGCGGAAATGTCGCTAGCTTCATGACCGCGTGCGTTGCAGGTGAGGACAATTAAATTTGAATTAAATCAAATCAATATTGATACGGTTATTTCTCATTAAAAAGTTTATACTGTGTGGAAAAATGTAACTTAGTGGAGCGTTTGGATGTAACGTGTCCAAGACAGATTTATCTGTAAAATAAATACCACGATGTTGTCAGTATGTTTTAGGCACAAACAATTAGTGGAAACTTAGAATGCCTGGATTTAGAAAACCGCGGTTTCTATTATCAAGGGAAAAGAATACCAAATGAATTAACGTGTATATATATAGTTATGTACAGTTCACTTACGGCAGTCATAGCTTGATGCGACAGTGTTTTTACCTGTCACACCCAACCTTACAAAGCCTGCACATTCGATAAGCTTAAATGTGTTATATTTATTTATATCGTGTATCAGAGAGAAAAATACTCTCTTGTGTTCCATTATCAGAAAAAATCCATGGATTACAAAAGGCAGCTAAACACTCATCATTGTAAAGAACCCCTGTTTAATATCTTTAAATCAGACAGGAGACAGGATATTGGGCCAGTAACATTAGGTAATTATCGTCTATCAAGTCTGTTCAAATGAATGACCTTTGCCTTCTTTCACACCCACAGGGATAATTTGTGTTAAAGTACGCAAACGACTTCCTCTGAATAACCAAAAGCGGCAAGTCACGTGAGTGACATGCTAAGATGAAGGGATCAAGTTTATTCAGATGGGTGACTGACCAACTGACAAAAAATTCACTGGGATAAAATATGTAAAATTTATCAAAACGAAAAAAACCCACTCTTATGTTACTTCGCTTGTAACATCGGAAAGAATGGATAGTTTGTGATAAACGTGGACGTTAACATAACCCGCCCTTCCCTACAATTGAATGCCTTCATTTCTTTACTAGCAACAGATCTGGTTAACGATCAACCTCCTCTGGACTTTCCGTTATACCACTACAAAATGCATTCTATTTACATAACATAGTACATTGTACATTATTTTATCATTTAGTAATGTAAGGAGAAAGAACTGAAATGACACAGAACCGATGACATACTTGGTCCGTTTATACCAACAGGGATGCTGTACCGCGAGTCCAGTTTTCTGACCAACACCACTGCTGTCAATGCAACTGCTGTCAATGCAACGTTATATGTGCTCAAGTTTAGTACCACTGAAAACTCATCTTACCCTACCACGTGACCTATGATGTGTCCTGAGCAAAGCGACACGCTGATGACGTCATTTAACCAGTCGATCCAATCTGATGTAATTTATTGTTGTGTAAAATGCCACGGTATATAACTTAATTGATGATGGGAATCGAGTTAGGGATTAGAGATTAAAACAGAGTCTAAGGTGAGACAGAAAGGAAAGAATTGAACCAAAGTTCAGAGATTAAGAAGTCGGAGCTAAGAGATTAATATTGAGTCTGGAGTATGAAAGAGAAGAACAGACTGAACCCGATTTCAGAAAAGAAACAATAAAAACAAACAATGAAGTAAACTTCATCAGGCAGTTGTTTCCTACTTATAGGACTTGTCAGGGATGTCAAAGGCCTAAAGTTTGAAGCCCAGGAGACGAACGAAGAAAATTCACTTGAAGGGACAAACCGAAATGTGGAGGCCTGAATGCAGGAGGTGCACTAGCCTAAATATTGACTGTGATTTTCATTTGTTTGATGATAACAATGCAGTGCATGTATATATTCTGAACCGTGTCAATATTCGAAGTTAGGACGTAGTGATTAAGAGAGAGTGTGAGGGAGGACAGAAAAGGTCAGAGTCTAGTCAGGGGATAGAGATTGGGAGAGAGTGTGAGGGAGGACAAAAAAAGTCAAAGTCGAGTCAAGGATTAGAGATTGAGAGAGAGTGTGAGGGAGGACAGAAAAGATCAGAGTCGAGTCAGGGGTTAGAGATTAAGAGAGATTCTGCGGGAGGACAGAAAAGATCAGAGTCGAGTCAGGGGTTAGAGATTAAGAGAGAGTCAGAGGGAGGACAGAAAAGATCAGAGTCGAGTCAGGAATTAGAGATTAAGAGTGAGTGTGAGGGAGGACAGAAAAGGTCAGAGTCGGGTCAGGAATTAGAGATTAAGAGAGAATGTGAGGGAGGACAGAAAAGGTCAGAGTCGAGTCAGGAATTAGAGATTAAGAGTGAGTGTGAGGGAGGACAGAAAAGGTCAGAGTCGAGTCAGGAATTAGAGATTAAGAGAGAGTGTGAGGGAGGACAGAAAAGATCAGAGTCGAGTCAGAGATTAGAGGTTTAGAAAGAATATTATTTGAAAACGAACGGAAACAGCTACTATATCAAAATTGGTAACACCCTTATATTCTGAAGGCCTAAAAGTCCGAAGGCCCAATAGTCCGAAGGTCCAATAGTCCGAAGGCCCGATAGTCTAAAAATGGTTACGTATTTTTGTTTCTTATTTAACTGTAAATGAAATAATGACGAAATTTAGAGAGAAAAATAGTTAAGCAATAATAACAGAAATCATCGTAACATTTATCACAGGTTTTGGCACAAAAAATCGCGAGAAAAAATGGCCCTAAGTATTCTTTTATCTTATACTATAACAGTTAAGTGAAAAGCGACTTATATTTGTAAGCGACGGGAATGTGAACAGAAATGGCGCGAAAAAAATGTAGGAGAAAGCATGCATGGTAAACAGTACGGGGATTCCGACTTACATGAGCGGCGAAGATGGCGCGAAAAAAACCTGAGAAAATTCGGACTATTGGACTTTCGGACTTTAGGGCCTTCGTACTATTGGGCCTTCGGAATATAAGGCTGTCACCATCTAAATTTATCAATATCATTGTAACACTTTATATGTAAAGATGTCAGCGGAATAAATGTTAAAGAAACAACTGTCTGTGTTCTGATAAAATATGTACTACGTGGTATTGTATTGTGTATACGAACCAATTGTAAAATTCTGTATTCTAATTGATAGATCCACCATTGTTCGTCACACACACACACACACACACGTATCACTGAATTGTTACTTCAAACACGCACGACCGGAAGTGTCGGTCACGTGTATGTTACATAGTCATGATCACATGGATTATAAACGCATGTGCGGTATTACAGCGTGTAAGATGACTTTAGAGGGAACGTGGAGACTAATTTACAGGGCTATTGTTTGTTTGTTATGAGACCAAGACTACAAGACACGAAGGAGACAGCACACGTACGTATACCGTATTTACACACATTCACTATACAAGTCAGCTAGTATACACGGTGGTCGATATCAACGGAAGCTTTACTATCTATAGATAGATTTCTTCCTTGTGCACATGTGCAAGGTATACACTACATAAACACAGAATGACGACATGGTTCACGGAGAATTATCAGACATTCGTGGAAGGTTTAGAGGGGTCAATCGGCGTACATGTGTATATTATAGGTATCGTTGGTTAACAACCGTAATTTGGGAACCATGTTAGATCTAATAATAACCTTTAATAGAGCGATTCGAAAGTTTACTTTCTCGTTGACAACAAGTACCTGGGGTAGACACATCCATCCGTAAAACATTACGTCAGCGACAAGCTTTTCGTCACACGTAGCTGGTTAGCTTAATCAATAGCAGACAAAACGACAGCGGTATGACTACAATTGATCAAATCCAAGTACTTAAGGTATCATATTGCACGTGACTGTTTATCATAGCTCTGTCTTAACAGCTAGATACGAAAGTATCTACTTCACGTGACTGACTAGCTGTAGTTATAGACCTAAAACTAAGTAGAACATCGTTTTATGTGGCTGGTTAGGTTATAGTTATAGACCTAAAACTAAATATAAATATCGCTTTATGTGGCTGGTTAGGTAACTTGCATGGTATGCAATTTGATACATCCTTTCTTTCTTTTTTGGAGCTTAACATCCTTGTTCTGGTTATACCGAGCCTAGGATATTTGATTTAAGATTTACGTAAGAAGCTTTAAAGGCTCGGTAACTAAATCTTTTGTTACGAATTTCAGAATCACTCAGCAAATACAGACGTATCCTCTTTATATATATTTTAGGAAACGGATTTTGAAGTAATTTCGGGTCGATATACTTCAATCTGTGGGAGCGTGACGTAAAAATATTAGGATAATCTGTGTTTTATGATGAAAGCTAGTTATAATTCATGGAGTTGGATGGCACTGTATAGTCATGGAACATATCAAAGTTGAAATATATTGTTATACTTACTGAATGCCAAGGCAGTAGTGTAATAAATCGTTATAAATGGCTCTAAATGCTGGTTACAATTTTATAACTAAAAGGCAGGAAAGTTATCGCTATATGTTTATTATATTAGTTTAGTACTGTACAACTAATTAACTAATTAACTAACTAACTAATTAATTAACTAACTAACTAATTACTAACTGACTTACTAACTAACTAATTACTAACTGACTTACTAACTAATTAATTACTAACTGACTTACTAACTAACTAATTACTAACTGACTTACTAACTAATTACTAACTGACTTACTAACTAACTAATTACTAACTGACTTACTAACTAACTAATTACTAACTGACTTACTAACTAACTAACTAGAGGTATGGTTATCAGAGATAGGGTGCTACATTCTCTCCGTCTCTTTCTTAATTGAGCGCGCCACCAAAACATCAGCAAATCGATAAGATGTTTGAATTTTATGATAAATACTTAAATTGTATGATCGACATGTCACTCTACAACAAGTTTTAACATCAACACCCACATAGAGGCAAAGAATAGTTAACCAACATCCCCATTCTTGAGTGAAACTTATCATCCTCGTTTAAACGAAATTGGTTTAAAATATCAATTGTTTAAACATACACTTTCCTCTAATCGTAGTTACAATGTGCAAGTCAACCACTATTCAATGAAAGACATGCATGTGTGCCATCAAGTGCTAGTCATAAATTCAGTTTGTATATTACCATGGTTTTTACTAAATAGTGTTTAAGGGTAAGTGTATTTTTTCAAATTAATTCGCATGTTCAAACCACAAAATGTGACATTTAAATATTTTGAATTACTTTTAAAGAGTAAAAACATGTTTACAGTCAAGCTTTGCTTGACATTTACACAGATTTATTATTAAAAAGTTAATTTTAAAATTTGAATCTAATTTTAGAACTAAAAAAAATACTTTTATTTCCATTTTGCCATATTTGACATGTCATAGAGAATTGTTATTACTGTGTTTAGAAGGTAAATAATTGTGACCGATACTACTACTTACATTAGATGACACTACATACGGAATTTTCCTGTTATCGTTACAGATATGGCTACCAGGTATAAACACACTTATGTATGGAGGATTATCGCTGGAAGAAGTTCATAGTTAATCTAGTGAATGGATGATAGATTCTATTCCAGGAATAAAGTGGTGCTCTCGGTCACTCTCCGTCAACTCTCGGTCACTCTAAACTCAGTGTGGCCTTTATCTCTTAGTCGTACCACGACTAGTAATTCTAGAAACCTTGTATACCTGATATCGCTGACTTATCAACAGATACGATTTAAAAGGAGGGAATCGTAAGTCCACTGCATGGTGAAGAAGGTATTGTTTAAATAGTGTTGTCATTGATGAAATATTGTGGCTGTAAAGTTTAGGCATCGTTTCGTGTCGATTCTATTATGGAGAGCGGTTTCCGTTTTTTAATATTCACAAGTCGAGAATGGACGCCACCTTAGGCTTTTTGAAGTTGAAAGTGCTTACAATTCCGATAAGATTGAGATTTCGTATGACTCCGAATCTGTTACGTTTGACGGAGGACGCCTTTCCTCTTTGTGTTTCCATTTTCAGTGACGTGTACATTACATCTTAATGGATGGCCACAAGAGATCACTGTCTCGTGATGGGTCCGAGGAACCCCTGGTGGCTGAACCCTTGGTGGCCGAACCCTTGACCAACGGAAAGCCTTTTGCTGTAGTGGACATGGACGTATTATCTTATGCCGAGAATTCTAAACGTAAACCAGCAGAAATAACTGACACGTTCGGACAACTTCTGGACTACTGTTCCGAGGCTGTGAATACGTGTAAATCAGCAGCACATCGCTGGTTAAACGACGCCATTTTCATTGCTCTTGTCGTTGCATATGTCATCTACATCGTCTTTGTCATCGTTTTTGACACCACGACCGCGTTCTGGGCATGCGTGGATGTGGCTATCGTCTTTCTGGTCGTTATACACAGGTTCTGGGGGATCTCAACTGTCCTTGGCTACATCACAACACCTCTTCTGAAAATTCGTAAACAATACTGTGTCATTAGTCCGAAACGACAGGTTTTTGCTGGAAGGTAAGTGTTTATGCTAAGTGGACAATTTTAGCAGTATATGAATTGTATTGTATGTATGTAACATTGAGTCTGCGTACTCCACGGGATACAGTTTTGTACGGGATACAGTTTTGTCGACAGAATGGATGGAATTAAGTTTAAACATACTAACGAGCGTTTTAGCGACCATGTAACAACAAAGCAGGCGTGAATAAGAAAAAAATACCTTGCTTCAAACATCGTGAAGGAAGTGTCGTAATTGGCATGTAACTGAAATGAAATTACACAAGCTACTGGGCTATATATGAACACGAGTAGCGCTGTATTCGATAGATACTCAATTCTATAGATAAAAACTTTATTCTACGATAATTTTGAGAAACAAATCTGAAACTAATCGCTATTGTTGGCTTAGAACGGGCTTCGGCTGCACAGTAGGAGGAAACCTAAAAAGATGTTCCTTGAGACCGATACAATCAAAAAGATAACCCTAAACCTTTAACGACCGATCATGGCATTCACCTTCTGTGACGTTGATGGATTGTTTACCTTTCAAATGTTGTTATTTACCTAGTGTATCTCCGAATGCCAACATTTTAAATATCCCCACAGAGTTATTTGTTTTTTGATAGTGATTACAGTCTTTTCCCTTAGAGTAGTGTTAGTTCCAATTGGTAAATTTACATGTAAAAACTTACCTGTTAGTACTTTCTTAAATTCAGAAATTTAATATTCAACTCCTCGGGACCTGGGAGTGGATGCAGCCCCAAATCGGAAAGTGAAGACTTGGCTTCACAATAATGCGGTTTACAGTCCGACTAATTGTACACGAGTTATTCGACCAATGAAAATCCACGGTTTACAATTAGACTAATTGTACACGAGCTATTCGACCAATGAAAATTCACGGTTTACAATTAGACTAATTGTACACGAGCTATTCGACCAATGAAAATTCACGGTTTACAATTAGACTAATTGTACACGAGCTATTCGACCAATGAAAATTCACGGTTTACAATTAGACTAATTGTACACGAGCTATTCGACCAATGAAAATTGTACGGTTAACAGTCAGACTAATTGTGTACGGGTTATTCGACCAATGGAAATTCTACGGTTTACAATTAGACTAATTGTACACGAGCTATTCGACCAATGAAAATTCACGGTTAACAGTCAGACTAATTGTGTTCGGGTTATTCGACCAATGAAAATTCTACGGTTTACAGTGTATTCTTAATTTGATACCCATAAGGTATATACATATATGATGTTATTTCCTCTTCACGGATAAACAAAAAAACATTGAGAATTATTTGGCCTCTGAAAATCGCAGGAAACCAAGAAAAACAGAGCTTGAGAAAACGCTGTGTATACAACATGATCATCAATTAGTTATAATTCCAGGTTTTTCACAGCCTTCCTGTTCGTGGCTCTAGTGGTGTACCTTATCGTGGATCTACATGACGAACCGGATAGACTTGTCCCCCTCGGAGGCCTCATTCTATTCTTGATCCTCATGTTCATCACATCTACTGCCCCATCAAAGGTAATATCACATCTGTTCAGAAGAATTATGTAAAGTCTAAAACACAATATAAATCACAGATTTACAACTGATGAAGATTTCGCTAAATTTTGTTACGAGTACACGTGTCTTATTCTCAAACTATGTATATCATTCATGAATTACAGGTAGAATGGCGGGCAGTACTATGGGGATTATTACTACAGTTTATAATGGGAATCATAATTCTGAGGTGGCAACCTGGTTACAAGGTGTGTAAACTAATGGGGGACGCCGTAGCCTACTTCCTCTCCTTTACCGACTACGGCTCCAAGTTCGTGTTCGGCGAAAAAACCTACACTATGCACGTCGTGGTCTTCAAGGTAAGTTCATTATATTTTGTAAACCACTTCAGTTCATGAGAGATAAAAGTACCTTCAGCTGTATTTGTTATGGTGTACTTTTAATAGTATTCTCTTACGTCAAGCGGAGCAGTACGGCAAACGTAATCTATGTTTCTGTACTTCTGACATAATGAGAAAGACACGTGATTGAAACACGTGAACAGACGTGACGCATGTGCTAAAATGAGCATTTGATCGAAAGTGGCACATGAGACGAATTCAACACGTGATCGGAAGTGACCCATTATCTAAAGTTTAAAAGTGCAAAAAGTATGCATGATATAAAGTATGCATGATATAAAGTAGCACGTGATTGGAAAAGACACGTGATCGAAATTAACAAGTGAACGGAAGTGACACATCTGCTGAAACAAAACGGGATCACAAGTGACACCTGAAACGTGATCAGAGTTTGCTCATGTTATATGCTAATCTACAATCTTTTGTTCGTCCTCTCAAAGTGTTCGACTGACTGTCTGTCAACAGATTCTACCTGTAGTGGTGTACTTCAGCGCCGTAGTGTCTATCCTGTATTACTTGGGAGTGATGCAGTTCATCATTAAGGGGCTGGCCAAGTTGTTCCAGTATACCATGAAGACCACAGCTGTTGAGTCCTTTGCTACTGCGGCTCATATCTTCATTGGACAGGTGAAAAGTTTTCTAGCAAGGTAAAAAAAACCCAGATACTAAGTAGGTGGGAACTGACTTTTATCAAGGAAAGAAAGACTCAGATAGGTAGGAACTGACCTTCATCAAGGAAAGAACGACCAAGATAGGTAGTAACTGACCTTCATCAAGGATAGAAAGACCCAGATAGGTAGTAACTGACCTTCATCAAGAAAAGGGCAAATGGACCAGACCGTCACTACGAAAGGATACGGCAGAAAGTAACCTACATGAATGACTGGAGAGACAGGAATTAATCTTCAGTCATTCATGTGCAAAAGATTTAGATAGATAGCAGTCGATCTTCGACTATGAAAATCCAAACGGGTCTGACAGGTGAAAATGATCTTTAAAGAAAGACCAAATAGTTGAGACAGGTAGAGTTGACCTTTAAAGAAAGACCAAAAGGACAAGACAGGTAGAGTTAACCTTTAACTTACACATGGGTTATATATAGGCACGAATTGTATTTCCATTGTAACAAGAGCAAACAAAACCCGACATAATATGGCGATAAAAATTCAAATAAAACCACTTTTGTAGGTGGTGTCTACCGTTGCCTTGAAGCCGTTTCTGCGTGATCTCACGTTATCCGAGCTTAACGCCGTGATGACGTCAGGATTTGCTACAGTGGCTGGAACAGTCATCGCTGCCTACATCGAATTCGGGGTTCGTAATACGGGACTGGAGACTGAAATCATGGTGTTGATCAGATAAAAAAATCATTGTCACCACTGATTGTATAAATGTTTCAATGCTTTCTATCATCATAACATTAAATAGATCAGTAGACACAATGCCGTGTTAACGTTTTGTACAACAACGTTGGTGAAGTTTCAATTATGTAAGCATTAGCTCTGTAAATATCCATGGCATAAGATAAACACACAGCTATATAATATAAATAAATACAATGTGGTTTGTCAAAATACAGGTTCCCGCTGAGCACGTGATCACTGCGTCATTTATGTCGGCCCCGGCTGCACTAGCAGTGAGTAAACTCAACTGGCCGGAAACGGAAGTACCACGCGGGAAGGGAAAGGATGTCTACGCCAATCTCAACGTCGGGTAGGTCTCGCATTTTTCCATCACAAGACAATTCCATTATCGAAATATCATTGCCGCATATTTGTGACATGTGTATTTTTGCTGTACTCGAGAGTAACTTATCGGCTGTATTTTCGCACGTGTACTAATTTTATTGAATGACTTTCTGATGTACTCATATATTACATTTTGAAATATAAAAATATGTTTAATAAATTGGTGTTTTTTTGTTGTAACGAACGCATTTATTTACGAATATTCATAAAATTACATTTATATCCGGTGTAGTTTAGAAATTATATTTCCGCGCGAAGCAAGTATATTGGCGTACACTATCAGGCAAAATTCATCATAACATTAACATGATGGTAACAAATAAAAAACTGCCTCAGGATGAATAGAATACATAATCAGTGTCTTAAAACATAAGTTTTAATTAGCTTAAACAAATTTTATTTGCACCAAACATTTAATATGGAATTTGGCACAAGTTATCAAACTTACATTAGGTACTTACAATAATGAAACAAGAGACAGAGAGAGAGAGAGGGGGGAATGGAGGGAGAAAGAGAGAGAGAGGGAGGAAGGGAGAGAGAGGGAGGAAAGGAGAGAGAAAGAGAGGGAAAGGGAGAGAGGTAGGGAGGAAGGGAGAGAGAAAGAGGTGGAAAGGGAGAGAGAGGGAGTGAGGGAGGAAGGGAAAGAGAGAGAGAGGGAGGAAGGGAGAGAAAGTGAGGGAAAGGGAGAGAGAGGGAGGGAGGAAAGGAGAGAGAGAGAGGGGGGGGGGAGGGAGGAAGGGAGAGAGATAAAGAGATGATGATTTTGTAATTTGAGAAGATGAGAAGTATAGGAACTTTTTATAACGGCTTTGGCCCACTGAAAACGGCACTTTGTCTTGACGGAATAAACTAGAAAAAATAAGATATTGTGTTCTGGAGATTTCATAGAAACCACTAAGAACTGAATAATTAATTAATCATGCTCATAATTTCTGGTTCAAGCATGTAGACTTAATATGTAAAGAGGAAATTTAAATAAGTTGTGTATTTCCGGATGTTTCTCAATAGGAATGAGCACAATATTATGGAAGCAGCTTCAGCCGGGGCTTTGACGGCCATCAAACTAATCTCCTATGTTACCGTCAATCTCATTGCCTTCATTTCACTCCTCGCCTTCGTTGACTATTTCTTGTCCTTCATGGGGTCACGTGTTGGTCATCCAGAGGTCACGTTCCAGGTAAATATTTTGGATAATATGAATACTGTGAACAGGTCTATTGTCTGCTGTATAGGGATGTGATAGTTTGTTAGAGGACAGCGACACAATGCTTTTTCAGCATGTTTCAACAATTACGGTGTACATGTATATATAAGTAAGTTATCAGGCTTGTCACATTTTATCACATAACTACCCTGGTGTCAGCTATGACATCTTTGGTTATTACACCTGAACTGACTTGGCGGTGATTGGCTGAAGCTTCCTATGGTTTAGAAATCAATAGATATCGCCAGTATAGATTATTTTTCTAATAAGTTTTCACGAATGATTGCAAAACGTATGCATGTTGTGTGATGAACAGAATCTTACATTCGTTTCCATTTGATTGGAAATTTATGAAACTCGTCACGATTTATTTTCATTTTACCTCGTAAAAGGCTTGATAAAATTTTAAAAAAATTATATGAATGGAAATTTCATAGCATCTGATGAGTCTTTTAACAAATTTTGAAACTGAATACATAGTACGGAAGAACATACTTGTTAGTATGAAGTGCTAAAAGGTAATTTTAAGTTGCCATAAACCTTTTTCCCTTTTTGTTTTTGTTTTTTGATACTAGCATTACATATACTCGTCATAATCTTAATAGGGACCAAACGATTAATCTTGGCATGGTTTGGGATCGAGTATCGTAGAACTAATAAACCTAAATATAAATGAATGTTGTGTTATCCTTGAGCCAGAGGGACAGTGCGCTTAAAGGAGAATCTTTTACATTTGTTTCTTTTGACCGCACTTCGTTTAAAATGTCTTGCATCTGCTTTACGTATCTTTAACATTGGACATTAAACCTTTGTTTTACCGTGTATAAGATTCAGTGATAGCCACTCGACCTCGGACGTATGTACTGAACTCGTAGTGTTCGCGTGTCCATCTTCCGACATTTTCTCAAACATATTCCAGAAGTTGGATTATATATTTTCTTCCAATATTCCTTCTCAACAATGATTGTTTTTGACTTTGTCAGTGTGTCTAACTTTTACTTTATTTTGACAATCGTTACAGTTTCTCTGTTCGTACATATTCATGCCGTTGGCTTTAGTGATGGGAGTTCGATGGGAGGACTGCGGTAAGGTAGCCGAGCTCATTGGCAAGAAAATATTTATCAACGAGTTCCTGTCCTTCGCCGACCTCGGCAAGATGATCAAGAACGATGAAATCAACGTAAGTTTTGGACATGAAAGATGTGCTTCATCTTTTTGACTAAATTGTGAAGAAAATTTGCCCAGTAGTGGATAATTCGATTTGAACGATTAATCTTGTGTGTCACGTTTTCTTGTTGATAGAATTATATTTTATATTTGCGTAGCAATGCCGTTATATAAACTAACCGACAAGACGTGTAGTATATAGTGCTATAAATGACATTCAGTGCGTGACCTTTATAACGCCATTATAATTTCGTATAGAAAGCTATGAAGTACCTATGTCATTCATGGTCGAAACAAATGACAGTTTTACATGCAAACGAGTTGAGCTGAATTTGATTTCCAGAGCCTTCTATTTTTTTCTCTTTAAAGGAACGTTCAGTCGTGATAGCTACTTACATATTGTGCGGGTTTGGTAGTATAGCCGCCATGGGCATCAATTTGGGCGCATTTACTGCTGCAGATCCTAGCAGACGACAGGACTATGCTAAGGGCATGCTCAGAGCCATGATTGGCGGGAACGTCGCCTGTTTCATGACTGCATGTGTGGCAGGTGAGATGTTCACATATTGTAGATGGTTTTCATTCAATGTGTTTTTTTCGTATACATTTAGTAAAATGTGTTCGTTCTGAATAGTTACATGTAAGAAGTATGAAACTTTTACTTTATACATCATCTATTTAAAGATGTATTGTACATTTTACATCAATTTATAGATGTATTGTATATTTTACATCTATTAAAAGATGTATTGTACATTTTACATCTATTTACAGGTGTATTGTACATTTTACATCTATTTACAGGTGTATTGTACTTTTTACATTGTCTATTTACAGGTGTATTGTACATTTTACATCTATTTACAGGTGTATTGTACATTTTACATCTATTTACAGGTGTATTGTACATTTTTCATCTATTTACAGGTGTATCGTACATATTACATCTATTTACATGAGTATTGTACATTTTTCATTGTCTATTTACAGGCGTATTGTACATTTTACATCTATTTACAGGCGTATTGTACATTTTACATCTATTTACAGGTGTATTGTACATTTTACATCTATTTACAGGTGTATTGTACATTTTACATCTATTTACAGGTGTATTGTACTTTTTACATTGTCTATTTACAGGTGTATTGTACATTTTACATCTATTTACAGGTGTATTGTACATTTTACATTGTCTATTTTCAGGTGTATTGTACATTTTACATCTATTTACAGGTGTATTGTACATTTTACATCTATTTACAGGTGTATTGTACATTTTACATCTATTTACAGGTGTATTGTACTTTTTACATTGTCTATTTACAGGTGTATTGTACATTACATTGTCTATTTACAGGTGTATTGTACTTTTTACATATTTACAGTATTTTACATCTACATTTTTACAGGTGTATTGTACATTTTACATCTATTTACAGGTGTATTGTACATTTTACATCTATTTACAGGTGTATTGTACATTTTACATCTATTTACAGGTGTATTGTACATTTTACATCTATTTACAGGTGTATTGTACATTTTACATCTATTTTCAGGTGTATTGTACATTTTACATTTTACATTGTCTATTTACAGGTGTATTGTACATTTTACATTTTACATTTTACATATTTACAGGTGTATTGTACATTTTACATCTATTTACAGGTGTATTGTACATTTTACATCTATTTACAGGTGTATTGTACATTTTACTATTTACATTTTACATTGGGTGTATTGTACATTTACATCTATTTACATGAGTATTGTACATTTTACATTGTCTATTTACAGGTGTATTGTACATATCTATTTACATTGTACATTTTACAGGTACATCATATTTACAGTACATTTTACATCTATTTACAGGTGTATTGTACATTTTACATTGTCTATTTACAGGTGTATTGTACATTTTACATCTATTTACAGGTGTATTGTACTTTTTACATTGTCTATTTACAGGTGTATTGTACATTTTACATCTATTTACAGGTGTATTGTACATTTTACATCTATTTACAGGTGTATTGTACATATTACATCTATTTACATGAGTATTGTACATTTTACATTGTCTATTTACAGGTGTATTGTACATTTTACATCTATTTACAGGTGTATTGTACATTTTACATTGTCTATTTACAGGTGTATTGTACATTTTACATCTATTTTCAGGTGTATTGTACATTTTTCATTGTCTATTTACAGGTGTTTTATACCAAGGAAGCCTTATACAGAACATGGTGGCATTAAACACAACAATCATCAATACTACCTCACTGAATTCTACCTCATTAGTTAATGACATGTTCAACTATTCATCCGTTTTCAACACTTCAATTGATCCTGGTTAAGGTGGAGCTATGTTGATGTCTTCGTCTGGTTGTTTATGGAACCTTCCCACCAAACACTATCAGCATTACAGAAAAGTGTGGAAGATTTTTGTATGTGATAAAGCAATGTTTATAATAAGTTTTTCTAATTTACCTATACATAATTTATAGGTAAAACCTTTTTAAAGCATTTTAAAAATTTCGTTGTTGATGGCATGTTACATCATATTTTGTAGAATATATAATCATATGTAAAACCACGGAGTAAGACAGATATACAATGTATCCTTGTTCATGGTAAATCCAGACTCTGGAGAAGGAAATTTGGACGTTGTGGTATATACTTGGCTTTCCGACCCACCTGTATCATAGTTACTGGCCAAAGTGATACCGGGTCTAGGGATTGTAGCTTCAAATTGTATAGTCACAAATACAATGTGACCAGATTCTGTTTAATGTGAATCAAGTCCAAATATACGGTCAAACAGCTTTAAGTAATTACAGATTCCTAAAATGAATCACTATTCACCCACTGATCCTTTCTGGGAAAGAATCACGGGTTGCTATTTATAGTTCACCCGACACATCTTTACTTATATATTTAAAACAGCATTTTTTGTTATATTTTATTTGTTGTAACCCTGGTGAGGATTTTGGGATTTTTTTAACGACTTCGATTATTGCTAAAGGTTTACGTTTATATTGTAAATGTTTCACGTAATTCTATAAACAGTATATTATTGTATCTCATTTGTAACAGTTTAAACAGAGTGCCTTTAATGTAAGTTTAGTAATTAATTAATTGAATGTAAAAGGAGTGTATTTTAAGTGTCAAAATGATGTTGTTTTATCTGTAAAAGTGCAAAATGTTATCAGGTAGAGTTGAACCTCATCATGAACTGGGCGGGACCATGGGAACAGTTTGAAATAACCAAGTATTCGATTAAAGCCAGTTTGAAAGCTTTGTGTAAGGTCAGGTAGAGACCAACAAAACGCTTCAAATTAAACAGAGTTTTGAGTTATACGAGTCTGTATATTGTGAAACAGAATCCTGTGAGAGAGAAGATAAAAGTCTGGTGTGAATAGAATGCAATAGATTTGTATAGACAATCAATTATCTTGGTGCCTTATGAGTTGTGTAAGGATGTCACGGATCTATTTAAAGCTGGAGAGAATTGTTAACTATAAGACTTGTAACGTTTTGTCAAATCAATAAAATATTTATTTTTAACAGTGTTAGTCTTATTTAGTTTCAAACTAAGATAGGGGACCTACCAGTCATTTTAACCAGTAACAGTGGTGGCCTGTGTCCATCGATCTGTACAACTTACAGTATCTTCCATATCTGAGAACTGCATCTGATGAGTGAAAATAACCTCAATGATACAGGTGAGGTATTTGTTGTGATCACATTATTTAACCTTTACATTCAAAATTCTGCTACGTTACCAAATGAAAAAACAAAAATTGTTTTGTGGCCTTCCAATTAACATAAACATAAAACACGTCACAACGCAGAATTTTTAGACGTTTATTTCTGTAATGTGACCTATTACAGGATTACATCTTTACTCAGCAATACGTTATTGCCATAGTAACAAAAACAATATCAATACACCTTCAGTGATTCTTTTAAATGCAGAGAACTAAAATTTTTACCAGTCGGATCTTTAAACTCCCTTTTTCCCTCAGATTTTATATAAAGTAAAATGCAGTTGGCAATAAAATTAAAACTTAAGATAAAAACTAAAATCATAATTAAAAATGTACCTCAATCAAACTAAAACCAAACTTCAGGTAAATATTTCATTTTTAAATGATGGAAGTATAAAAATATTTTTGTAAAATACAAAAAAATGTCACTTGATAAACAATGGTCCAATACCTTACTGTATTTGTTCATGTGGTAACAAATCAATTAACTATGCTGTTTTAAATTTTGTAAAATCTGAATAAAAGAATAAGGTATCAGATCGCAAGAGAAAACAGTTCTAATAAACAGTGACCAGTTACACATATTTATATGTGAAAAACAAGAACGTAACGGTGTTCCATAAATAAGTCACAACAAAATTACTTCCCTCTTTCACTCTTTTCACTACTTGTTAATAGATACTGGATTGAGTACTTGTGCGTAAAACATTCCACAAAGTTTACTTCCCCTTACACTTCTTGCACTAAGGGCGTTTTCGCGTAAGCAGTTGAAACGGTTGGACGAATTGAACTTACAAGAAAAACGTCAGGTACAGATTGGACCAAGACTAGACTGCAGAATATTGGCATATGCAGATTGAGGAGTCCTGTCCAAAACATACTTCCTGAATATCATTTCGTTTCAGAATTTCAGCAGAAAAAGTATGGTTAATGCAGTCACATATTTTCAGGAGCATTATAAATGGAGTGAAGTGGATGGTATCTTAATTTTAGTGAATAGTTTTATGCCTGACAGGATACTCAGAAAACTGCGCTTTTTAAATTTTACATACATTAATATATGTATATCAGTTCCAACATCCAGTACATGTGTGTTCTTCTAAAGTGGAAGAATTCCAGATCACCTGAATCACTTAAACCATGTTACCCCAAAGCTAATTCTAAATTGATATCCTATGAAGTATTTGTACTTAAAACATTTTACAAAGTTACTTCCCCTTATCCTATGTAATGAACTGTTAACAGATATTTTATAAAGTACTTGTACATAAAACATGTAATATGTAGAAGTACCTTCATACAAAGATAAGCTTAGTGTTAGAATCTCCATGAACATTCTTAAACATTCTTTCAAACAATATAATAATACCGACAAATTGCAGTGTATTCAAAACATTTACATATAAACAAAGTTTTAGATAGGACTGAATACTAGATCCTCACTACTGATATATACAGTTATCGTTGTTACATATTTACAGCTGGGTTACAGCTTGATACATTGTATTTACAAATAAGTAACAAAGTTTGGCAAATTGTGGTAATAGAGTATCACATAGGTGACATTCATCTCAACAATTTCTACATAAAAACATTTTCATTAACCCTGCTACATATTACCTTAACATATACATCTTGTGTAAGTGATTCTTCCTTGTTAAGCTGTCAGCATGACGCTGATGTAACATATGGCATTTAACATCAGAGACCTGTTATGTTTCCCAGTCCTTATAGACTGGCACAAATCTGCAGATTTCCATAAAGTGCACAAAAAACAGTTGCTTGTATTGCAACTGTCTGTTCAAGATATTGAACATTTTATCACAAGTTTGCAGCACATAAAATTCAGAGTTGTACACTGTGTATTCAGATTCACCTGAGGTCACATGTGTTTGTAGATACACACTGGTCACCTGTTTTGATTGTCACACATCCAGATACACACCAGGTCAGGTGTTTTTCCAGAGCTACTTTTCCAGATTCACACCAAGTCCCATGTGTTCAGATACATGCCAGGTCATGTTTCCAGATGCAAACCATGTCAGGTGTTTTCAGAGCTGCTGTTCCAGATACACACCAAATCACATGATATACACCTAGTTTAAACCTGGTCTGGCATTTCCAGATATATAACTGGTCATGAGTGTCCAGATACACACTAGGTCATGTTTTAACAGTGCTACGTTTCCAGATACACACCAGGTCATGTTTTAACAGTGCTACGTTTCCAGATACACACCAGGTTGTTGTCAGTACCACAAACCATGTAGTCCTTGCTGTGGTTCATGGCTATCGAGTTTATCACAACCGCCTGAAACAAAAGTTACCAAGAAAATAATAAAAATAACATTAAAGGATAAGTCTTCACCTAGCACTTGTTTAATTAAAGCCAATTCAAAAAGGAGACCCTTAACCGTTTAGCTGATATCATTAAAAAAAAGAAAAGAAAAGAAAAGAAAAGAAAAAACAACTTGGACAAGATGTAAATGTAGAAAAAAAAAAAAACAACAACAAAAAATGGAAGGGAAATAACTCTTTCCAAAATTGTAAATCACCATGCAAGTAAGACAAATAAAATTGTATGTATGGCTGTGGTAATGGTGATTTAAGCCTATCAAGCTGTAAAGAAAGCAACTGGTAAAACCGAGAATTGATCTTCTGACAAGATTAAGATTATGAAAACAACAAAGGGCAGTAACTCTCCAAAATACCATGACTTTTTGTCATGGTAATTAAGCCAACCAAATTTGAAAAATATCAGATGAAAACTGAGAGATCTCTTGCCAAATAAATGTTTATGACGGTTGGACAGACAATACCATACTATGATAAATCTCGGGAGAATTTTTGATGGGCAAATAAAAAGGATCTTGATGATCAGTGTAGTAACATCTTATTAGATCTTAGTGCATTCAAAACAAGATGAAAAACTTTTGACGGACAGTGAGTGAAGGAAGGAAAAAGAAAAATCATCAAATGACAAATACATTTCAATTTTTCATTTTCCCGATACAATGTCCAATAAAATACTTGTGTATCCATACATACCTGCTCTGTTAGCAAATCCTTCATACTGTCTGTATGTCTGCCAAGTGTTACTTCTGGCCAATCCAACACCTATACATTACAGAATATGAATGTGTTATTGGAGGAAACCTTTTAAGTAAATGAGGTTGAGTACATCTTTATATATTCGAATCTTTTTTTTTTAAAACTTTTTCATTGCAAAACATCAATAATGAAAGAAAATATTTTCAGTAATTCTATATTTGTATCTATTTCCCCCTTTTATCCCCAATATGTGTTTTCTTTTGCAAATCAGAATTGTTTTCTCCAATCTCTAGAGAAATTAAAACTGTGTTAAATTTGTTTGTATTTGATTACGATTTACCTTTGACTGCTGAAGGGTAGTGTCACATGATATTGGTTTTTCTCCTAAAAATTGATTCAGGTTGTACAGATGAATGGACCCTTTATCATCACCAGCAGCAACCAGACCTGAAAAAGAAGCACACCGAAGGAATTAAAAAAACAATTTATTTTGTTTTAATTTAATTTGGAGTCTGACAAACTTATAATATCTCTGCACGTCTTTGTATATGACATACAATGCACAGTGAGTGATACAACTGAGACTATTAAGTTTATCGGATGGTTACTGAACATTGAAAACAAAACCATCCAACCAGTACAAAGTTTTTGATAAAATCTGATCTCCACAATTCTGAGAGAAACTAATTTTTGAGCTTGTCTACTAAAGGACTGTGATTGGGCACTTTGCTACATTTAGTGCTATGACTATGAAGTGCTGAAAGTATTTTTCATTGATAGAGTCTATATCTATGCATGATTAATAAAGTCTAGTGCTTGTATAATGTTTTCTACAACGGGTAAAAACTTTCTACTGCCGCATTTTGATATAAATCTATTCATAGTAAAGTTATATAAATATGATCTGAAGCTTCGTACATCGTTTCTCGTAGCATGCCAAAAGCAAAATTTTATTTTCGTTTTATTGTCCTTCCATAAAACACATGATCTATAAGTTGGTCAGTAAGAGTAGTGTACACGTGCGGGATGGAACGATGCGAGTACACATGAATATGATTGGTGTTGTTATTACATGATTGTTGGCAAAATGAGTAACATTAAAAGGAGAACTTAGAAATTTTGTTTCTGTTCACAATGCCATTTCAAATAACAGATTAAATTACGCTGTGGTATACCATGCTAGCATAGCTCTACTTAGTTCAACCTTAATCAATGTCAGGAAAATAAAATCGTCAACCTTATTTCGACACTTTGAGTTGAAATTCAGATAACAAGAAATATTTTCAACGGTCTCTTGAATTTTGAGATAACGAGTTTCGACCGTATATTAAAATTTCTTTAATAGTCAGGTTAAGTGCTTTCAGTGTATCAATGGATCAAATATCTCCATCTCTCAAGGAGAACTCTACCTTAAGTTAAATCACAAAGAATCTTATACCTACACAGTAGGGGGACTTGATCCCTATGTTACACAATAGGGAGTCTTTAATCACTACAATTACTTCATATCAGACAGAAACCACACTCAGGGTTATATCACACACCAAATCCTTACCCAAAAATAATAGAGACCAAATATTGCTTTGAAGAATAGTTGACTACATGTGCTTCAAAATATCAGAGCTTTTAATCAGAATATTTGGAAGTAATTTCTTGGTAGTACTGTTCAGATAAGAACACTTCAGTGTATCATAAAGAAAGTTTGTAGGTCAGTTACCTTGAGAAGCAGCCAGGTAAATATAGTCTACTGTGGTACGTGTGTAATTCAGCAGAGCTGTCGGTGTGACTTTAATGCTGCGCGTCTGTCTGCTTGGCTTTTTCATTGGAATACACGACTTGAGGTCAAACACGGTCAAACAGCTATTACCAACACATTTAGTCACTGTAGAAGAAAAACAAATCAAAATGAAATAGCTTTCAAGGACCACATGTGATAAATATGGTCAAGAGATTGAAAGGGGAGACAAGTCATCGATAACCACAACCAACTAGAAGCTTGTAAATGTAGGAGAGTTAACTCAATTATAACTTTTTCAGTCATGGTCATTAGAGTATACAGAAGACAGTACTTTTTTGTTACTATCAGTTATATGTAGGGGAGAAAAGTCATGTACACTCTTCAGACATTTAGGCATTATGGGTAAAAGTATCCAATAACCAATTAACTTTATGGACAACTCTGAGTCAGACTGGAATGATTTTGCTGTTACTGACGGCAAAGTGCCATACTGACTTGTGCATACACAGTAAAAAGTGTGATGACATGAAAAGATGGACAATTCGTTTAACTTCAACATAGAGTGCAAACGGTAAGCAACTAACTGGCACATCAGAATCAAGTTTGCCCACTGTCAGGGAAGAGCAGGGACAAATTCATTCTATAACCAGCTAATATACTGTTCTTGGTAATGAAATGTAGGAAAGGTCATTTCTCTGTTATGTATTAAGGAAATAGATGTTCATGAAAATCAAATGAAAAGTTTTTTTTTAACATACAATTATACAAAAGCATAGTTTTGCAACAGAAGTGTGATCCTCATATACAAGGAGTAATCCTGTTTATGATTTTTAAGAAACAATTGAAAACTGAAGGAAAAATTGTCTGATAACAATATTCCAAACAGATATTTTTGTACATCAGTTGTGAGTAGGTTTGTTGTCTTAACAACAGCCAGGGTCATTTTGAGTCGGTGCCTCCTTGGCTGATAGCTACTATACTAAACAGTATACTGGATGCCTGTGGTGTGCCATCCTCAGCCCAAGGATGAAACCATGACAACATAGACAGTTTCTCTACTTCCAGAGTAAACTAATACTAGTAAGGAGCACTGAATCACATACCTGGGACCTTCACCAGAGGTTGTGTAAGCTAATGATCTACCGACTAACAAAGTCACTAAATTATTATATCACAAGATGTTCTTGTTTAAAGTATGTACATAAATCTGTGATAAAATTAGACAAGCAATAATCCAGTAACTCTCCAACCTACCAACAAAGTTGTCCGATAGAAGCACAAGACCATCTACAATATCTCCCGTCTTACTGTCATCACTGGAAGTATCACTGTTATCATCTGTTATTGGCAGACATAGCTCCAGATCAGGCTCCCTGAAAAACAGAAGCAAGCATTTTTATTATCATAATATTCATTCTGAACAATTCAAAAAATTTTGAAAGTATGAATAACTGTCAATTTTAGTGATTCTGTTAGCATTATTTACCAAGTTTATCTAGAAAAAGAAACAAGCTGACCATTAAGTAGAAGATTGTAAATTTTCCCACAGAACAATCATTTGTATTTACATCATGTGACCTGTAACACCTGAGGTCAACAGAAGGTTAACTTACAAAGTTTCAAATAGTGTGAATTTTTGTAAATTTGCAGGGTGGATGGCATACATGATCACTGTCTTAAAATAAAAGCTGTATTTTGGCTAGGGATGGGAAAACTTTAAAAAGTCTTCTCCTCACTCTAAAATATAAGCTGTGTATTTCAAGACACCATGTTCTTATTATGTCTGCTGTAATCTATACTAGGTCCTGAACAGACCAGTGATTACCAACACAGGTAATAAAACCACAAGAAAAGAATTGTGAATACAATACAACTAAAGGGTATCAGTTGTAGAAAGATTTACATACTTGCTGACTTTTTGCATGTCTTGGAGTTTCCATAAGTAGCAGGTACTCTCACACCCTGCTAGCAAACTGTTAGTACTCATACTGAGGGCAAGATTCAGTGGGTCTGTTCCTGGAGTAACTAGGCACTTCAGCTTTCTAAAGAGAAAAATAATAATTAGGTCACAAACAGAATCTAGATTATAGGGTCTGAAACAATTTTGCTACTGACTGTTTTTTGAGTTGTGGATGTATGTTTTCACTGCTTTACTGTTTATTAATCTAGGGCCAGTTTTGAGACAGGATTGTTTTGTATTAGCTACTGTCTACTTCACGTGAATTGTTGGCCAGAGTAATTAGGTTAAGTCATCAAATGTTGCCTTATCTAACAATAGCAAATGACAATCTGTGTCTCAGTTTCTGTAGAAAAATCAACTTCCCTGATTATATCACACAACTTAGACATTTACCTGAGAAACACAAACTTCCCTAATTATATCACACAACTTAGACATTTACCTGAGAAACACAAACTTCCCTGATTATATCACACAACTTAGACATTTACCTGAGAAACACAAACTTCCCTAATTATATCACACAACTTAGACATTTACCTGAGAAACACAAACTTCCCTGATTATATCACACAACTTAGATATTTACCTGAGAAACACAAACTTCCCTGATTATATCACACAACTTAGACATTTACCTGAGAAACACAAACTTCCCTGATTATATCACACAACTTAGACATTTACCTGAGAAACACAAACTTCCCTAATTATATCACACAACTTAGACATTTACCTGAGAAACACAAACTTCCCTGATTATATCACACAACTTAGACATTTACCTGAGAAACACAAACTTCCCTGATTATATCACACAACTTAGACATTTACCTGAGAAACACAAACTTCCCTAATTATATCACACAACTTAGACATTTACCTGAGAAACACAAACTTCCCTAATTATATCACACAACTTAGACATTTACCTGAGAAACACAAACTTCCCTGATTATATCACACAACTTAGATCTTTACCTGAGAAACACAAACTTCCCTAATTATATCACACAACTTAGACATTTACCTGAGAAACACAAACTTCCCTAATTATATCACACAACTTAGACATTTACCTGAGAAACACAAACTTCCCTAATTATATCACACAACTTAGACATTTACCTGAGAAACACAAACTTCCCTGATTATATCACACAACTTAGATATTTACCTGAGAAACACAAACTTCCCTAATTATATCACACAACTTAGACATTTACCTGAGAAACACAAACTTCCCTGATTATATCACACAACTTAGACATTTACCTGAGAAACACAAACTTCCCTAATTATATCACACAACTTAGACATTTACCTGAGAAACACAAACTTCCCTAATTATATCACACAACTTAGACATTTACCTGAGAAACACAAACTTCCCTAATTATATCACACAACTTAGACATTTACCTGAGAAACACAAACTTCCCTGATTATATCACACAACTTAGACATTTACCTGAGAAACACAAACTTCCCTAATTATATCACACAACTTAGACATTTACCTGAGAAACACAAACTTCCCTAATTATATCACACAACTTAGACATTTACCTGAGAAACACAAACTTCCCTAATTATATCACACAACTTAGACATTTACCTGAGAAACACAAACACTTCCTAATAGGGATTCAATCACTGACTACGATCTTCAGGTGAGAATGTAATTCACTGACTGAATTCTCTGGAATATCAATGATGTGATTTATTACCTGAAGTTAGTGGAGTAGTCTGAGAGGTTTGGTATCCCGATGTCCCACATGATGATTCTGTTGTCCTTCCCACCACCTGGTAAGAACAAATTATAAGCATTATTACCACATTTACATACTTTTTGATTTCATACCTGACCACACTTAAGCTGTATTTGCATAACCCAGCTGAAACCATCCAGGCTTCACAGAATTATTCCATGAAGACGAACCCTACCTGTACAAGTTGTTCGACATGCTAATTTGACTAAAGCTAAACATGTGCATTTTCAGAATTTCCTGTAAAATATAAAACAATTCACCGGTAGGTTCCATTTATTATGTACTGAATACTGTAACAGTTCCAGAAATATGAGTGCATTGTCTCTATTTATTCAGTTCAAACTAATGATTTTCAGCCAGTTAGTTTCAGACAGGTACAACTAGCATCCTAAAACTGCACATACCAAATGAGAATTTACAAGCTTAAGTCTTGCCTATTGTTAGTTTACAGGTTTAGTCAGTCAAGCCATTTTCACCCCCTATGAGGAAGTGACCTCATACATTCACATATATTATAACTTAAACTGTATTGCTCTCAACTAGATATACAGTTAATAGTCTTTAATATTGATCTAGTAAACAATGAATATTACTGTCAATATAAAATCAAATAGGGAGCTCTATATCAACTTCTCTATAACATCAGCTGACATTTAATTCTATAAGTTAAATTGCATCTATTCCTAAATAACACAAACAAAGGCTAGAAGATTTTTTAAATAATTAAAAATAAATTGATGCAGCAGGCAGTAATTGAACTTTTCCTTCAGGATCCTCAAATATTTCTTCCTAAGCTGTGATGAAATTTTAATTTATAATCATTATCCAGTGACAAGACAAATCCACTACTTCTTCATATATATACCTTCACTAAGGATGTTTATGTTGATGAAATCTTTACTTATGTCCATTATTTTTGCTAATTGTTTGTTTTCTAGGTTATTACTTTAGCTGTTCCCATGATCATTTTGAGGACAAGTCTCCACGTATTAGGTGGTGGCTACATCAACGAACAACATACAGGAGGCTGTGGCGTGCATTCTAGAGCAATATAATGTCAGCAGACAGGTTTTGTTTCACAGCTTCCCAAGAAACAGAAACTGCCATGTCATCCCTTTCATTGAAAAATGGAGGTAGAAATAATTTTATCTCTACTGAATGAAGATTTTTCAACATTTTCTTCTTTCATGTCTGATTAAGTTACTGGAGCATGGAGATTACCAAAATTTTCTCATAATCATTTGGATTGGTGATACACAATGTGTTTTAATTAAGGATATCAATGAATATTTGTTCAGCATGGTGGTATTCAAATAGAAAAATGATATTTGAATATTCATTTTCACAATTGTTAGATATGAACATTTGGAAAATTCATCTGTTCTCTGACAACAAATTGTTCAATTTTCATTCTGAATAGAATTTTGTCAGCTAAATCATCAAGGTATAATTAGTTGTACACCTGTATCATTCATTGTGACACTAATTAGCCTGAGGTCACTCCTATCCAGGTAAGTTTTATTGCACAGCTGATCATTTACATCAGCATTAAGTTAGGTATCACTGTAGGATGTATATAGACTATTTATAAGATACAGGTTATATAAATATCCAATGACATCATCCTGCAGACATTTTAGTTGCCAAGTTGGTGATGAGTACTTTGTGAAGAGTGATGACCCTGTTGGCATGTTAGGAGAGAAAGTCATGACAGATTTCAACAAAAAAAGTGTTTTCAATATAAGTTTTCATTAACGTTTAGTTTGATTTCATGTTGCTCTTGGCCAAAGACATATAGATATTTCATGGTTGAAACAATTCATATTATGAAGTACTATGACAATTATTCTACATAAAAAGTCATACATATTAATAACAATTTTATTTACCAAATTTGGAAATTTGAGGATATATTTGTGTCTTCAAATCTTACCATTTTCTGTGCCATATTTTCTTGTCATCCTATTTTTAAAATGAGTTGTAAGACAAATAAGCCTAGAAATTAATCCTACTCTTACGAAAACCTGTTCAACTTGTTTATGTATTACATTCATTATGTTGAAAACATTGAGTCACTTTTTGTACCATTTTGTACAGCAGTGTGTAATGACTGTGTACTATGTGGAGTGGACATAAAGACAAATATGTGAATACTGAATCTGACAAATATGCAAATAGTAATTTCTATTGAATTGCCATTCCTAGTTTCCACTGATATCATAATACAACACCAATCAAATATCATTTACCTTGCTACTCAAAATAATATTCAATGGTAGTTTTTACACTGTCATACAGGGATTGCAGAGTGAGTGACTTTCAGAACAAAGATGAGAGATCAACAAAACTTACTGAAGAGAATTGTGGAGTAGGTAGGATGGAACACAAGACAGCTGATGTAGCGACGGTGACCCTCAAGTGTGGCATACATCACAAGTTGGGAGGGATGAATTAGTTTAACATCACAAGCATCCCCTGCTACAGCCAGGATGTTAGTGGTCTCTGAAGAGTTGTCCTTGTCGACAGAAATTGTGGTCCATGCCAAGGTGTAGAATGACTAAGGCAAAAAAGAAGATTCCAGTTGATAAATATTAACGAAGTGATCAGGCATTGAAATAGATATCCTCAAACCCCCAGTCCTAAAAACTGTGGTGTTACCGGGAATCTCTCACACAAACCAATGACCACTAAAATCTGATGAGGTGTAAAGCTTGATGTTGAACCAATACATGTCTCCTAATAACTCCTTTTTCATAATCAGTGTCGCAAATAAAGACAGGTATGGACTACACAGTAAGGTATAATATGGAATAGACATGGTATAGACAGTATGGTATAGTATAGAATAGACATGGTATAGACAGTAAGGTACCTATAGTATAGAATAGCATGTTTTACAAATGGTGATTGGATGATCTGACATGAGGAAATCACTTTAGTGGTAGCCACAAAAGATACTACTTTACATCTGATCATGAATTACATTAGCAGTAAAATGTTAGAGAAATGAATATAAACTTAATAAAGTAGTTATCAGCTTCAATTAAAACTTGTTGGCCTGAATGGAAGGATGTAAGGAGTCTTAAGATGTTCATCAAATCAGGTCAGTGTCATAAATATGACTATAAATTATAAATAATTAACATATCCCTCACACCTCTTTTTTGTCTGTGTCCTTGAACCGTCTCATGACCTTGCCTGTTTGACAGTCGACCAGGCAGACAATCTTCCCACCAACTGTAGCCACCAAATTGGTGTGCTCACCTACAATACAGATAAGAGAGACAGGAATAATAAGTGATTATCATTAAGCCTTATCTCAATATAACAGCTTCACTGTATAAATTGTTAAGTGAAATGAGAACTTTTGAGGGGAAATTGGTGCTAAAACTACTGAAGAAATCAACTTGGTTAAGGTAAGAAAGTTTTCTATTGCTTAACATGTGAAAAATGATGAGAAACAGTTAAACATTCAGAAAATTAACCCAAAGATCAGAATTTTTTTTTTTTTTTTTTTTTTTTTACTATGTTTGGTGTCCTCGGTATGAAGGAATTACCTGCAAACTTACCAGGACAGTTAGGTTTTGGTTCAAAAGCACATCGCCACACCTTGGTGTTATCATCTGAAGGACCATCTTCATCAGAGTGGCATCGTACGAAATAGGTTGGATCATAGTCAGGAACAGGTGGCTGTAATCAGGACAGACAGTATAGCAGAGGTTTTAAACCAAACAATGATCTTAACAGTGAACAGAACACCCAATCTACAGTCTACTTATTGTACAGACAACTAACAGAGTAATCAGTCACCTTACTGCCAGGCTACCAAATAGGATGTTGTTACCTTAGAGAAGCTTACAGAATAGCCAGTTACCTTACTGCCAGTCTAGCAAATAGGATGTTGTTACCTTAGAGAAGTTTACAGAATAGCCAGTTATCTTACAGCCAGTCTAGAGAATAGCCAGTTACCTTGGAGACAATTTTACAGAATAGCCTGTTACCTTAGAGACAAGTTTACAGAATAGCCAGTTACCTTAGAGACAAGTTGACAGAATAGCCAGTTACCTTAGAGACAAGTTTACAGAATAGCCAGTTACCTAAGAGACAAGTTTATAGAATAGCCAGTTACCTTAGAGACAAGTTAAGAATAGCCAGTTACCCTAGTGACAAGTTTACAGAATAGCCAGTTACCTTAGAGACAAGTTTACAGAACAGCCAGTTACCTTAGAGACAAGCTTACAGAATAACAAGTTTTCTGATGACTTCTCTAAATAATATTACAGTAAAGAAGGATATCTTGGTTGTGGTAATATTATGGGATACCAGGTGCCTAACATGACAGCGCAAAAATTTAACACACTAAACCATAACTTTGTTGTATTGAAAAAAAATGTAGGTTTGCTAATACCTGTACTTGCTATTCCTCATTAAATCACAAAACTAATTACCTTTTTATTTTATACAAAAGAGGTCAGTTTAAGGTTCTCAGACTTTCAGTTATACCAGTAATTCTTTGAAGACTATCACTGCATTTTTTAAACCCAAAATAAAATGTATGATTTTGATTAAAGAATGCTTTATTGACATTCTGTCAGCAGACTACTGAGTACCAACCAGAGACGGATCAACCATTATACAATGGACTGGTATATTTGCCACATGTGTCACACACTTAAATAAAACCAACCTGTTCAAGTGGAAAAACATTTAACAACACTAAAGTATTCCAATTTACAGTGGTCAAAGAGTAAACACAGTATAGCTACCTACCAGTTGATCTATGTGTAATTCCTTGAGGGAGGTATATTTAGGAGATGACAAGTGACCAGTCTGGGTTTTGTAAGACTTGGTCTTATGTTTACATTCTGACTCTGGGGTCAATGAGCGTCTGCGTTTCCTTCCTCTGTCCTGAGTTTTTTTGTTGGATGCCGGCGACTTTGGACTGAACTTAGGTGATGACAATTGTCCAGTCTCTGTTCTGAAAGACTTTGCTCTCGGTTTGGATACTGATCCTGGACTGGAATCCCTACGACGCTTCTTACCCTTCCCTTCCGCCTTTGGTGTCTTGTCTGGAGTTTTAGAGCAGTCAGCATTGGGTACCCCACTTCTAGGTGTAGGTGGTTTTAATGGTGGTGTGTCCATGAGTCGTCTGTTAGGCACAGGGGTGCGAGAGCTTTGACGTACAGGTGTAGTCTCAGGTGAATGGAGGTCATTCAGACGAGCGCTGCGTGGCGTCCCTGGTAAGGAATGGGTAGACTTGTAAATTGACATATTCTTGGCAGACTCCACCATTTCCTTGGCTAGCTTCTCCAGCTTCAATACAATGAAAATTTTACAGTTATTTGTCATCCTTTCATTTGTTTTCCTAAATAGTTTCTATTCACGACTGTCACAACTGTACATAAAATATATGAATTAACAATGTTGTCTATGACACTACAGCTGTTATCCTGTACTATGTACACAAAGGTTTGGAAGTTTGTAGACATATAAAATGTCCCAAGAATGATATGATATTGTGACAATTATTTCTTGATTTACCCCCCAAAAATACATAATGCATATCATTTATTCAAACATATTTCATTTGCCTTAAAATGACAAAAAAACATGGCTGAATTTTTTTTAACTTTATAAGTCCTCTCCTAATATATATATACATTAAACATATATCATAGTTGTGTTTTTTCTTCTTCAATATTTCAATTCCTACTTTAAATCAAATTGAATTACTTTGAACTGATGTGCTTCTCTGTACCCTAAAATACTCTAGATAATAGATTATCTAGGTTTTTACACAAACATATATAGGTGAGTGACCTAGAGAGAAATATCAGAAAATGGCTCTATTTTTAAGATGATGATGACTACAAACAATCCAGTGAAGTCATCGCAACTGCTTTCTTACCATATACTTTTCAAACTTGGAATCTGCATTTTTGAGTAGACCATCTCCTCTCAAGGTAACAATGAATTCTTCAGTCACCTTGTCCACTTCCTCTTCAGGGATACCAGTGGCATATGGTTCAGCAAATAGCACCTCCCATTTGGCCTTGACCTGTAATGTCAATGTCAAGGTCAACTACGTATTCAACCATAGACAGAATTGATGTTCATGATATACAGTCTACTGTCTATAATGTACAACAATGTGTATTGTACACATAGTACACACAACTAGATACACCATACCAGTGACATATTAAAGGGGTATACCATCTTAGTTTGCCAATGGTCCATCCACTGGTACTTTCCACATTGAGACAGATTTACAAAATCCACTTCACTAGTTCTTTACCAAAGATAATTCTGTAAGTTTTCATATTTCATCACAATCTAAATAAGCTGAAATTGTAAGAGTTTAGTTTAGTACTGAAATAAATCAAAATGACACAAACCATTTGTAATGATTAAAAGGGTAAAGGCCGACATCAGTCTATACTCTTTACTCAGTGTTTAATCTTGATTGTCAGATGCATGTCAAATTAGAGCAATATTTTTACCTACTTACTAACGACTATCTATCAGCTCACCTGTATCTCAAATTTACTGCGTATCTGTCTAACGACCTGTGAAAGTGAACTTGACCTCTGGTCATCTATATGGGTCAGATTGGAGTTCTCTACCATGGCAACCAGGCGGTCAGATTTCTAAAGAAAACAAAAAATAACATTAACATTGTTGGAATTTTACCAAAACTATTTTCTTCCCTTGACTACAAGGTCAATTAAAACTTTATACAGCAAAACCTGATATACCACCCCTTTCCATCCAATGAGATTTCAGTTGTACATAAAGCTTTTGATTCTTGAGAACAGTCATGACATCAATGTTTGTTTACTGCACATGGCACTTGCTAATGCCAACAACTACTATATACTTGACATGTTGCTCTAATTAAATACATTTTCTTACATTAATTAGTGAATGACCAGCACATGATATAGAAACCAAAGTCCTGCAAATTAACTTCTAACTTTAGCCCTGAGCATGTGTATAAATCAGCTGAAACAAAATACAGACTTACATCAGTGTATCTATAGACTTTAAGTGATTATTAATCACCAATTGGTAAGTATATATTGTATCTGTTCATCATACAAATGTTTCCCTCGATGGGCTGAGATTTGATATGAGAAACAAAAAGTGTAATTCAAAAAATAAAGATAAAAAAATCTTTCCGGTTTATCTCCATTTTTTGAAGGAAAGTTTTAGTTTTCAAAATAAGTCCACTTTTTTATTGTAATGTTATATACACACAGACAAATTTGTTACATTTTTAGTTGAATATGTTCAGCTGTCATTTTTGAGAATCCTAGAAATTTTTTAATTCACAAACTGCAGCATCAAATTGAAAAAGTGATTTATCTGCTGTACATATTTTCATAGAAAAATAAGTAAAAAAGAATTGCTTCATAATGCAAGCATTCTTTCTCCAAGTTTTGTTTTTTAATCTTAAATTTCTGATCAAGAAATACTAACATGAAACAATTTGATCAGAAACAAAGAAATATGTCCATAATGTATCACTATAACATATTTTTAGAGCAGATTTAATTCTCTGTTTGACAATAAGAATGGTTTTTTAAATGATGACATACCCCTAGATCATGATTGCCAGCAATGTAAAGTGACGTTAGCTGTGGAAAGTTCTTTCCAAATGATACAGAACTCAATTCATTGTCAGAGATGTCCAGTGTTGTTAGTGAAGGAAGTAGAAGGTTGTCGGGGATACTGCAGATGTTGTTGTTGGACAGGTCAAGAGTTGTCAAGGTCACCAGCTTGTTCATGACTGTAGGATCCAAATGGGTGAGGTCCTTGTCGGAGAGACTTAAAAATAAACAAAATCGAAAAATAAAGAATGGAGTGAATATCAGTGTTTTCTTCTGTTTTTTCATTCGTCTTTTTTTCATTTTCTATATTTGTCTACATTTATCCCTGGAGTAACACCATATATCTGCCCAAAAAACAGCAGAGTCATGAGAAGTAGACAGAGGAATGCTTCTTCATGGTGTATACATATACAACAACTGAATTAACTTATCAATATGATAGAACAGAAGGGATATCACCAGTGTTGTAAATCAAATGGAATGTTGATAGATTAGTAACAATTACAGCATAAAATTTGTATAGCTTGTTGTCATAGAGATTTACGTTTCAATCTGTCTGTTCATAGCTCAAATCTATACAATCTTTGAAGAAAAATATTAAGATATTGAATTCAAATTTTAATAACACTTACAAAGTTTTAAATGACTGGACACTGAATTCTAATATTCTAACTTGATTATATACTTACTTAAGACTTTTGATTTTTGACAATGCTAGTCCATTTCCAGCCTTCCGTATCATAGCCTCAGACACCGTCACATTTGCCATCGTGACCTGTAAAAAGAATGATAAATTATTTTGTATCAATCCATTCTTCATCTACTTTGATATTGTGTATATATATAATATCAGATCAGTGGATTAATGTCTGATCCATCATGTAAATTTCATTATATACAAGAGTGTAGGTGTTTCATGCAGAATAATATCAGTGTCTTTACACATGATGTTAAAATTTCTAATGGAAAAAGACAAAATATTGATTATGAAACTATTTGCTATAGGACTGAGTTTCAGGACCTGAGGAAACCATGGCACAATTATGATAAAAATGTTTTTATCATGGATAGAAAGAATATATAAAGAAGTTGATGGGAATGAGTTTCAGGACCTGAGGAAACCATGGCCTTTGAACAGTAGACACTGACAAAATTATGATAAAAAACAACTATGATAAAAAAGTTGTTATCTGGTTACGTAAGAATAGATAAACAAGTCAATGGTGTCACATGGTGGACTATAGAATTTACATAAATGTGCCCTCCTCATATAATGATTGTACTAGATAGATAATATCTGAATGGTTTGAAGGCAAATAGTGTCATTCTACATTTATGTTATCTAGATGATATAAACATGTTCACTTTTGATGATGGAAGGATTGCTATGGGCTAAAAACGACAGCTCTTTTTTAACTGATCCGAAAAATGACCTAATGTACATATAACAAGCATTTAAAATAGAAAACAAGAATCGTAAGGGGTCAGTCTGTTTGAGATATCCATCACATTATTAATTGTGACACACTTTTACATAATCTTTGATCATATCTCTGTATACTCACAGTGCTATTAAAGTGTAACGTTTAAATATGATATTTGGTGATTAACAAATAACAAAATATATCCTATAGACAGACATATATACACCTAGTAAATATTCTGTTCAATTGTTTAGATCTATAGGAAATATTTCTCAGTTTTACTTACACAGTAATTCAACAATTAGTTGCTACTAAAATCATTTATACCACCATCCATTTTCCAACAGATATTTAGATATCAGCATTCAAATCCCAATATACACAGCATTTGGAATATGTGATTAAGAACGTTTTGAGAAAACTTTAATTTGATAATTATGCAAAGATAACATTATACCATACTAAAGTTAAGTGGTATCTACTGAGAGATATTTGATGAGGATATTGAAAAAATAATAAGAATAATTAATAGAAGTTGGCCCCAGTGAATATACAAGTTCAGATGGCTGTCACCAAAAACAAATGTTACTAGCCTTACAGTAATAGCAGATATATTTACAGGTTTAGTGTGGTGTTGCATATGTAATGTATGCTTTTCTTATCATTAAACCACAGCCAGAATGCATTCATTTTCAAGTATGGGGCGTGACGATTTACCCAAATACACCCCAATCTTTCACAAATATACCCAAATAAAGCCAAATCTTACCCCAATATACCCAAATTAAGCCAAATTTTACCCAAATATACCCACTATCTACTCAAATAAAGCCAAATTGATTTACAGGAACGTGCCGTAACGGACTCTGTATTATCAGTTTATTATTATTATTAAGGGGATTAATGTCCTCTATTATGGCCTTTAGGCCTTTCTGAGGACGAGAAAAGATAGGAGGGAATAGAAGGGGGAAAAGCATGTAGTGAGAGGAAGGGAAGGGGAATATAGGAGAGAGGGGGTTGAGTCGCCTGTACCTAACACCTAACCTAAGCACGGCATTATCAGGGACGTATATCTGTTATATATACGTTCCTGGTATTATATTTTATTACTAATAAATGATATACACATGATCAAATAGACTATCTTTGTCTAATTTTAGCTTCCATTTACTACATTCTGTAATACCATATAGGCTAATGGGCAAAAACGGACAAAAATGAAGCGGGAACGAATTTGGGTAAATCATCGCGCTGCATTTGAAAGCTCAATGTTTCGTCTCAATATAACTTTTACATGTTTACAGTCTTATCATGAAACAATGATTTTAAATGGAGCCATATGTTACAAAGAATGATTTTTCGCCCATTGTCTTGATTTTTTCTCAGATACAATAACTTTTACTTTATGTATATAAATAGATCAATTTCTCTTCAATATTTGGGTAAAATTAAATACATTAGGGTGCTAATGTTAATCTTTAAAATTTTCAATTGGGTGATTATTTTTTGAAATGGAAGATATCCAGAGGCTAAATTCAAATAAATTCAAATTTATAAATAAGATTACTTATCTACATGTACTGGCAAGGTTTCTGTTGTAGTTTTCTATGAAATGTATATAATTATCCATGGAAAAATCATTAGGAATTATGTGAAATTTCAAAGTGATACTCGAACTTCTTACTGATAAAATACACCAAACTTCTTATAAATAAAAAATACACCAGACTTCTTATAAATAAAAAATACACCAAACTTCTTACAAATAAAAAATACACCAGACTTCTTATTGATAAAAATACACCAAATCTCTTATTGATAAAAATACACCAAATCTCTTATTGAAAAAAATACACCAAATCTCTTATTGATAAAAATACACCAAATCTCTTATTGATAAAAATACACCAAATCTCTTATTGATAAAAATACACCAGACTTCTTACAAATAAAAAATACACCAAACTTCTTACAAATAAAAAATACACCAGACTTCTTATTGATAAAAATACACCAAATCTCTTATTGATAAAAATACACCAAATCTCTTATTGATAAAAATACACCAAATCTCTTATTGATAAAAATACACCAAATCTCTTATTGATAAAAATGCACCAGACTTCTTATTGATAAAAATACACCAAATCTCTTATTGATAAAAATACACCAAATCTCTTATTGATAAAAATGCACCAGACTTCTTATTGATAAAAATACACCAAATCTCTTATTGATAAAAATACACCAAATCTCTTATTGATAAAAATGCACCAGACTTCTTATTGATAAAAATACACCAAATCTCTTATTGATAAAAATACACCAAATCTCTTATTGATAAAAATACACCAAATCTCTTATTGATAAAAATACACCAAATCTCTTATTGATAAAAATGTACCAGACTTCTTATTGATAAAAATACACCAAATCTTATTGATAAAAATACACCAAATCTATTGTTGATAATAGTACACCAAATGTCTTATTGTTAAAATTGCACCAAACTTGCTTTATAAATCGACATTCAGAAAGTCCTAACATAAATATATTGTTTGGTTTCTATATTCCATCTTCATTCATAATAAATCATTTTGTAAAGTGAAATTGAGTGATTTTCATTGTGGATTTTCTTAAACATACAATATTTTTAGGATGTAATATTAGATCACTGAAGTGAAGTTACCCCTCCATTGTGTTTAAAATAAAAAAATGGTTTTGGACCTTCATTCTTCACATAAAATACTTTTGATAAATGACTTCTGTTATTTTTTTGATTTTTTTTTTTTTTGTTGCTTTTGAAATATCTTTTGAAATTTTATAAACCTTGAAAAAATATTACTTATTTACCTCTGTATGTTGACAAGTCAGCTCCAGGAGTTCCAAATATACAGCACTAATAACTACCTCCCAGCTTGTCACCAAAAACTCTGGTTCAATCTGATGGAAGCTGTGAAGTAAAATGACACTTATTTCTGCAAATTGTGTTTTGTATACACAATGTAATCAACAGCTGGTCAGCCTATCAAACATCAAAGAAAAGAACAGGTCAAGGCTGACTTCCCACAATCATCCATCCATGACACAGTAGAATTGAAAGGCTATAGGGGACAGGGAAAAGGCCCTGGAGGGACAGGGTACCCTGTGTTGGTTTAACACTTAGGACAATGGTCATAACAACAACAAGTTTGACTTATTAAGTAAACTTACAAGCCATGAAAAGTGAGAAATTGCTTTTATCTCAAAATCTTACATCAAATCATTTGTATTCAATAGTATCAAAACAAAATACGATTAATAAATTTCATACTTCAACAAAGTAATTACCCAACACTTTTGACACTTCAGGTTCTAAACCTGTAATTTGTTTTTGTTTTGAATGAATTGGTTTGGTAAAATAAGTAAAGTAAATCAGACAGATATTGTCCACAATTAGAAACAATTAACTTTCCAGTGGATAAATGTCAAAATAATGTTTTTTAACCAAATTTAATCAAACAATTAACTGAATTATTGGAAATTTAAATGTCATTAATCCGGAAATAAGACAATTCTAACAATCAAGCATAAGTGGCATTTAAAAACACTACAGTAATTAGTATAATTTTACATGTTGATTGTAAAGGGAAGCTACTTGCTATATAAGATGTTCGAAAACTGCATGCATATATATCACAGTTTTAAAAAATCACAAGGAGTGCAGAGGTCTGCTCAAATTGCCAGCATGATGTGTCAACCAAAAACATCACTACATAAACTGATTTAAGGATCTAAGGTCTTTTGATTTAGCAGTCTTGTCAGTTTTAAAATACTGATTTAATATATAATATATATATATTCATGTCGGGATCATGATTTATTACCATTAAAGAGGAGAAGAAATGTTGGTAAAATTTCAAACAGTGGAATTAATAACAAAGGAGTGATTTAGCCTATTTGTCAAATTGCATGAATCGCTAAGGACAGTAAGGTGAGCAACCTATGAGCCATTTGCATAGCATAAAAACGTCCAACTACCCCTCTGCAGCGCAACTGTTATGACAGCTTTTCGCTACATTTTAGTCAAAATAAGTTTTTTTTGTAAGTGAGAAAATAGAATCAATTTGTAAGATTATCGTCATCGGATTACCTTGTTTACTTCACACTTTTCCCGCGAAATCACCATGCTGCCGGATGTTTTTCGGGGTATGGTAAGATAAGAAACGATAAAGCGGAATGCAAGCAAGAAAATCACAAGATCACTAAAATCAAATATCCACCATTATATAATATAATTTCTTTAACATTTCATACATATTTCAAATTTTGTAATATGTTTGAAAAAAATATATATAATATATCAAGAATATAATAATGTTACGTGTTCCGCCTCGAACTTTATACTAACCGGAAGTTGCATATGATGTAAATAACATGGAGACGTGCGGATGTAAAGGCATACGCACATGTGTTATTTGTGAGGGACAGGGGAAGCTACCAGTAGGATCAGAACAAAGGGTAATTATATTATTACAAAATAGTCCCTACCTTTTCACACAGACAACAATTCATCTAAACTGTTGTACACCGTGACAGCTTGTCTTGCTACACTACTGATCATGTACCTGTGATGCAATCAGTGTGCAAGTATATCGACAGACCAGGCTAGTGCCTGTGAGCTGTTGATAACTCCTTCCAACGTTTTTTCAACCATCTATCAGACTATGGCCCATCGACTAGATCTTGATTAGGTGTACAAGTGGTAGATTGTTTAAAAATTCCGTGAACTATTTCCAAACATCTGAATAAACAGATGTTACATGCAATGATTTAAGTGCTCAGATAGAGTCATTCCAGGTAGTCGATGGTTTCAAGAGATTAAGATTGATGAAGACTTGAGAGGATTATTTAATTGTGTGATATGAAGTCCTATGCTAGTTTGGTATTGTCAATAAAGCAGAAGACACATACTCTCCAGGAACACATGGTCTTAAAGTTCTTAAACTTTTTCAGGGTTCACAATGTAAATCTTTCTTTTGTTTGTATCTGAGTTTGAATCAAGATACTTTTCCAATGTCTTAATGCATTGCTGTGAAATTGAATACATTGTATTACAAAATGAGCCAACCAAGTGTCTAGTTCTGTCAACTTGCTTATTTAAATGGCTACTAGAATGTATGCAGTTCAAGCCTTAGAATTTCTGACACAATGATGAGTGCCACAAATCAACTTTGAATTAAGAAAATACCAAAAAAGATATTATCTTGATGTACTATTGATTCTAAGCTGATGTTTAAAAGTCAATGATATGTCAGAATTATTTGTCAGACTATGTAAATATGACTATATGGTTGGAGATATCCCAGAAGCAGACTTCTGGACAATGTGTACTGTAACATGGGGACAGTTAAATGTTACATATGAAAATAAAGATACTAATATCTTATATCTGACTATGCCACCGACTAGATCCGACTATTTTCAATAATTTTGAAAATCAATAAAATGTTTGTAATGTTTTCTATTTAAATGATCATACTGATTTAAAGTTACAAGATAAAAATGGTGTAATTGAAAAATAAGTGAGAGTAATCACAGTTATGTTTGGTAAAGTAATTGATGGTAATTGATAACATGGGAATATGTTAGGTAATTTAATAAGAATAATCTATTACAAGAAATTAACCCAAATAATTAATTAATAATCAATTACATTGTGGTATAATTGTGGCCATGTCTAAAATTACAGCACATAAATCTCAACACATCAGTTTGTTGGACAGTATAATGTTTTTACATGTTACTGTGCTGTACTCGATGGTTGATTGTATTCTTTTACTGCAGCACTTTGTTGCCTGCTTATTGCACATCAGTTATAAATGTTTAAAAAAAAAATTAAAACCTTCATTCCACATCTTCTTAGACAGGATTTTGTTCTATCACTTATATCTTATTGATTGTAAATTAATTGAAATTGAGTAATTACCAGATAATATTACCAACAAAACATTTGTTATTTAGATTGCATGGTTTATTGATTGTAGGATTTCACATGTTAATGAGTCTAATGAGCTTTAAATGGCGAAATGTTAGATTTCAAAACATTCTTATCATGAAATATGAAATTGAATAATTATCTTCCTTTAAACATACCTCATCCCAGCTAGGATTTACCAGTACTGTTTTATACTGTTTGTAGGGTGAATGTACCTACTACTGTGAATTCTGTGGTAAGGCATGGTCAGACAGCAGTTCACCATGGAAACATCATCCTGATCACCATGGTACCCCTGTAGAATTTCCAGGAATAAAAATCATCCAGAATTTTGTCTCTGAAGAGGAAGAAAAACATATAAGTGAGGAAATATACAGAGTTCCATTTGCTGTTTCTCAGTCTGGAAGAAGAAAACAGGTTTGTATATTTTAATACAATGAATACATACCTGGTACTGCTTATGATATCCCAGCCAAGGAGAATGAAACTAATTTACTGTGTTGTAGATTCTTCTTTTTGTCATCTGACTTAGAACTTGTATATTAAAATGGTCATCTGAAGCAGAGTACCCACCATCTTCTAGATTTGTTTCATCATAAAATTGCAATGTTTTAAGTGGTGATGTATAATATCTGAAAGAGTACAATGATGATGGTGGTTACAAGGATAAATTACATCTTGTGAACAAATGTCACGTGATACAGATTTTTATAACTGAATCTTTTCTATTATCAGTTACCTAACTACAAACTGTTTCTTTTATTTAGGATTATGGGCCGAAAGTGAATTTTAAGAAGAAAAAGTTGAAGTGTGATGTATTTACTGGATTACCAAGCTTCAGTGAACTGCTGTACCGACGGATGAAGGAAGTGAAAGAGCTTAAAGACTTTACACCTGTAGAGCTATGCAACCTGGAGTACTCTCCCCTTAGAGGTTCTGCCATTGATCCCCACTTTGATGATTTCTGGTTGTGGGGTGAGAGACTTGTGACCCTGAATTTGTTGTCAGACACTTTTCTTTACTTTGTTAAGGATGGTGAGGATATGGAGGTAAAGGTGCCACTCTATCAGAGATCTTTAATCATTGTGTATGGACAGGCACGGCACATCTGGAAACATGGCATACACAGGGAGGACATCACAGAAGACCGGATTGCCATCACACTTAGAGAGTTGTCTGACGAGTTTCAAAAAGATGACAAATTAACAGATATAGGACAAAAACTTAAAGATGTAGCACTGAGTTTTCAAGGACAAATGGTTGGTTCCTAATACAATATATATTTGTAAGTGATCTCTGTGTGATTGTGATATAAAAAGAAAAAGATTTTAGTTAAGAAAATTTGAATATGATCTTCTTTAATAAATTATGAATTGTAAAATTTTAGCAAGGGTATGAGTAAGAGGATTTTGACTAGAACAGGTCTGTAGAAAGTGAAACAAAATGTTGTCACCACAGGGACCATTGACATGGGGATTGACATGTAGATTGATATCACTTTTCTCATAAAATTCTAATAAAAATTTAGTTAAAAGAATGAAATTATCTCCCTTGATAGAGGCTGGAAATGCAGAAGTAATGATATTATTAGTATTACTTCAAATTAGTTTTGCCTTGCTAGTGGGTGAGACAGGTCTTCTATACCTCTTCACCCAAATGGTGAGACCTAACTTAGGTTTTGATTTATCTCCATGAAGGAAAATTGTCTCACATATGTTATTGTTGTATTATGGTAATATCACATTCACACTACACTATTTACACAAAGAGTTATAGGAATTGTCGGTCACGTCTGTAAAATTTGGAAGGGTAATACATGTACATTTACAAACAAATCTTGACCATTGATCTTTTCGACAGATCCTGTCCTTTATAAGATGTCTCCTCCTTTTTTATCCTGTCTGCTTATCAACACATTGCCAATCAAAAATGTTCTTAAATAATTTACTTGTAAAACTAAAAATGTTTTTCCAATGCTCTTCATCCAAAAATATATATTTAGTCAATTAGTGAATAAATATTTTTTTTTTTGCAGAATTAACATGTTATAAATGGATGAATAATTGTGTGATCTGTTTTTTTCCGGTCAGGTTCTTTACAATAAGATAAAATTAACATATATGAAAGGGTAATTCCTCCCGTTATTCTTCTCAAGATTTAGTTTCTTGTCAATAAGAGTTGTCTCCCCTCCCATATAATCAGTGAAAGGGGAGCGGAATGGATAAGAATGGGTGTGTTCACTGACTATTTGACTCTGATTACAGGATGGCAGCTCTTACATTGGGTGGTCATTAAATAAAATAAGTATTAACGCATGAAAATGAACAATAAAGTCTTAAGAACTTCAAAATGTTTTTAGAATGGGTTTATTGACTAAAGTAACCGGTGGCAACTTCATAGAACTTCATACAGGAGGCCCACTGCGTACCAGAGCAACAGGAGAAAAGTTTCTTGTCCAAAGGCACATCTACATTAGCACATGATAGTCTCAGTTTTTTGTGAAACAAGTGCTACCCACCCTCCATGGACATCCCCGAAATTCCAGGAGTTACGATCACTAACGATCTCTTCGTTGGAACAAAATGACGTCATATTTAGTTGTCGTTCTGATGCATAATTGCAAAGGGAGGTAATCTAAGTGACTAAAGGAATTTCGGAAATAAAAAATGTTGGGAAAGGTTTGTGTAATTTTGACACAATAATGCATGAGTCTCCGACAGAAATAAACCGATCTCAAACATGTGCAGGTAATATATTACACAAGGAAGCACAATCTCACCCACTATATTTCTAGTGTTCAGAGCTGCTATCAACAAACTCAGCTGTCTTGCAGCATGCTGGTCTGCTTTTGAAAATGTATTTACATTGAAGAAATGGGCAAGGCTAGAAATACAAAGTAGGATATGTATATACAGCCTTGGAAAAAAGTCCGTTCTCGGATAAGTCGGGAGCGAAAAGTTCTCGTTGTAAACATCTTGAGAGTTAGGTAATATACATACTACGAGCAATCAGGGTTAACCTGCTGGACTTGGGGATAAAGAGGGTAGAGTTTATCTGGACTTGAGGATAAAGAGGGAAGAGTTTATCTGGACTTAGGGATAAAGAGGGTAGAGTTTATCTGGACTTAGGGATAAAGAGGGTAGAGTTTATCTGGACTTAGGGATAAAGAGGGTAGAGTTTATCTGGACTTAGGGATAAAAGGGGTAGAGTTTATTTGGACTTAGGGATAAAGAGGGTAGAGTTTATCTGCAGAGAGCCCCGTTCTGATACTTTGGTGTTAATACATGTCACTGTAATTAAAGTGTGACAATGTAAAGACGAAATAGTTTCCACGTCAGCGCTGTAATTAAAGTGTGATCGTGTTCAGACGAAATAGTTCCCTCGTAAGCGGATTGATTAATATGTGATAATGTACAGATGAAACACTTCCCTCGTCAGCGCTGTAATTATTGTGTAAATGTGTACAGACGAAATGGTTCCCTCGTCAGCGCTGTAATTATTGTGTAAATGTGTACAGACGAAATAGTTCCCTCGTCAGCGCTGTAATTATTGTGTAAATGTGTACAGACGAAATAGTTCCCTCGTCAGCGCTGTAATTAATGTGTAAATGTGTACAGACGAAATAGCTCCCTCGTGAGCGGGGTAATTAAAGTGTGATAATGCACAGACGAAATGTTTTTTTAGTTTCCTCGACAGCGCTGTAATTAATGTGTAAATGTGTACGGACGAAATAGCTCCCTCGTCAGCGCTGTATTTAATGTGTAAATGTGTACAGACGGAATAGTTCCCTCGTCAGCGCTGTATTTAATGTGTACAGACGAAATAGCTCCCTCGTCAGCGGTGTAATTAAAGTATGATAATGCACAGACGAAATATATTTTAGTTCCCTCGTCAGCGGTGTAATTAAAGTGTGATAATGTTCAGACGAAATAGTTCCCTCGTCAGCGGTGTAATTAAAGTGTGATAGTGTACAGACAAGTCACGTTTAAGACATTATATCTGCTTTTCATTTGTTTTTTGATTTTTTTGACGTTACGATTACTCAAATTGTTTGATGTTTTTTTCAGTTTGTGTTTTTATTCTCTTGTGAAAATTTAACTCATCAGCGGTGTAATTAAAGTATGATAATGCACAGACGAAATATATTTTAGTTCCCTCGTCAGCGGTGTAATTAAAGTGTGATAATGTTCAGACGAAATAGTTCCCTCGTCAGCGGTGTAATTAAAGTGTGATAGTGTACAGACAAAATAGTTAACTCATCAGCGGTGTAATTAAAGTGTGATAATGTTCAGACGAAATAGTTCCCTCGTCAGCGGTGTAATTAAAGTGTGATAGTGTACAGACAAAATAGTTCCCTCATCAGCAGTGTAATTAAAGTGTGATAATGTTCAGACGAAATAGTTCCCTCGTCAGCGGTGTAATTATTGGGTGATAGTGTACAGACGAAATAGTTCCCTCGTCAGCGCTGTAATTATTGTGTAAATGTGTACAGACGGAAGAGTTCCCTCGTCAGCGGTGTAATTATTGTGTAAATGTGTACAGACGGCATAGTTCCCTCGTCAGCGCTGTATTTAATGTGTAAATGTGTACAGACGAAATAGTTCCGTCATCAGCTGTTGATGTATGAGCTATCTTTCTCTGCTCTATCTTGCTGTCACACCGCCTAATTGATGAAACTCGAACTATTGCTTTTAAAGTAAATTCGAAGGACATTACGTCGTTGAAACTGTTTTAAAGTCATGAAACTAAACGAACGAAGAAAGCGTGTGTTCTTCTCAACGTTACACTGGCAGGGTATCAGTTCGTAATGTAAACAACATTGTTTTCCTTCGTTTTTATAAACTGTATACGAGCATAAAGATATATCAAGTGTATTCTATCTGAGAGTCTTCCTGATAATTAAACAAAATACATGACTGCTTAGATATTTCGACATGAGCAAAAGCTCACCACGAATTCCGTCTCGATTCCAAATTTAGCAGTTTGTTCAACTTTACGAATGGCTCACAATTATTTGAACACCTGAACAGCTGAACACCAACAAAAATAAAAAGGTAGTCATGTATATAAATATCTAAATACAAATATGGAATATTTCTGAGATAGACGTGCTACTTGTCCCAGCCAGATTAGATTCATGAACCATTGATTCTGCAGCACCTACCTCTTGTCTTCCTCCGCCATATTGAAAAAGTAATTCTTTAACGGGTACACGACAGAGATTATTTCTGTCTTTTCTATCCCTGAAACTACATGTGTGGCCATATTTTAACTTCTATACCTGACACACGTGGACCTTGTGGGAAGAGGAATACCCACGCTGTATTATGATTGAATCGGACTGTGATATCACGTGACATCTGAATTAAGTAGTGCCTATTTTTGATTATTTGTTTCTGTGTTTGATATTCTTTAATTAGACCTAACAACTTATGTTCGTTGTGAAATGAGTCACTGAACGACGGTGACTTACGTATAAACAAGTCTGAATTATTCGTGCAATCTTATTTTTTCAATTGATAGGAATTTGTCTCGTGTCAAATATCAGCTATGGCAGTAATTCTGTAGTATCAATACTATAAAACTTGAGCGTTATAGACGCTACAAATATCCAATAAATAAACTAATGCCGTTCCCCAGATATATATGTGTCTATTTTGTGAACGTGTCGTATGTCTAACAACGAAATGGCCGAGGTATCTACCTGTCGTCATGGCAACATATTTGTAAAGCTACAGGTGTAAAACATCTGATATTGATCTTAAGTGATGAGAATAACAAAGCTTACCTGTTGTACATATATTGAATTATGCTCTATGTTGCTATAATGGTTACATCCTGGTACAGACACAGGGAAAAATAAAAAGTAGGAGAGCAGAAAAAACGAAAATATTGTGTCAAAATATATTTCTCTATTGTAGCGTCTGCGCAAAAAAAAGAGCATCTTTTATCATTACGGTGTGTGGTTTGTAATGGTGTGTATCTTCCCATTTACTTAGTGCCTTGGCGAAATCGGATATCTAAACATGTTACTTATTAATCGTGTTATGTAGACAGTTTTGTGTGTGTGTTTTTTGTGTGTTTTTATTTGTTTTTGTTTTTATTATTATTGTTGTTGTTTTACGTCCAGAGATAAAGGGCTGGTCACAAAGACGATCAGGCGCCTTCACCATTCGGCCACCGCGGTCTCATGTTAAGACAACGTATTCGTTAGGTATGCTTATGATCTAGTAATAGGAAGGAGTAATGCAAAAACACCATGCCTCGGCAGGATTCAAACTAGCGACCCTTGGATCTCTAGCTGTACACTCTAATGCTCGACAAAAGAGAATTCTCACTAGCCAAGGATAGTAAGTCGACCTGTACCCTCAACTTCTACACTACTCCCTTACGAAGCCTTCGAACCGAAGACAAAAACCCAAGGGAGCATCTCAATCTCCCTTGGCTTCTACCCTTGGAGACATGAGCAATACCAAATCTGTAGTAGGAAGGAGTAATGAAAAACACCTTCACTGGCGTGATTCGAACTAGCGACCCTTCAGTCTCTAGCCGAACACTCTACCGCTCGAATAAAGGGAAATTCCCACTAGTTATATATTTGTCAAAAGTGTACTCCCTGAGTTACTATCAAAGATTTGTACTTATAGGTATATTGCGAAGTCTTATACTCCCTCTCAAAAAGTGTTGCACGGGGTTATCGCCCCGTGAACAGCCAGGGTCAAGTTTTAACTGTTGACTGGTTTTATCTCACCGTGGACAGCCAGGATCAAGTTTTAACTGTTGACTGGTTTTATCTCACCGTGTACAGCCAGGATCAAGTTTTAACTGTTGACTGGTTTTATCTCACCGTGTACAGCCAGGATCAAGTTTTAACTGTTGACTGGTTTTTTCTCACCGTGTACAGCCAGGATCAAGTTTTAACTGTTGACTGGTTTTATCTCACCGTGTACAGCCAGGATCAAGTTTTAACTGTTGACTGGTTTTATCTCACCGTGTACAGCCAGGATCAAGTTTTAACTGTTGACTGGTTTTATCTCACCGTGTACAGCCAGGATCAAGTTTTAACTGTTGACTGGTTTTATCTCACCGTGTACAGCCAGGATCAAGTTTTAACTGTTGACTGGTTTTATCTCACCGTGTACAGCCAGGATCAAGTTTTAACTGTTGACTGGTTTTATCTCACCGTGAACAGTCATTGTTGCCCGGTGTTATTGTCCCGTGAACAGTCGGGATCAAGTCTTAAATGTTGCCTGGGTTAATCGTCCCGTGAACGGCTAGGGTCAAGTTTTAAGCATTGCCCGGGTATATCGCCCTGTGTACAGCCAGGATCAAGTTTTAAATGAACCAGGG